CCCCCCACACACACACACTCCTTCCTCCCCCTACGACTTCCCTCTCTTCAGTATAGTAATACGACCTGTATATGACATATGAAAATGACTCTACAAGACGCTCCTAGACAATCTGCTTCTGAGAGCGCCGCCTCCAATGAAAGCACCCCGCGTACCAAGATCTGCGTGTACTGCGGGGCAAGCGGCGGCGACAACCCAGCTCACATGAAGATGGCACGTCAGCTGGGCGAGGCCATGGCGGCCAGGAACATTGACCTAGGTATTCTTCCCCTCCCTCTTGCCTTTATCACTGCATCTCCTTTTCCCATTCTCTTCTGAATTGAGTACTAAAACAAGTGGACTTCCCAGTGTACGGCGGCGGCACGGTTGGTCTGATGGGCGAGGTGGCCAAGACGTTGGTGTCCATCAACGGCCCGGACTCGGTCCACGGCATCATACCCGAGGCCCTGGTGCGGTATGAGCGTGATGACACCTACCAGACTGTCAACTCAGCCAAGCAGGTTGTGCCCGACGAGGCCGTGTACGGTCGCACTACCGTGGTCAAGGACATGCACACGCGCAAGAAGATGATGGCCGAGGACGTCTTCGCCGGCGGGCCGGGCAGCGGCTTCATCGGCCTGAGCGGCGGCTACGGCACTGTCGAGGAGATCTTCGAGACCACCACGTGGAACCAGCTGGGCATCCACGGCCGGGGTATCTGCCTGCTCAACGTCCAGGGTTACTGGGACGGCATCGTCCAGTGGGTTGACAAGGCCGTCGACCAGGGCTTCATCCGTGCTGCTAACAAAGGCATCCTCGTCACCGCCACCACCGCCGACGGCGCCATCGAGGCCCTAGCCAACTACAAAATCTCCGACGCCATCTACAAGCTTAGATGGGAAAACCACTAAGCGACGTTGTCGTTGCTGTGCCTGCCCGCACGCTTCTCTTTTCTTCTTTCCCCTTCCCCTCTCATTTCTGGGGAATGGGCTTTTTCACGTCGGTAGCCGTGCTTCTGCTTTCTTCTTGGATTTTTTTTAGAAAATAACAGAAGGGAAGGGAAGACTTACTTGTCCAACGTGGAGTGGAGCATGGAGTTCATTAGCGATCTCGCATAGACAACACGGGGGCACGGGTTCGCCTTTTATCAGACACATCAAGTGTAGAACCGCATTGTATACTTAAAGATGAAATCACATTCATCTCCAAAACCCAGATCCCCTTGCCACCTGTATATGGTTGGTTTGATTGTGCCCCTTTTATGCCCAGGACGATACGGCCAACCATAGTCAAGGGAAAAGGCTACGATGCACATGGCATGTCTTGAATATTTTGTTTCTTCATTTGAATGGATCCGTCGACGCCATAAGCTCATTATCCCGGCATTTTTTTCGTTCTTGTTTCTGTGTTGAGGTACAAATGTTTATGCATCTAGCTGTCCACCTCCATGCCGTTATCGGCGGTCTCTTCTTCCTCCTCGTCGCCCTCGTTACCGTCACCCACGGTGTCGAGCCAGTCCTTGACCTCGAAGTCCTCGTAGAGCTTGAAGGGCTCAATACCGGCGGATCCATCATTGGCCTTTGTGCCGGCAACACCGATTGACGTGTTCTCGAGCGTAAGCTGCTTGTCCTGGACCAGACTCTCCTTCAGGGCACGGAGGCCGTGCTTAACCAGGTCCTCGCGCGAGGCGTCGGCAAACTTGTCGAGATTGCGCTCAAGGTACGTGCGGGCCATCTGGCTGCGGGCGCCGATGGCAAAGGCCACCATCTCCTCCGTCATGCCCGAGGGCTGGAACTCGAACAGGTGGGTTCCCTTCTCGTCCACGCCGGCCACCAAGAGACCCACACCGTACGGCCTCTTGCCGTACATCTGCGTGTTCATCTGGGCCTTGTCACCAATCATGTCAACCAGCGAGCGGAGGGGCATGGCCCTTCCGTATGTCAGGCGGTGGCCTAGGCACTGCTGCTTCATAAAATTGGAGAGGACGCGTGCGTCCGACGTCAGGCCCGCGATCGCCAGGCCGCAGTGTTCGTCGACGCTGAACAGCTTCTTCTGGTATGACGACAATTCTTCGGCGTTACGCTAGATGCCAGACAAGAAAGCATGCGGACGTTAGCTTCTTGCTTGTAGTGTCTCGTGTAAACAGCGGCCGGGGGTGGCAGCGTAACATGCCTTGATGGCGCAGAGCACCACATGCGTTTTGCTAGCGATGCCCACGACTACTGAGCCTTGCTTGACAGCCTCGGCGGCATACTCGATCTGGAATATTCGGCCCTGGGGCGAGCTGTGAGGGTGGGAGGGGCTGGGTTAGCCACAGACGATGGACGGTGTCGTTTTTTTTTCTTAGGGGTGGGTATGGGGGAGTATCATGGCGTACAATGTGACGGAGTCGTTATCGTAGTTGTTCCTGAACATGGTGGCGGCTTCGGGGGGGACTGTTGTGTTGCTGGTGAAGGTCGGGAGGGTGAACAATGTTGGCGGGGCGGATGATGAATGACGGTCCAGGCCAGGCAGCTCCAGCTGCGTCGTCTTGCCGTGGAGCTACAGCTTCTACTACCCGCGGTTTTGCCGACGAGTGCGTGGGCAGGTCCAAGAGCAAGCCAAGGACTCGGATGAATTGACAAGCACGCAGCAACAGAAAATTATAGATGTTTTCTTTCATGTTACCTCTTGATAATATTGGCATCTCATATGAATAGTAACTATACTATTCGGCCTCCTCTCGAGCCTCGCTGTCGCCCTGCGGATCGTGATATTACATGAGGCATCTGTCTTGTGGGCAGGTAACTAAGCAGGAACGTTCCTGCCTCTTGAGCGTTTAGAGTATCACAATACTTAAATGCTGACCTACTGGCTATCTCTAACCTTATTCTCGTTTATTCCTCCTTCTGATAATATAGATTATAGATTCCTGCCTTTCCTCATTGTGATTGTAATACGAGTGGGCACGATCGTTCTTCTTCATTGGGTATACGATTACAAGACATCCCCTTCTCATAATTGTTGCATATGCCTTTTGAGCAGGTTGGATCGTTTCCGTTCTCTCTCCCGGGTATGTAGCGTTTCATAAGGTTTATGTACGGTAGGCAGATTGGGAAGAACAAAGGGACGAACAAAGTCCTTCTAGGACCATGAACGAGCACCAACACTAGAGATGGTATCGACGAGAACACTTTTGCTCAACGGGATGACGGCAACTTCTTCCCGAGACGATCTACCTCTTTTCCATGGTCTTTCGTCCCTTCTCGTAACCTGTCCTAAGACAGACTCACGTCAGAATATTATTACATCCTGGGATATACATTCAGGCAGCTGTTGATGAGTAAGTAGTATTGGAGGTGCTGGCTCTCCCTTCTCAGCCTTGCAGATCATTATAGTAAGGTGACACGGAATAATGAAATGCAGGAGGTAATAATGATACAGACCGCTTCGAAGGGTTTTTAGCTTATGCCAATAACGGATAGCGGAAAAAGAACAAGTAAAATGTGTATTAGGGACGTCGAAGAATGGCAGGAAACCTGCTCGTCGTACAAAAGGTAAGAGCCAAGATTGAGAGAATTGGTAGGTGCGAGCCGTGGACAAGGCGTTTTTTGGCCTTGGCCTTCACTCAGGCAAGGTGTTCTTTACTGATATTATATGCATACGCATATTAGCCCGGATGAGGACAGAGCAGAGAAGCTACTTGTAGTAATCTGTACAGAGATAACTATAATAATACGTCGTATTACGACGAGTCCCTCATTGTTTCGCCATCAATTATCCCCCCCTGGCCGTTGAGGTGCCCCCCCCCCCCCGGTCGCCTACGTGCGAGTACTCGTATTCCCTTAATATATTCTTCCTTCTTGCAAACCCCCCCCCCCCAGCAGGGGGGACGATAAAGTCTCGATCATTGAATACAACCGTGACAAGGCAAGCCACCGGGACAGAATTCTGTGTGATTTGCAACCTTGATGGAAACAACGACCACGCCTTGTTACTCTTCTTTCCCGTGACGACAGCAGCACGATAACGAAGAAGAAGAGGAGAAGGAAGGGCAAAAAAAAAAAAAACACCAATATCATGACCTCTTTTCTTGTCCCCCGCGATTTAACTACGACGACGACGACGATTTCCTCACCGCCGCCGCTAGCAAGAACCCACAATCACCGCCATCCGACAGCAACGAGATTCACAGAGATTAAATTCGCCGACACCAATACGTCATGAGCAGTGGGCGTGGCCCTGCCATGCGGCCACCCCAACCATTACCGCCCTCGGACTCGGTCGGGTCCCTGCTGGCAGCCATTGCCAACTCCATCTCCGACGCCATACGAATACTCAACCTCTCGGATAAGAGGCTTTGGGGCTTGGATGAGGTGGAGCAGCTGCGCGCCCTGGAGCAAGCCCTGGACGAGGCGCGCAAGGATTTCCAGGAGCTGTCGCCTCTTGTCAATGGACAGTTGATATACGAAGCCGATCGTACTCGTACGCTCCGCCCCTCTCTTATCCTTCCTCCCCCCCAGCTTAGAATGGCCTGGCTGACCGGAGGAAAACGCAGACGACTCATTAGTGGAGCTACGACAGCTCCGCGACCGACACGCCGCCCTCGTCGAAGAACTTCGGGGATGGAGCCGATCCGGCGGCCCCATCGAGGCGACATGGATGCGCGCGACGCTCCACCTGCGGCAGGACCTGCACCGCTCCCAGTGCCGCGCGGCCCGCCGCATATTCACCTCGGGCCAGGATTCCTCCGCCCGTTGCCTGGGAGCCTTCTTGGTACGCCGGGTGCAGAGGGCTCGCAAGGCCAACGGGGACGTTGTCGGCGTCGAGCACGGCGAGTATCAGCGACGCCACCTCGAGGAGCTGCGCACGTGCAGGCGCGTGGGTGGGTTCCAGCGCTTCGGCGAGCTCGACATGGCATTCATCTGCGACTTCTGCGACGGCCACATCATCTGGACCGACGTCGAGAGGGTGCCCTCTGCGCCGACGACGCACGAGGAGGAGGCCTCGTCGCCCTGGCCACCCGTATCCCCCCCGATAACCAACCCCATTACCAACGCCACCACTAGCGGCTACCAGCGGCGGCCGCAGCCATCACAGGCGCAGGAATCGTGGCAAGCTACCGCCCATTCCATGTCCCGTCACCGAGAGAAGCAGGTCGTCTTTGCACCGCTTGCCATTGCCAACCACGTGGCACCCCATACGGGAGACTGGCTGGCCAGGATCATCTGTCCGTTCTGCGAAGAGGAGGCTTCCAAACCGCTCGATGAGGACGACGACGACCAAGTATGGCGCCCAGACTCTACGTTTGAAGATGTCGATGCTCTGCAGGAACACCTCGAGTGGTACCATGGGCCAAAGACTGCCTCTAGTACGCCTGCCACCAACAGTTGTGGCATCATGTAGGCTGCTGACGACACATATATTGTGTCTCCAAATTTTCCTTTGTCACATTCATCGTCGATATCATATAGGAAGCATGTTGGCGTTCCCCGGAGTTTTTTTTTTCCGTCTTTTCTTTTCTCTGATCTCATCTATTTTCCATCGTTATTTGATAGAAAGAGACAAAAGGCAGACGTATGTCAGGTTTATACTAAGGGAAAAACGAGTTGTGGACGGCGAAGATTTGCAGTCGTTTTATATTATATCTGCTCTACCCACTCTCTTACACCATCTTGTTGATTTTGCTGCCCGAACGCCCTGATGAAAAGAAGAGAGATGTAGGAGAAGAAAAATGTGCGTGAACCACTATGAAGACAAGCGTAGTAAGTAGTAGTAGGAATAACGAAGCCTAGCCAAACGATGCCAAAAAAAAAAAAACAATCAACAGAACCCCAGAAAGATATGAAAGAACCATTACACCCCGCAAATACGAGACCAACCGCTTGCTTTTTATTTTTATCCTTCACACATCACCCAGGCTGCGCCGGGTGTGCAGTACCGTCTTCTAACCTTGGTCAAGGAACGAGAGGGAGAAGAAGGGTTTTGACAAGAGCGTCTCCATTAGAAGAAGCGAAACCAAACGAAGAGGAGGATGATGAAGCCGAGGCCGGCAAAGGGACCGTATTGCTTGAGGAGCAGCTCCCAGTTGATGCGTACGGCAGCGCGTCTGTACTTTTTGCTGTCATCGCGGAGGCGGCTGCTGATCTCGCCCATGCGTTCCAGGCTGTCGCCGCGGTAGAGGAGGTCCTCGATGTTCTTGGTCATGATCTTGGTGACGTCGCGCAGCTCGTCGTTGAGCTGGTCGAGCCCCTGGGCGGCGCGGGCATCGGAATAGACGGCGCGAGTCTTGGCCATGAAGGTGTCGAAGTCCATGAAGGCGTAGGGGCGGAGGTTGGGCGAGTGGACCTGCTGCGGGCCGTGGGTCGTGGTGAACTCCCGCGCCAGGTCCGACAGGTACGTGAAGGCCAGCTTGCGCGGGTACGACGCATCGCAGATGGTCAGGAAGACAATGTCCTGGTCCACCAGGTAGTGAAGCGTGTACCGGGTCCCGCAGTCGACCGACGCCTGCGACTCCGAGTTCCGCGTCAGCTTACGCAGCACCTGCCGCACCTGGTGCTTCACCTCGGTGAGCGACGTCTCGTTCTGGTCCTCGTCCACGGATGCGCACAGCATCAGGCCTGGTAGAGAGTCAACCATATGGTCCCTCCACGACATATCGTGCCGCCACGGAGCAAAGCAAGAGAGATGAGCAACGTACCATCCAGCCTTGATATCTGCGTCGATCGAATCATCCTTTGCGTCGGTCGTGTGTGTGCGAGTCTGTCGAGATGTTTGAGGTCCAAAAATATACGTGTCCTCGGCAACGACTGATGTGGAATCTTCGGGGTAGGAGGGCCTAGGGGTAGAGCTCAACTGTCGGGAGCTGGGTCTTCGTGACTGAGCCGATCCGAATTGATGAGATGCCGATGCTGATCAGGTTGTCTAGTTGCGGAACGGGTAGGTTGGTCCCGGCGAGAGTCGGGAGATGGATGATGGGGTTGGGTTCGGTTTTGAAAGTTCAATAAAACAAACCAGATGGGATGCATTGTCATATTTAGCGTCTTCTATCCTGCCAGGGGTACAGGGTACTTGGGATCGACGTTAGAGGCACCAAAACATGTTAGGTAGTCGGTCGGCCATGGGAATATAGACTACATGCCTTGATGATGAATATGTGCTGGTAGCAATTGTTTTTGAGAGTGGACTCTCGATTTGAAGGACTTTACCGTCGAGAGATCAGTTATTTGTATAATCTGTACATGTATATGGGCTCTCGGAAGCACAATGATACAAGTCGTCACTACCGCATCGCGCTCTCTTCCATTATAATTTTTATACCCAATACGTCAACGCATATGTTTCAGATGTACGTGTGTATACACGAAGACAAGTTTCAATATGGCTCCGACTTTTGTCCACGGGTAATCACGGAGGTGGTATTTTCGTTCAGTGCATCAATTATAAGAGCGTTTCCATCAAGTTCACAGACAGTCCTTGCCATATTCCAGCATCGATTCGTTTCACCACACACAGACATAGACGCAGACACAGAGAGACGAAACATTGCATATCGCTGGGGATACATGCGGACTCATTTGCCCCCACATTCATCAGACACATCGAGACCAAGCATCTGGACGTCATAGCCGTTCTGCTCGAGGTATGCACGAAACTTGGCATCCTCAGCCGTGATGGTGTCCTGATCAACGTTGGGGAGGCAGAAGAGGACAATGGCGGCCGACAGGATGCACAGACTCGCGGCCACCCAGAAGGGGTACTGGGCAGACTGGACGGCGTTGCCACCGGCCTTTTCGATCTGGGGGAAGACGTAGGTACCGACAAAGGCACCGATCTTGCCGATGGCGGCGGCAATGCCATAGTACCGTCCGCGGACGCCCGTAGCGCACGTCTTGGCAGCCATGAGACCGATGTTGTTTCCGGGGCCGAGCTCGCCGAGGGACATGAAGATGCCGTAGACGACGGCGAAGGCGGCAATGTTCTGGGAGATCTTGGAGTATACGCCGGCCATGATGAAGCCGACGATGGCCTGGGCGCTGACGCCGAAGGCGAGCGCGTAGCGGGGGCCGATCCAGTCACTGACGAAGGCGCCGATCATGGTCCCGGGTATGTAGAAGAGGTTGATGACGGTGTTCCAGCCGAAGACGGTGGTCAGAGGGGCCGAGCCGCCGTAGATGCCGGACAGGATGGTGGACGAGTAGATGCCGAACGCGTAGGTGGAGAAGTCGTAGAGGAACCACACGATGGACACGCACAGGAGCCTAAAGCCATAGTAGCGGAAGACGAGGATGTAAGGCGTCTTCTTCCTCATGCTCTGCTTGGCGAACTCTTCAGGCTCCTTGATCCTCAGACGGAGGATGAACAGGACGAGGGGGAAGATGACCCCGATACCGAGGCTGGTCCTCCAGATGGTGGTGTAGTGCCCGTTGTGGCAGGCAGCAGCGACAACGTCTGTTGGGGGGGGTTGGGGTTTCCACGGTCAGGACCATATGATAAGCATCTCCATGAAAGTACGGGACAGATAGCAGAACGTCACTCACACGGGACAAATGCGCCAATCACGAAGCCCCAGTCAATCATGGTGTTGGTGAACAGAATGAACCAGCGGTTCCTCGTTCCCTCCTTCAGCTCGCCCGTCGACTCGGCGCAACCGACACTGCCGGCGGGGTACTCGCCTGGGATAGATGTCAGCACACACCGATCTCTTCTCTTCTTCTTCTTCATCTTCTTCTCCGTCTTTCCCCTCCTTCCAGCCTCCCGAATGTATCGACAGTCATACCTCCGATGCCGATACCGACAAAGAATCGCCAAGCCGTAAGGATGTTGAACATGCCGACGGCGTCGCCATGATAGTAGGAGCCGGTCGCAAGGGCTGTGAAGACGATGAGGATGACGGTAGAGACCAAGAGCGAGTTGGTTCGCGACCAGTGATCGGCGAGAAAGCCGAAGACCAACTGACCAACGACGGTGCCGACAAAGGCGATGGCGGAGACGTAAGAATAAGCATTGGAGCCTGTAAAGACATCGCCATACTGCGCGGTAAGAGTGGTGTTGACGGAACCGATGACCTAAATAAAAAAAAATAAAAAAATTGGCATGAGACATGATATTTACTTGCCGGTCAGAGGCGCGTCGCACGCGAGCTCCTCTCCGTATCTCTCGTAATGCAAAGGGAGAAGGAATTCGACAATGTCACACATACGTTGTTCACGTAACCGTCCGAGAAGAGACCAGCACCGCAGGCAAACACAGGAATGACAGCTGACCAGAAGGGCTTGCCCGTGAGCTGGATCTCGACGTCATCATCCTGCCCAGGCGCACTGCCAACCTCATCCTCTTCGCGTTTGCTGAGATCCATGACGGGGGAGGGTGAGGAGGGAACTCTGGAGGAAGAAGTCCCTGGCGACTAGTCGTTGGCAATGCTCGGAAGAAGAAGAGGAGGAGGAGGAGAGGAAGCTTGGTCGAGCAAGGGCTCGCTCATCGAAAGGATACCTAGCAAAGGTTATGTAGCATTTCCCGTCGAGCGCGCATGGGGCGATTGACCAGCACATACGGACCACTTGCCTTCCCTTCGGAAAGGCCCGAGGTTGTGTGGATCATATCTCTCTGACCAGCTGGCGAACCACCTACACGTACAAGTCGTGAGATACTGAAAGATACCAGCGGCGTCTCTCAGGATCTGCCAAGCATTCCCGTAATCTAGTTCCCCCATCCGACTTGCCGATTACCCGAACAGCACAACCAACCCTGATGCGCGTGGGACAAGTGTTTTCTATTCCGGGCAAGCATTCGGGGTTGCCGCTGAATCGATGCTTGAACGCATCAACTCAATTGGCCGGGTCTTATTGCTTTGACCGTGCGACTTGTGGTAGATCGCGAGTCCTGTAATACGACTTCCATTCTCTGGCGAGGACTCTGTATTGCTACAGTAGTTGTAGTAGCAGGGCCAACTAGAAGAAGCATGCGTGTAATCGGTACTTACATGTACAATGTATCGTTATCCCCCTCTTATATGCGGTATTATTACAAGTACATCCCGCGTCCTCCGCTATTGCTCGAGCCCTAAGAATGGTAGAAGAGGCGATATTCTTCTATGCATATCCAACTGTTTCCATGTCTAACTCAAACCCGAAGAGCTGCACTCACATATTCACAAACCCTTGTCTCGTCTATCGAGGGCTTACCAATAAGACGGCATGCAGTTGTTAGCGTGTAATAAGTGATGTGACTACTCGGAATGGAGCGCCCAGTTATTAATCCCGTATTGATTCAATAGCAACCAGCTTCATGTTCACGTCAAGAAGGGCGGCCGCAGACAATCTACAGCTAACGAGGAGCGGTCAGACAAGCATGCCCTTGTTCTGAGGATACAGAGTTTCGGACATTCAGAGGGGTGAGTACGGAGAGTTATGATATTCTGACGTACCTTGCCCTATCATGGTCAACTGCATGTAACATTGGAAAGGATTAATAAGTAATCTGTACATCTAATCGAGAAGGCATTGTCAGCGCACGACCAGGGCGGCGTATGGCCAGACTTCTCAAGACATGTACGGGGTCCGATAATGGTGACAAGGGTGCCGCCACATGTGCCACCAACGACCAGAAAAGTGCCGAGGAAAGGTGACGAGTCCACTCCATGAGACCTTGGCCTGTGCGTTTTTCCTCTCTTACAGTTTGCCATTATCTGACGCGACCATCGGGAGGTGCGCAGATGCATTGGGTGTTCCGGCGGTACGAATAAGGGTACCTCGTCTATCGAGCGGTCTCGGTAATACCTCAACTATCGAATCGAGTAATAGTCTGCTGTCACGGATGGGGATGCATTCTACATCTCCGTTGCGTAGGGAATTCCAGTGTACCCGTGCAGATTTTGTGACGTTGATCCGGTAGTTGATGTCGGACTACAGATTACTCCGTACCCTGATAATCCTGACAGAATAACCCAGAGCCTTCCCGGATCAGATTAAACTGTCCCTCTGATGGTGTGCCGAGCAATCTGTGGCCTGTATAGATAGATGATATATACTCGCAATATAAACCTGAACTGACCTGTAACTTCGGGAGACCATAAGACCAAAAGTACGATTGATGAGTATCACCATGTGTGTAGACGGGATTGATCCACCTGACAGGATAGGATGCCATAAGAACTACCTTTTCCGTCGCTCAACTCAATACGCACTTACACGACGCAAGCCTATGCGCACTGCCATTCGTGCAGATCAATGGTGACTACGAAGGAATGACGGCGCATGTTGTTGTCTTGGGGGGTGTGAGAAAGAATGGCATCATGAGAGGACGCCCGGTACTGGGACAGATCAGATGCCAAGTAACAGTGTTTACATTACTTGACTAAGGGCGAGCGTGTCTGTTCTCACGACGGCATCACTCTCGTCGAGATGTGCCAATGACTCTGTCACAGCAGCTGCCATGCACATGCCCGGCTATAACATCATCGAGTACGCATCACCATGTGCAAAGAGTCAGAGCGACGATGGGAGGAGCGCCCGTGGCCCGAGATGTGTAGATTGGCATCCGGTCATTGTGAGTGCAAGAAGTAGAATGTGATGTCTAGACTAATCAGGATGAGAGCTAATCAGAACAAGATAGTCTCGTTAGTCTGAATTATTGATATTGAAAGAGAATAGTGATGAGTGAAAGCAGAGGAAAGAAGAGAGAAACTGATTTAAACGCCCGAGATGCTATGTGAGTATATGATGCGGAGTACACTGTACCTACGCAGTCGCCGGCTGAACCGACTGCGGGTTGCGGAAGAGGTTGCCCGGGTCGTAGACGGCCTTGAGCTCCTGCAGGCGCGGTAGGTTGCTGCCCCAGTACAGGGCCTGGGCCTCGTCAGCCGAGAGGCGGGAGTCGGCGTAGTTGACGTACATGCCCCAGTCGCCGGCGGACAGGGAGCCGGTGATGCTGTCGCGAACGCCGTCGACAAAGGCGAAACCGGAGTCCGAGTAAGGCCGGCTGGAGTCGGCCATGAAGTCGTAGAGCTGGAAGAGGAGGACCTTGTCACGGTGGGGGTAGGCGGTGGCATCGTTGCCGACTGCAGAGACGGCCGAGGTGGAACCGCCGATGGCGTCCATCTGCAGGAACCAGGAATGGGAGCTGTCGCCGGTCTGGCTGGCGTCGGCGACGAAGTCGGCAAAGGCCTGGAACTGGCTGAGCGTGACCTCTGGCAGAGTCATGCTGCTGGCGTAGAAGTTGTCGTGGGCGCTGTAGGCGGAGGTGGTGATGTCGACCTCTTCGACGCCGGCAAAGTGCTCGATGTACCCCGTCCAATCCATGGTCTCGACATAGCTGAGCGAGGCGCCCGTCTTCTCCACCAGCGGCTGCAACGCCGTGCGTAGGCCGGCCTCGGTGCCGATGAAGCTGCCCCCCAGCGAGTAGCTGTCGCGGCCGACGGTCGTCTGAAGCGACAGCTCCGGAGGCATCGTCTGGCCGAAATCCTGTATGTCCACCAGGGCCTGGGCCGCGTTCGTCGTCGTCAGGGCGAGCGTCGCCGAGAACACGGTCAGCTGTGCGGGCACCTCAAACGTGTTGTATTCGAGCTCGGCGACGACGCCGAACGACGCCCCGGCGCCGCGGATGGCCCAGAACAGATCGGCGTTTTCCGTCAGCGAGCAGTGTGCCACCGTGCCATTGGCTAGCACCACCGTCGCTCCCGCGATCCAGTCTAGAGCCAGGCCGTGCTTGTGAGATACCATGCCGTAGCCGCCGTGCAGCGAGTGACCTACGGCGCCCACCCCGGGGCACGTGCCGTGTGACAGTCCACGTTTCCCCTGGTTGAATAGCTCCGTCGCCAGATGGCCGAGCCGGGTCCCGGGCTGGACCTTGGCCACTCCCGTCGCCGTGTCGAGCGAGACGTTGTACATGCGGTCCATCTCTAGCACCAGATGGCCGTCTTCGCCGCCGAAGCCAAGCGACGTGTAGCTGTGACCGCCGCCCTTGGCGCTGACGGCCACCCCGTTCTGCGCTCCGCACCTCACCGCCGCGACGATGTGGTCCTGCGTTTCCGGCACCGCGATGGCCGCCGGATGGATCGGCATGCGGAGGTTGTATGCCGTGCCGTCCCGTGTCCATTCGTCGCTGTTGATGAGGTCGGTGGGCACGCCCGCATTCTGCAGACAGGTCACGACGTCGGCACGTCGCGTCGGCGCGGCAAGAGATGCCGACATGAGCGACAGCGCCGCGCCCGCAAACGAGAGGCGCACCATAGTCGTCGTTGCGTAGTTTGGATGTATAGGTGTTTTGGATTACCGGAGCCGGTGATGAGGAATCAGAGAGGCCGAGTGTTCGAGTGCGCGTTGATTGCCGATCTAGAAGAGCAATTCACCTTGGGACGACTGACATGCTGACACTCTGTATACATATATATATATATATGTATATATATATATATATTATGTATTATACACACCAATTGATGTCTAGTCAGTGTAATGCCCGTCTGCCGGGTTGTGTGGACATGTTGCACTGGCAGTGCATCATGGCCGGACAGGTCGGAAGAGGCTCGTCGCTCCTTGGCGTCGGCAAACATGGAGAATTAAGGGTTAAACTTTGTTGACCATGAGACAGCCTTGTCAGCGTAGACGTTTAGCAGCTCTCGTATTATCATACATCGGTATAAGTAGAGCCCCCCCGTCGCCAAGGGTCCGCGGGTACCCAATGGTCCATGACTCACGAGGATCCGAGTTGTCTGCAGTAATCTGCGTTAGTCGCACTAATATCATCCTCGTGGCCAGAGCTAATGCCCCGTATCCCCGTATAGCTTACTCCGTACTCCTAGTCTTGTTTCCTAGTCGGGCTGAGGCTGGCACTACCGTCTTACTCTCCGAGCAGTGCCCGGCGCGGGAAGCACTGGTTACACTCGTATAGGCCTAGTAGACGATTTATCGTTCGACTGGCCTAGTCTTGAAATGGGGTTGTCTTACGATATACGAAGTTCAACTCGGTCTTCGCGTTACCCAGGCTTGGATAGTTAGTTGGCAACCTGGCATTGCTAACCCTTTTCTGTGAGGCCGTTAATACGGGGAGTATTACACGTAAACTCGTAAAAAATCCCGTCTATTATTAGTACTTTCGTCTCAACCCCACATGTTATATTAATACTGCGGCGTATGCGGCCCTTCTGCCTTCATGCCATCTCCATGTCATATTCGGACACTCCCCACTATTCATCTCAACCCCCCCGGATCATCAGAGTCGTCTAGTAACATTATTGTTTACGCGAGACACTTTGAAATGCGCTTTCTACAGGTGGAGAACAAGTCCCATGCGGTCCTCCGGAGCCAAGGCTACAAGTGGCGCATTGGTATAGTTGAGTCGGTAACCACCAGCGAGTGCCATCCTGCGCTGCATGGTGCATGGTCGTCCTACTACTCAATACTACTCATACGATCCATCTCTCTACTTTGGGTACCATGTGTGAGCGGTGATTCGAACCTCATCCTAGTCGAAAATACAGGGTCCCCGTTAACCTCTGTCGTTTTGCTCGGTACTCGCCTTTTCTCGTGACATATCATCATGATTATATATTAATACTTCCGAAATTAGCGGCAATCAAACTCCCGTCTCTAGCCACCTTGGCGGGTTTTCGAAAGGCTAAAGCGGTATTACAACATGTAATCTGTACATTCATTCCATAAACATTGTCCTCTCCCAGTTGAGCCACATGCGCGCACAGCAGACAGGATAGGAAACTTCGCTAATCGGCGTCACCGCCAACAGAACCCTCAAGCGCAGGAGGGAAGGGCGAAGAGGAAATATAGGGTGAGACGGACCGAGATTCGGAGCATCCGGCTAACAAGTTGCAAGACTTCTACGAATGCATTAATCTGTAGACACATGTTGCAACACACCACTCGCTTCGGCTACGGCATGGCCCGTGAGAGGCATAGGCATGAGTGGGATGAACTTTGGGCCATGTCACAAGAAATAGTGTTGAGGGGCTATGTAAGATCTCTCAATCCCGAGCTGGAACAATGTCCACTCCCTTGAGCGACCCTTCGTCTCGCCACTTCTGGATATACTCAAGGAAGGATACAGTACCCTCCGACCACACCACGTTGCGTGCCCTCTTCTGTTTCTCCTTGGGGTCTGTAACCAGGGTAGCGTCACCGTGTCCGTTGAAGTAGCCCGGTGTGCATCCTGCAAGGGCCGAGAAGAAGGGGGCCCGTCTCACCACCTCCGCCGTGTGAGCTTCTTCAGCTTCCCTGGTGACCTCGAGGATTGCCCGCCGATCGGGGCCGACACGACGCTGCGCCTGTGCTATGATGAATGTGACATGCTCGGCAATGAGGCCTAGCATCCACACATTGTTACCCGTCACCGTAGCCTGGGAGGTGCCCGAGAAGAAGAGGTTAGGGAACCCGTTGGTGGCATAGCCGTGCAGAGTAGCGGCACCGCCCTCTTTCCACTTGTCATCCAGGGACCGACCGTTTCTGCCTACAATCTCGACACCTGTCCGAGTTGCAGGGCTCCCGCTCCCTCGTCCCGCGATGTTGTACCCGGTGCCGAATATGATGATGTCAAGTGGGTATTCCTTGTCGCCAACCACCAGCCCCCCGTCAGTTGCCCTGGATGGACCCTTCCCGTCCGTGTCGACGAGGTGGACGTTGGGCTGGTTGAAAGCCTGCAGGTACGCGTCGCTGAACGTCGGCCGCTTGCACCACGAGGGATACCATGGCTTGAGCTTTGCGGCCGTGTCCGGGTCCTTGACGAGCTTATCAACCCTGTCCCTGATGGCTTCCATATGAGGTAGGTCCATGATGTGGAATGCCTCGACAAGTCTTTCGATGCTGTCTGGCGCCGGGTCGACTATCCCGTGACTGGGCGATCCCATCAGGGCCGAATAAGCAGGCATAGTCGTCCACTCGTCCTTGATCAGGTTTTCCTCTCCCGGCCTGGCGGAGTTGGTGAGGAACCTGTTGGAATTGATCTGCCGCTGGTATTGCCACCCTCTGGTCCTTGCAACCTTGGACCTGAATTCTTGGGGATCCGTATCATGCTGTCCGCGCGCCTTGACATAGGCCTGCGTCCGCTGGATGACGAAGAGCTCCCCGGCGTACTTGGCGACTTCGGGAACGACAGCGATTGAGGTAGCGGCAGTACCGACGACGCCAACCCTCTTCCCCCTGAGACCTTCGAGAACCTGGTTGGAGGGAGAGCCTCCGGATACCGCGTAGTTCCAGCGAGCGGTATGGAAGATAGGCCCGGAGAAGGACATCAGGCCAGGGATGCTGGGGATCTGTGGCCGCGTCAGAACGCCGGCGGCAAGATAGACGTATTCAGCACGGAATTCGATTTCGATTGGTGCGGCCGACGGCCCCCGTCCCTGCAGGACGTTGATTGTCCAGAGCTGTACCTGGTCGTCCCATCTGATGCTTCTGACGTTGGAACGGAACAGCACTTTGTCGGATAAGCCCCACCGTGCCGCGATGCGTTCTGCGTACAATCGAATTTCCTCGCCCGGGGCGTATTTCTTTGTCGGTATGTATCCTGTCTCTTCAAGAAGGGGCATGTAGATGTAGCTCTCGACGTCGCAATGGAGGCCCGGAAATCTGTTCCAATACCATGTGCCCCCAAACCCACCACCGGCGTCGGCAAGGCGAATGTCGTCGGGTGTGGCGATTCCTCGCTCGATGAGACGGATGGCGAATTGAAGGCCTCCATAACCCGCCCCCACCGCGAAGTACTTGTATACGGAATTGCTGTTGATGGGTGACTCCCGAGCATTCAACGATTCATGATCTACCCATGGGTCTTCAGCTAGGAAGCGAAGCCGTTCTTCGTCTGCCCCTGCCAGCTGCACAAACTGTGCGGAGCCATCGGGCCTGAGTCTTTTGGCAGCTTCCTGGTCATACTTTTCTCGGATAGCCCGTAGCTTCTCACGGTCCACGTCTACGGGTTCCTGTGTTCCGATGGCCATGATTCTTCGTATCGGGGCGTTGCAATGTTCTATTCGTAGCTTGGTATGGTCAAAACAGTGATGGGTGTGTTTTCTTCTTCTTCTTCTTTTCTTTCTTTCAGTCCTCGGGCATGATGACGACGTACCTTGTTTTCGTTCTTCTAAAGAGGAGCCTTAGAACCAATACTTGCACATGCGTTGGCAGGTAGCTATTGACCGAACACTTCGGACTTGAGTGAGCCAGTTGGCATATATGCCAGTTATGTACTTAGACCGGGATCCCCTACTCCATTGTTAGGTGATAGGTTTCATCTCGGTAAGAAGGTGGGTGCATGGAGCTCGAGAGTGTAGAATTATCTCATGGCAGGCCGGCAGCAAACCAACGTGGTCGTTTCAACGACGGAGCACGCCAGAGTACGTGATTATGACATGCGAGAGAACGCGATCGCAAGTTCCTGTAACATCTTATCGGAAATCTAAACCCCGCAGGTGCAGGAAATACGACTATCTGTAGAGCGCTCGCTTGGGGTAGCCCCATGTTGCTGCATCTGCTAACAACTATTCGATGGCGAAATCAACGTGCCTATAACGTCACCCAGTCATTACTGCGGGTACCGTGGTTCCTTGACAGCCGTGTGATGAACCGATATCAACAGACTACACTTCCGCTTGATTGCAGAATGGAAGTCGCACTTTTGTGGCTAATCACCAGTTGGCCGAAACCGGGCTCACATCTTGATGCTGGCGAATGTCGACATCCGCGGAGACAGGCCCTTGGATGCTTATCGCCGGAGCATCCCCGTGATGTATGTCCACATGTATATGTTGAGTGGTTAACCAGTCACCTACAAGCACTTGTAGATGCCCACATATTTTGAATCAGACAAACAAAGGCTCTCTCTGTGCAGTATTCGACTACCTTGGCGAGAGCAATTTCATCACACAGTCGGCATGGCAGACAACAAGACTAAGCGGCTTCACCTGGCGGCCTTCATCTACTCCGGCCAGGTCTCGCAGATATGGCGACACCCTGAGATACATGCTCATGAGAGCCTTGACGTCGATTATTATATAGAATATGCCCAAGTGGCTGAGAAGGCCAAATTCGATACCCTCTTTCTGGCGGACGGCGCTTCATTCCCCAACGGGCCCCTTGCGAAGCACTATTGGAGTGTGAGCGGCTTCGAACCCGCCACCTTGTTCTCTGCCATCGCGGCACGGACAGAGCGCATCGGCCTCGTATACACGGCAAGCGTGAGCGACAACGAGCCTACCCACGTTGCTCGCCAACTAGCCAGCCTTGACCACATCAGTCATGGCCGCGCGGGATGGAACGTCGTCACCACCCTAGGGCCCGGATCGAAAAACCTCGGTGTGCCGCTCGAGGAGAGCTACGACAGTGTTGCCAAGTACGGCAGGGCGAGGTCTTTTCTACATGCGGTAGAGACTCTCTGGGACAGTTTCGAAGACGACGCCCTGATAAGAGACAAGAAAAGCGGAATATTTGTCGACCTCGACAAGGTTCACGCACCAGACATCGATGATGGGCTGTATCGCGTGGATCAACCGCTCCGCGTCGAACGCCCCGTTCAGGGATATCCCGTCATTGCACAAGCCGGCACGTCTCCCGAGGGGATTGCATTCGGCGGATCGTCAGCAGACTTGATCTACTGTGCCAACTACTCGATCCAGGATGGGCAGGAGACTCTTCGTGCCCTCAAGTCGGCCGCAGTCGAGGCAGGACGAAATCCCGATCATCTCATCATCCTGACGGGCGTGGCTGTCGTCTGGGGCGAGACGGAAGAGGAGGCTGAGCGGAAACTGCGCGAGGTATCTTCTCTATGGCCTATCGAGGTGGCTGTCCAGAATCTCGGTATCAACTTTGGGGATGCCGACCTAGATTCGCCCTTTCCCGACGAGTATAGTGTCGGCTCCAAGTCCAAACCTGGCCTGGGTTCCACAGGGCGAGCTGCTGCGATAGCTTCATTTGCTCGCTCCAACTCTTTGACTATACGACAGACGGCAGAGCGTTGCTCCATAGGCCTGGGCCACAGACCCCTCATCGGAACGACGCAGTCTATCGCAGATGATCTGCAGGCATGGCTCGAGGCTGGGGCCACGGATGGCTTTGCCGTGATCCAGCCACTGCTGATCGATGGTCTACGTGATTTCAGCACGCACGTCATCCCCGAACTTGTACGTCGCGGTTTGTTCCGATCTGAATACGAAGGAACGTCTCTGAGGGAAAACCTTGGCATTCCGCGGCCCGTCAATCGCTACTTGGCAAAGTCATAAGATGCTGTAAGGAGGGTCGATGTGATGTGCTCCCGACCTATATACAGATAGAGTGCAAAATATCAGCCCGGGTGGTTTGGTGGTGCGCAGTACACATTCTGGGCTAGGCACAAGATACAATACCATGGATTCTGCTGCTGTGAAGAGACCACCGAGACGTGAAGGTCTTTTTGATGCTCCGAGACCCGAACCTCGATATCAAACTGTCACAAGCAAAATGCCGTGCTTCTACTGATGCGAGGATGTAGTGCTACACGCTATGGAACAAGATGATGATGATGGAAGCAGCAGAGTATGAATATGGGACGTCCATCAGGCGGTGAAGGAAAAATTATATGTTGTTCTTTATATGATGTGTCTGTCTCGAATGCACTCCCCTTCCCCTTTCCCGAGATTCCCTCCAACAGGCGCCTTCCTTTGCACCTTTCGGTTCTCCCCATTGCAAGGTTATAGGTCGCAGGCGCCGGTCTAATATCCAACATGCAAGTACCCTGTGCCCTGTGCCTAGACATCTGTCACATTGGAGCCTCGTCCCACGACAGTACTGCTACCACAGGCGGCGGTTTCTGAGTGTCTCATCATTCGAGATGTCAATGTCATTCTCGAGAGTGTACTCACGGCCCTCCTTCTTTGCTCTGAGAATCTCGCGTCTTACTTGCAGCACTTGTGATTCCACCCTCCTCGTGAGCCACCACACGTAGAGTGTGGACAGGAAGCCACTGGCAACCATGCACATGCAGATGACGAAGCTGTTCTTGTACCCATTGTGCTGCCACCTAGACGGGAAGAACTGGGGGGAGATAACAGATCCGATATTGGAGATGGAACTCTGCAGCCCCATGGCGAAGGACGCCCCGGTGGCCCCCGACAGATATCCCGCCCGCCATGACCAGTAAGGCGGGTAGAAGGCGATGGTGAAGAAGCCGCCGATGACGCAGGCAGCATATTTACCATTCTTGTTCAGCGTAATGAGCAAGATGTAAGACAGCAACGAGCACAGTATTATGATCCTAGAGATGTAGAGTCAGTGTCATGACGTATCGAAGATGTAAGAGAGAGCATATCCCTCCAACTCACAAACAGGAAAATGGTCTCCAACAGTATCCTCGTCCGATGAACCATGCACTGAAGATGACGCCGACGACGCCGGCTGCCACTGGCGGGATATTGAGGAGCTGGTTGGCGGGCAGGCCTACGAATCCAAAGTCGGTAATGATGGTGGGGAGATACCAGTTGAAGCCTGCGAGACTGAGGTTCATCGAAAGCTGGATCAGCGTGAAGCCCCAGATGACCGGGCTCTTGAAAGTAGCCCAGGCCTCCTTGCCGTTGAAGTTGTCATCGCTCGTCGTCGGAGTGTTGGTGGGCAGACGAGCCTCGATGAACTCCTGCTCCCGCTGTGTAAGCCACGAGTTACTGCGCGGCGACTTGGGAAAGTCGGGTAGGACCCAGAAGATGACCCCCCCCAGCAAGATCGTCGCACAGCCCTCGATGATGAAGACCCAACGCCAGGCGGAGAGGCCCCGGGCACCGTCTATGTGGCTGATGCCGTAGCAGAGCAGTGATCCCACAATGCCGGATAGCTGCGAGATTCCGAAGAACCACATCATAGGGCGGCCAAATTCGTCCGTGCGATACCAATAAGTCAGGGTCGTGATGACGCCGGGGAACATGCCGGCTTCGAAGAGCCCGACCAGGAACCGGCAGGCGTACAGCTGGCCCATGGTCCTGACGGCGCCAGAGCAAGCAGTGGCTATACCCCAGGACAAGAAGATGCGGGACTGCCAAGTGTGGGGGGTGAAATACTTCAGGACCAGGGTGCTCGGAAACTCGAACAAGGTGTAAGGGATCTTGATGACGAGAGTCAGCACGATGCTCCAGCAAGACGGTGAATTATATTGCCACATACCCCATATATTGAGCCCACCCAGTTGTACTGGTCCAAGGACATGCCGAGCTCTGTGCGTATATTGGTCGGCTTCCCGACCTGGAGGACTTTGATCAGGGTTGCGTTTGAATTATCGATCTACGTATCTGTTAGGCCGGTCCTCGTCGCTCTCGGGAGGGAGGTGGGTGTGCGCTTGACATACGTTTTTTACCATGAACATGAGTCCAATCAGGACGAAGAAACGGACATCAACTTTTCTCATGATGGAGTTTGCTTCTTCCTTGGAGAAAGTCGCAAGGAACGCAGCTCTGGCTTCTGGGTCCTCCCGCAGTCTGGGAGTCCGGACGGCATCTACCTCATCGGGGGATTCAGCAACGACGGTAGCGGACCCTTTTGCGTCTCCGGCAGCATCTCTGTCGCCGTAGCTGACACTCTTGACAGTAGAGCTAGCAGCCGACATTAGAAAGAAAGATGAAGAGTTGGCACGGAGGCGCCGGATAAGTAAGATGACGGTTCGGCGGGCCTTGAGATATTAGCAGCTGCCTGAGCTATGCACCTCTCTCCTTCGGTACCCACGAATTCGCAAACGGTTCGGTCGAAGACTTATATACAGACACCTGCACATCTCCTTGATCGATAACGCCAAGAAAAACAGGGAACAAGATCTCTGAATTATATCCGGTTTAGCAGGCCGTCAACAGTGGGAACCTCCGCAAGAGTGGCGCCTCAGACTACGAGCGTAAGGCGTGATCTCTGTGAGCAGGGGCAAGGACGGGATTGCAACATGTGGTCTGGTAATCCGAATTGTGGGATATAAGGCAGGGGGAATATACTCGTACGTGGCTGGATACCTGCACTGGCCTGGTACCAGTCTGCTATCAGCTCTTTGCTCTATGGTGTCATTCTGCGGAATATGATGAAAAGTAATATCATTACTATCTCGGAGGTCACGTAGAGACTTGAGTCTGGCGTTTCGCTTACGCTTCCCCCACCTGCAAGATGTAGACCAGCCATGCGGCGGGCAACCGTTGAAGCGACATCGGATCGGAGGTGTACATTCTGAAGCCACGTAGGTCAAGGATCGAAAGAAAAAAAGGGAGAAGAGGAAACGGCAGCCCGGGTAATGTCGACCCCACCTGATGATTGCATTCGTTATAGATGATGTGAGGAAAGATTCAATATGTTACCGGTATATTAGTTGTTGATGGCCTTAGGCCACCTAGGTCACGTGGTTCAGCTAGCCCTTTTGGCCCGCCTCTCAGATCAGATAACTAGCTTCCTTCATCATCACCCTCATTTCTTCGGCTTCTTGTGCCACCTTGTGCGCCAACAGTAGTCTTTAGATGGTGGCGGTGGCAGCCATATGCCACACTGCACTTGATGAACGAGAGCACGGGATTGAGGGCTTATATAATCGATATCACTGATTACCGAAGCAAACGAGGCCAAAGTTTTGCTTGATGATATGATACCATATTACTACGGATACAGCGGGGAAAGTCCGACAGATGCCAACCGTATTTCCTTATTCACGTTCACATCACTGTACTCCTTCGCTCTTCCTTGTTAGAGGGTGGTCGAAGGTGTTGGGAAATGGCTAACCTTGATTATATCGGAGGGGGAAACTCCCCACACACAAATCAACTTAGTGGCCGGAAGACTCAGCCTTAGACTCTCGAGGAACCTTCTCCAATACATCATCAGTTTTTTTCAGATTCCAACATTCGTTATATCTCGGCATAATACGAAGGAAGCATCCCGCATAATCCAGAGTCGTCACCATGGGCCTCACTCAAAGGGATCTTGACATTATTTCGATACGCCCTCTCGGTGCCGAACTTGAACCGTTTCGCAGCAAATGGAATAGCGATGCCAGCAATCTGCGACGGGAGGCCATCGCAGGTCTTCTATTGACACTACTTGTTACCCCAGCCGCCTACAGCCTTTCCCTACCGAAAAGAAGGGACAATGTGGCACACTCGCTTCTCTCCATGCGACAGCGAGTTCAAGACGGCATGGTCGAAGTCAAGCATTTCCAACCCCTAATTCGCCACATCATTGACAAGTCGCCAGATGAAGAAGTTTGGGCCGCAGTCTTTGACATTATTAACACTCTCGATCCGCTCACGCCTCCACTGCAAAGTATTATTCCAACTTTAGTATAGGGACGCTTATCAAGCTAAATTCGAACCGGCTTATAGATGGCGAAGCACGAGAGGTCGTTGAGAGAGAGATTTTCCACGAGATTAAAGACTGTACCTTTCGTAACGTCGGCGGCTTCTGCGATAGATTCTTTAACCCTAATAGTTGGAGCAAGGAAAAGCAGCACATGCTACAGGGAATGATGGCAGAGCACGATGGGAGAAGGTGGGCGGGATTTCCATCAGTTGCCGACGAGAAGCCGATCTGGGACCGGCTTATCTCATTACAAGAACACGCCTTGACCGATGCACCGCATAAGCTCTACACCACTCAGACCGCTAACCAGTTCAGAGAGCGGAAAGGTCAGATGGACATCTTCTTCCAAGTCCAAGTACCCAACAATACAAGCGACACATTCGAGTATAAGAACGTTCTTGTCGGAGAGCAGAAGAAGTCCTACGATGCAGGCAGATTCAAGGCAGATTTTCTTCAGTTAGCACGATATGCGCGAAGCATCTTTACCGACCAACCCATAAGGAGGGTTGTCCACGCGTTCCTCCTCTGTGGGTCTATGATGGAGCTCTGGGTCTTTGACCGATCTGGGGCGTACAGCTCGGGGCCCTTCAACATCCACGAGAAGCCGGATCAGTTTGCCGGCGCACTCGTCGGGTACGCGACAATGGACGGCGACGAAAGGGGCCTAGATACTTTTATCGAGCGGACGGATAGGAACCGCCATTTTGTGTTGAACGACCCGAGCGGCAATATATTGACGATTAGGCTTAGCAGGCCAATCGTACGGCAAAAGGCGATTGTATGCCGGGGGACTACATGCTATGCAACGCAAGACGGCCAGGTTGCGAAGTTCTCATGGGTGTCGGACAAGCGGACGCCAGAGGCGGACCTTCTTAAGCTAGCACAAGAACGAGGAGTTGAGGGTGTCCCGAAGCTAGTGGCCTATGACCGGATCACCTCTGTTCGCGAGTTACGGGCGGGTCTAGCATTCCCACAACGGCACCGGTTCCGGGATGAAGATAGCTCCTTCAAGGATCTGCCGTCGACGACGGGTCAGAAGCGCAGGTGGCCTCCAGAATCCGCGTCAGATGGTGCGGCCGGATCGAAGAGGTGTCGCTTGAGCAGCCAGGATTCGGGGCGACTGCAGGAAATCAACAGCGGGTTGTCGATCAAGAATACGCCTAGCCTTCATACAACTGACTCGGAGCTATGGGAGAACAGGGTATATTCCTGCCTAGTCGTATCGCCTGCCGGTCGTGTCCTCAGCCAGTTCAAGACGGCAAGGGAGCTGCTTGAAGCCTTACGAGATGCGATCAAGGCCCATCGGTCTCTCTATATAAATGGTGACATCCTCCACCGCGACGTCTCGCCAAACAATATCATCATCACAAGACCCGAAACCACTGGCTTTAATGGCATGCTCATCGACCTTGACCAAGCCAAGGTTGGAGATGGCAGGCCGAGCGGAGCGCAACGGCAGACAGGAACGGTGCAGTTCATGGCGCTAGAGGTCCTACGTAGTGTCGACCACACCTATCGCCACGACCTAGAGTCCTTCCTGTACGTTTTGATCTGGATGTGTGCGCGCCAATCCTGGAATAATGCACTCAGTGGTGTTGGCGAGATGAGGCCTAGGACGGATCTACTTCGGAATTGGGAGGTTGGAAGTTTTGAGGAGATCGCCAGTACAAAGATGGGTCATGTGACCGTGGACGGCATGGACAACATTATGGACGCCTTTCCAGAGGCACTTGATATCGTTAAACCTCTATGTTTAAGGCTGAGAAGGATTCTCTTCCCTCTAGGCGAGGATGAGAGGATGAACTTTGGAACCCCGTCGGGAGACCCTGACCAGCTCTACGGTCCTATCATGGAAGCCTACAACGATACCATCAGCAAGCTGTAGAACATCGCTACCGGAAAGAAGAAGTAATTTGCACAGTGAGCTGATATGGGGAAACGACACATCTTCACTGTCACAATCGCTGTAGCAGGGCTTATGGTGTTGGTCCGATGAGAATGATTGAAGACGGATACGAGGCTTGGCGTGGATAATATCCCGCTGCATGGTTCACGGTAATATCACATATCAAGTGTCAATGACCCGGGGATACCTTCTTTAAGCTGCCATTGTTCCACTCGTATCACACGTACTTGCGGGTGATCTACAGTCTGGCGACGTGATGGAAACAAAAGATGCATAGTTGCCAAGATTCCGCGCTTGTCAAATCGATCGGGTATGTCACCGCGAAATCACGAATCACGATGGATGGGTGGCGTCAGGCGTCTGCAAGTCCCACACAAACGGACGTCCCACGTTTCTCTTTTTTTTTCTTTTTTTCTTTTCTTGAGAAACATTGATAGCGGAAGGATTAAAGAAGAGATGACGCAGAGTGTCATGAGATGATTTCTTTTCCTGTTCCTCCAACCTCATCCTCATTCGCAAACCCTCGACTTGGTCGGCAACTGATAGCATAGCAATCTTCGACTCCTCCAACAGACAACGAGGCAATTCGAGCAACTCCCCCGGCCCCTCCCAAGATGGTTGCCGTGTTCCTGTAAGCACCTCCTCCCCTGTCCCCTTTGATACAGGTTACCCCTCACTCGGAAAGCAGATGCTAAGCACGGACATGTGCACCGCAGTATTGGTGCCTCCGGCTTCGTCGGCGGCCAGGTCCTCAAGCAGCTTTCCCAAGACCATCCAGAGTTTGCCATCCGGGCTCTGGTCCGCGACGCCCAGGTCGGAAAGCGCATCTCGGACCTCTACCCCAGAGTCGAAATCATCGTCGGCGGCCTGGACGACGATCTGGTCGAGGTGGAATCGTCCAGGGCAAACATTGTTCTGAGTAAGGACAATCCACCAAACGTCTGATCGGATTCACTGTTGCTAATCACAAGGCCAACTCAAAAAAAAAAAAAAGATGCCGGTTCAAACAAACATATCGTAGGAGCACGGGCCATCCATCGGGGACTAGGCAAGCGCGATTCCACATGTGAGTCTTGGTAAACATAAGCCCCAACAGGCACAAGCAGAGCGTGATAGTCCACAAGCCAACCTGGTCCTCCTCCGCCAGCCTACTGGGTGCAGATATCGGGTGCAAGCCTCTTGGCCGCCAGGGACCTTGCCTCTCCCGACTACGACGTTGGGCTTCCGTCGTCAAAGGTCTACGACGATCTCGAGGGAAGGGACGAGGTCCGATCTCTGATCAGAGACCACCCCAGTCGGGAGATTGATAACTACTTGCTGGACGTGGGCAGCCAGACCCCGCAGGTCAAGACGGCCATTGTCTTCCCCCCCATCATCTACGGCAAGGGAGACGGTCCGGTGCATCGGACCAGCATCCAGATCCCCTCGCTCGCCCGCGTCACCCTAGAGAGGGGTCACGGGGTGAGAGTGGGGGCCGGCGAGAACCGCTGGGGTCACGTCCACGTAGCAGATGTTGCGCGCATCTTCACCGGACTGGCAGAGGCTGCGGCTGTCGGCAGGGACGACGCGTCGCTGTGGAATGACGACGGCCTCTACCTTGCGAGCACTAGCGACGTGGTAAGCCAAATTTCGGTCTTCCCTTCTTATTCGAGCCTATCGTGAACTAATACGAGCGTGACTTTTTTCTTCTTTTTTCTTCTTCTTTTCATCTAGAGCTTTGCCCACCTCTCCAACTTGGTCGTCAAGGCCGCATCGGAAAAGGGTCTCATCAAGAGCACCGACATCCAGGTGCTGTCAAAGGAGGAATCCGCCAACGTACTTCCTGGCGGACCCGTCTTCTTCGGCTCTAACGCCAGAGGTATCGCCAGCCGAGCAAAGGAACTCCTGGGTTGGAAGCAGACGGAGCATGGCATAGAAGAGGAGATACCCCGCGCAGTCGCCGAGGAAGCCAGCAACCGAACGGGCAAGTGAATGCCGACGGCATATGTAGATGGAGAGTCATATTCTGAGAAATGATGGTAAAGGGAATGCTCCGAGCTTTGGGAGAAGAAGTTACGAGATTGGGGTTAGGGTCAACAACGTCTCTTCTTGTGTATCCACATTGACTACACCCTGGAGAAAGAGAAAGAGACTTCCCCTCACCATGGCATTCATTGACCATGAATAATGTTACATAATTACGTTTCCCGACGTGCCACTCCGAGCTGTCCAACACTTCTCTCAACATCCCTTCTCTCTGTTCCTCCGGCCTTGAAACTAAACAGCTCAACCGCCTATCGTTGCATCATCTTTCTTGCAAATCAGAAGGGGCAGGCATTTCCGGTCAGTCAGTCACGCCGGCGTGAACTCCACATAGCCGAGACAAGATCCACTTTCCAGTTGAAGTTATTGCAATATTGTTCACGTCGCTGGGTCGTTTTTCCTGATTGAGACGCGGCCTTATCGTGCCCCGCCCCGCGATATCACACACTGTCTGTAATGTACATGTAATAATACCGTAAGACTCCCCCGGTTCTCAGCAGTGGGGTTGAACAATCATGCTCACTTGGAGTTGGAGTGTATCGACAACCTGGATGAATAGCTTGCAACACAAGAAATCCTGAAGCAGAAGAAGAAGAAGAAGAGAAGAGAAAGAGAGGACGAAGAAAAGAAAACGAGGTGCGTGTCTATCTGATCTTTGGCCGTGAGTACGCGCGAGAAGCTCCCTCTGACACTGATTATCAACCTCAGACTCAACCTACGCCAGAGAACTATATTGTATACCACCACCATCACTATACTATTACTGCTACTACCGCTACAAGTAGACTCTCCCACGAACCGAACCGGGTAGAGACTTTGACATAATCCATAACCGACTCAGAAATGGCGCCTCCTTCCGTGGAACTCGAGGCTCCCAACGGGGTCAAGTTCTCGCAGCCTACCGGCCTGTTTATCAACAACGAGTTTGTCGAGTCGTCGTCGGGGCAGACCATCACCTCCATCGACCCTGCGTAGGTCCATCCATTGAGCCTCGATTCCCCCTTCCCCGCTCGCCACGGAGCTAACGTTGAGGCCGTATCCCGCTCGATAGCACGGAAGAGCCTATTGCCAGCGTCCAGGCCGCCGGTGTCGACGATATCGACAGGGCCGTCAAGGCTGCGCACAAGGCACTCAAGGACCCCTCGTGGAAGGAGCTGTCCCCCACGGACAGGGGCAAGCTCATGTTCCGCCTGGCGGACCTACTGGAGAGCAAGGCCGAGGTGTTTGCCACGATTGACGCCTGGGACAATGGTACGCCATCATCTCGCGCGGCAGGATGAGCCTGCATCTTCTTTCACGCACTGACCATCCCACAGGAAAGACCTACCAGGAGGCTCTGGACGTGGACCTGGTCGAGGCCACGGCCGTGCTGCGCTACTATGCCGGCTGGGCCGACAAGACCTACGGCCAGACCATCAGCACGACGTACCAGAAGTTCGCCTACACGCTGCGTCAGCCGATCGGCGTCGTGGCCCAGATCATCCCGTGGAACTACCCGCTTTCCATGGCCACGTGGAAGTTAGGCCCCGCGCTGGCCTGCGGCAACACGGTGGTGCTCAAGCCCGCCGAGCAGACGCCCCTCAGCATCCTCGTGCTCGGCGAGCTCGTCAAGGAGGCTGGTTTCCCCCCCGGCGTTGTCAACTTCGTCAACGGAATCGGGCGCGACGTCGGCCCCGCACTGGTGGGCCACGAGCTTGTCGACAAGGTAGCCTTCACGGGGTCGACGGCCACGGCGTCGACCATCATGGGCGCCGCCGCCAAGACGCTCAAGAACATCACCCTCGAGACGGGCGGCAAGTCGCCCCTCCTCGTCTTTGAAGACGCCGACATGGACCAGGCCGTCAAGTGGTCGCATATGGGCATCATGTCTAACCAGGGCCAGATATGCACCGCCACCTCGCGCATCCTCGTCCAGAAGACTGTCTACCGAAAGTTCGTCGAGGACTTCCTCGCCCAGACAAAGGCCGTTAGCGTCGTCGGCGACCAGTGGTCTAAGAACACATACCAAGGTCCGCTGGTGTCCAAGGCTCAGTACGACCGGGTCCTCGAGTACGTCAAGATTGGCGTCGACGAGGGCGCCACCCTCGCATCCGGCGGGAAGCCCTTCAAGCCCGAGGGAGCCAACGACAAAGGTTTCTTCATCGAACCCACCGTCTTTACCGACGTGAAGCCGTCGATGCGCGTCTTCCGCGAGGAGATCTTCGGCCCAGTCGTCGTCATTACCTCCTTCGACACCCAGGAGGATGCCATTGCCCTGGCTAACGATTCCACGTACGGCCTCGGATCGTCCGTCTTCACCACCAATATCGAGCGCGCTCACCGCGTCGCTGAAGAGATCGAAGCTGGTATGGTGTGGATCAACAGCAGTCAGGACTGTGACCCCCGGATTCCCTTTGGCGGCGTCAAGCAGAGCGGCATTGGAAGGGAGTTGGGCGAGGCAGGGCTCGAGGCTTACAGTCAAATCAAGGCGGTCCATGTCAACATGGGTACCAGACTGTAGAGCTGGTGAAAGGCATTGTCGCTTAGCGTCTATATAAATAAGCATGCATACTACCTACTTCATAGCTGTCTGTCGTTCCTTTCCATGAGCCTACAGTACACAGCTCGTGCGTCTGCGGCGTAGGCTACTGTCTTTAGTCCCCGTGAGCTTGCCGAGGGGTTCTCATATATTTACTGTTGTCGCTTAGAATTCGCGGTCTCAGAAATGACCGAGCTGAGTAAATTTACTTTTTCCAACCGGTTAATCATTAGTCGTCCAGAACATCGAGATTGATAGTGCGGTTGCTTGCAACGGCCGTCGGATCAGTATCATAGCCCATATCGCTTTGCAGGAAATTGGCAAAAGTCGCAATGTTTTGGGGTGGTTTTTTTTCTTTCTTGTAATTTCTTGTTCTCGGCTGTCCATATTCAGTCTCATATCTCGTCTTCCTCATCGTCAAAGTCGTCCTCTCTGCCCATGTCGTAGAGGATTCTGCCACCCTCGCCGGCGCCAATATCGGTCTGGGCATCAAAGTACGGCAGGACAATGCCATCCCTGTCCTTGCGTTGCTTGTCCGTGAGACCGAGGTTAAAAGTGCTCTCTGGCTCCTCCTCTCCCTGGCCGTTTTCTCCTCCGCCGCCAGCAGTGGGCGCAGCAAACATGGGGTGGTCGGTCAGTAGCACAACCTTTCCCGTGGAAGCAGCCGCAGCGGCAGGCTTGTTGCTGGATGTGTGAGTGATACCTGCAGTAGCGTAGAGAATGAATCTCTCCGAGACTGCCCTGCCGCTCCTCCGCCGCAGCTCCATCTCTATTACTGCAACGCCACGAGCCTCCTTATCTCCTGCCTGCCGCAGTCCGATCAGGATACCCTCACGATCTTCCTTTAGCCCCCACTCCGGTTCCACGAGACTCCTATTCCTCGCCCGCTGACGGTCTATCTCTTGCTCGAGGTTCGACAGGCGCAAGACGGCCGTGGCGAGATGGCATAGTACAGTGAAGGGATGAGGCTCGTACTCATTCCACGAGTATGGGAGTACGACAGGGACGTCATCATGATACACTGACACAAGGGATACGACGGGCGTGATGATGCTGGTCAGGAACATCGACAGCGACTGTGGTGCCCATGACGCCAGCGTGTTGAGCGAGTCAATGACGACGACGGCTCCTATTTTCCACGGCATCAGTATCATCCTTTTTGTTGCATCTATTCTCCACTGCTGAACTGGCCGGCTCAAAAGAGAGAGAGAAGGTGAAACTCACTCGGCGCCGTCTTGCTAAGCGGTGTTGCCGGGTCGAAAGGCGGGTAATGGAGCATAAGTTCGGCATGGACCTTTCTCACGTCTCGGCCTGCAGCCTTGACAAAGACGTCTACATCTGTCGGCTTCTTGAGTGTCTCAAACGACAGGAATATGACCTTGGATTTGGATATCTATTCTCGCACCCACGTCTCATGAGCCACGCAGACACTCACTCCAGCATCATCAAGCATCAGAGGTGGGGGGGAGGGAAGGGGGGAATACCTTAGCCCGAGTGATGAACTCGGAAAGAATAGGCCGAGCTTTTTGTTCCAGATTGTCCAGGATAAGAGTCAGAGGGCTAGCACCGTCACGCAAGCTGAGGAGCTTCTGCAGGAGCAGGAGGCTGTGAGAGCGGCTGTGAACGTTGGCGGGTGCCATGCTGATGGTGGGGGGGGGACTGGCGATTTACTAAAACCGCCCTGGTTCCTGTCTCCTGGTTCGTGGAACCCGACACTTCAGGGTGTGTGAGTCCTCTTTCCTATTCTTCGGGTAGTTGATGGGTTGTGCGGGTTCTTTTTTTTTTTTTTTTCACGATGATGGTGTTGAATGTTTGATTTTGCGACGGTGAGATTAAGAGCTTGAAGTTTGTGAAATGCCCCGCCTGTTGCGGAATGTACAAATCTAGACGCGCGAAGAAGGAACAACCCACCTCAATGTTTGTCCTCTTCCGGCTCCTATCTAGTAGCAGGGATCCAATGGAAATGGAAATCAGTAGTCACCAAATTATTGTCATAACGCTTACTAGTAGTATCAAAGTTGGGATTTCCGATGATCTTCACCTATGCCTTTCTCATTTCTCCATCCTGATCTACCAACCTGTCGCCGGTCGCCATAGCATCCACTGAAAATGACGCTGCTTTTGGCGGCTCACTGTAATGCTAAGATGTCGATGCTGCACACCCACAACACTACCAAACAAATTTGAAGGAGAGATAGATTGTATCTCCTTCCCATGATGACAAGTTTCCTATAATAGTAGCAACACAACTAGCAATTTTGATAGTACTGGGGTGATTGAATAGACAGCTCTCCCCTCCCTTTCTTGCAGTGGTATCAATGCTCGTACACTCGTTTTTCCATCACCCCATCGAATAGGGATAGAACACACGTGCCCTTTTCTTTTCCCTCTTCATTACGGCTAGGCCAATTCGTCGTCACTAGCTTCGGCGTCAACTTCCATCTTGGTCCCGTATCTCTTACTGGGCGTCGTTTTAGCCATGGCTATTACCGGCTCGACGTCAGATCCTTGCAACTCGTCCACCCCCATACTATCGTTGTGGCCCGGTGTCCTGGTGTTGAGGTTTTCGGGATCGCTCGCCTTTGCCCTCTTTTGCGGGCTTCCACTGGCTTCTGGGTAGCTTGCAGACTTATCACTTTCTTGCTGGTTGTTGTGCATGGCCTCGCTGTCTCCATTCGTCTTGTCGCTACTGTCGCCGTTGGCAGCGTCCGTGTGCGGGGCCTCTTCCCGCACTATTATCTCATCTTCAACCTTTCCGCCTCTTTCTCGGGGAGTCCCGTACCCCCTGTCAGGCTTGAACTCGTGTGGTAATTCGACATCCCATTCCATCTCAAACTTGGCAATCAAGGTGTCGTCAAAGTCGCCAGTTTTGCGCTGCTGGTATGCCGAAAAGGCACTCTCCAGCCACCCGGGATCGAAGCGACCCTGGGCCAGATTCTCAACGAAGCTCGCACAGTCGTAACGAAAGGTGTCGTCATTCAGAAGAGCAGAAAAGTTTGGACGCGCATCATCTGTTCCAACACCAATAACGAACGTCTGATCCGGAAAGAGGGAGATGATTTCGTTCTTTTCATCTTGGTTGAGAACATCCCAGGCCATGGGTTTCGACAACAGGCCCTTTCCAAACCCCATCAGGTCAGTACGGTAAACAGTAGCGCGTAGATATACAGATGGAGTCTCAAGGCCATACCCTCAAATCAGCTTTGGTCAGCGGCGAGCTGGGATCTGTGAGCATCCGCTCAGCATCCCACTTTGACTCCTTTGGCTGCCGACGTCTAGGAGCAGCCTTCTTGGCTGTCGATTTGCCGGCAGTGGGGGACTGCTTCTCACCAGCTTGGGTATCAGCCCCGAGGGCCACCCTTGTGCTGCTCCGAGTAGCCCTGATGCGTGTTGATGAACGCGTCGGTATGCCATTCTGCGGAGAATGTTCGGGCTGCTCAGGATTATCGGGAGGAGGCGGCGATAGAGAAAGTGAGTTTTTATCTGGCATTGGTGGCGTCGTCAACTGAGTGCCTAACACGGCTATGGGCTCCTCGTTTTCTTTATCCATCAATGAATATCTTCCGACCAGACGGTGTAGTGCTGCTTGGAACTTAATGCGTGTGTTTTCACTTTGGTGGCTGTTGGCGCATCTCAAGAAAAAGGTGACAGGACCCAAGATTCAAATGGGCTTCTGCCCTTCCCCCCCCCCCCCCCCCCTACGGTGCTCCCTGGCGATTTCAGCTGCTGAGCCGCCCTGAACATATCAGATCATTTCAACAAAGAAACGGGAAGGCGCATCACCACCGCCACCACCGACCCCGACGTCATTGGGGTGGAATTCCATCGTTCATAAATCGAACAGAGATCTGAATTGGAGAAGAATTATATGGAACGTTTCGTAATATCTATTTGTACATTATAACCCACGTATTACGAGTACAGTATCCCGTAGTCCTACATCATCATCGTGGCTGCACTGAGCTCGGTTTGATGCCCGTCGGGGTATATTATACCGACGTTACTCACCTCAAATTCTCCGTCCCACCCAAAAGTCATCCAACCATCTGACCCAACCCCAACTTATCACACGCCTTTCCTCCACCCACCATCTCGTAAGCTCATGGGATGTGGGTTTTACCCAGGAGAGCAGCATGTATTCCAGTATGCAAACCGTCAACATCTCCACTATGCTAATACCTGTCCAGCGTCGGTCCCACAGACTTTCTGGTCCCAGGGCCAATAGCAACGGCTTCCTCTTGTCGTAACAGGTCAGATTCGTTGCTACGTGGTTGTTTTCAAGTGCTACCTTCTTTACTTCTTTCCCCCTCTCTCTCGACCAAAATCTTTCTTGATCCTTTTCTTCCCTCGCGATTTGCATACTCAGAGACAGGAAATCATACAACATGGTACATCTAGGCTACGATGACGTGCACCCCTTCTCCAAGGTTGACATAAAGGACAGGGCTTCCGTGCAGGAGCTCCTCGAAACTGTTCTCGACCCTCTAGAGCCTTTCTTCTCTCCCGGAAAAGCCCGGGTCAGGTGTCCTGGTGCCACTGCCGTTCGCTTTGACCAGACTGCCTCCGAGGTTGAGGGCTTTGCCCGCCCACTCTGGGGTCTGGCCTTCCTGCTCGCTGGCAATGGCAAGTACCGTGGAACAGACTGGTGGGTTAAGGGGTTCACGACAGGAACGGACCCTGATCACCCTGAGTACTGGGGTTATCCGAGGGACAACGATCAACGCATGGTTGAGAATTGCCCGTTGGGTTAGTTTTGTTCCTTCCAAATACCATGTTCTCTCGTAAGCTCATCTGGTACTACGAACACAGGTTTCGCTCTGGCCGAGGCGCCTGTCATCTGGCAAAGCTTGACGCCGAAGGAACGGGAGAATGTGGAGAATTGGCTTGGAAACTCCATAAACGAGAAGAGGTAGGCGTTCGCCGTCTTGTCCAGTGGGAGCCTGCGTATTGACGCGTCCACAGGATGCCTAACACCAATTGGCTATGGTTCCGGGTATTTGCCAACCTAGGGCTCAAGAAGAATGGCGGAAAGTTCTCCCAGGAGAAACTCGACAGTGACATCAAGCACCTCGACACGTTTTACCGGGGAGGCGGCTGGTCAAATGATGGACCCGAGGGTATTCATCGTACGTCTGAAGATGTCCGTCATCGTTTCCTAGATATAGCTGCTGACAGGTTGATTAGAGATGGACTACTACTCTTCTAGCTTTGCAATCCAGTTCCTCCAGCTCCTATACGCCAAAATTGCAGGAGACGACGATCCCGAGCGCGCACAGGAGTTTAAGAAGCGTGCGCAGCTGGCTGCCCTGGATTTGGCGCACTACTACGATGACGTGGGGAGGGCCATCCCATACGGCCGCAGCATGTCCTACCGATTTGCCATGGTGTCATTCTGGGGCGCTCTGGCCTATGCTGGTGTCGAGCTGCCTGCTCCCCTGACGTGGGGTATGGTCAAAGGTATAACCTTGCGCCATCTCCGCTGGTGGCAGACGCAGAATGACATGTGGACATCAAGCGGGACCATGTCTCTGGGGTACTCGTACCCCAACATGTATGTACGTACTTGATAGCTCCCCCTGCGAGATTCGCATTGAATATATTTGGCCATACTAACAAGCTGGCTAGATAACGGAAAATTACAACAGCCCAGGAAGTCCAGTGAGTCCTCCCAAGGTGCCCCGGCGAAGACAACTATGAGATTAACCCCTTACAGTACTGGGCAACTCTGGCCTTCATCTGTCTGGCCGTCCCTGAGACACACCCATTTTGGACATCCAAGGAGGAGTTTCCCAGCCAGGTCATTCCCAGGATCAAGGCTCTCCACCAGCCTGGACATATCATGAGGTTCGCATCATCCCAAATACAGCAGGCAGGTACACAGACGCTCACAAGGCAACCAGCTACCTCGGCGGCCACTGCATGCTCCTCTCCTCGGGCCAGGCATGCAGCTACCCGATGAAGGGCACGCACGCCAAGTATGGAGGATTTGCCTACAGCAGCGCATACGCCTACTCCGTCCCCCCCGGCCTGTTCTCGCTCGAGCAGTACGCACTGGCATCGCAGCTGGGTCTGTCGGACGACGGGGGCGAGTATTGGAAGACCCGGAGGACAAGCGAGTATGCAGCAATTGAGTACCGTGACGACAAGCCAGTTCTCGTGTCAGTGTGGCGCCCGTTCCCCGACGTCAAGATCCGGACGATCCTCGTACCGGCCACAGAGAAGACGCCCAACTGGCACCTGCGCGCTCACAAGATCGAAGCGGGGCGCGAAGTGATGACGGCAGACGGCTCATTTGCCATCCGCAACGTCAACTCGGACAATGGACGGTACCTGGACGCATACGACGCGGCCAGGTGCGAGGGCACGTCGCCCATCATCATCGGCAACTACGACGTTACCACCCCCTCGGGGTGGGCGTCCGGTCGTGACGGGTCATTTGCCGTGTCCAAGGGAGCAGTAGGAATCAGGGCGCTCGAGTCGTGGGACGGACGGAGAGCCAACCTAGTCAACGCGGATCCTAACTCAAACCTGGTAGAGAGCCGGACGGTTATCCCGACGCTGCAGCATACTATTCACAAGGGAGAGACGGTGGCATATGTGACGGGGGTGTATGCGAAGCCCGAGGGACCCAAGGAGGAGTTTCTCAGCGGTTGGGATGCGCCGCCCCAAGTGCCTAGTTGGCTTGAAGCAGAGTTGAAGTAGTTTTAGACTTGTCTATAAGGCTGAATATATTCCATCTTCTACTTTTCTTATACTTCGTGAATCCTGTGGAAGTGGGTTCATATACTGTGTCGGTCCCGATGAGAGGCTGTACCGTCTGTGTAGGATACGTCTAGGTTTTATGCTGAATGACCGCAGTTAACAGATAATCAATCACCTGCACATGTCAGTCATCCGGGTAAAAGGGTAACAGCTTCGGACAAACTGAGGCCATCGGGGACAGGGATGTGTTTTATTCAGCTGGATAAAAGGAGTACAGGGGTATTTTGGCTATATACCTTCTCTCTGTCAACCTCCGGACCCATTCAGCAAGTTTACCTTTGAGATCAAGGTGAAAGAAGCAAAGAGTGGCATCAAAGAAAACAAAATGTTCAACTAGTCAATACGATGCTATCCATCCCCGTCTGAGAATTCAGCACACTCAAAGAAGGGCGGGATCCATGGGGGGGAGGAAATGTGATATAACGTCGTCGTCTTATTCGTGGAGGATCATTTTCCGTGGGGGAGGGGAGGGAGGGGGGGGGGGGGGATGTATACCTAGAAGTCTGGGGTAAAAGATGGGGAAAAGCAACGTACGGTACTTTGGATTCCTCCTCTTGAACAGTATTATCGATGTTATGTCATGGCAAGATTCGGGAGTTTGGGGCCCGGGTGATAAGCCGGTTTTAAGAGGCCTCTTTCGAATTGTATCTACTACTAATACCTCTGTATATATATATGTAATATTCATGGATTATCCTTCCCATACCCCCATCTACACCTGTTGTCAGAATAATATCTCTTCTCTCTATCCAATACAGCACAGACACTCTTACTGTTTTTTTTTTTTTTGGCCCTCTGTATTATCGTCCTTTTTACTTTACCAAAGAGAGAGAGAGAGAGAGAAAGAAAGGACAAAATGACAATCATCGTCAAGGTTCTCCGCGCCGTCATCCGCAATGATGCCATGAAAGCGGACCCGGACGAGATCTACGGATGGCGCGTCTTCACCCTCGTCTTCTCCGCCTGCTTCGGCGGCATGGTATTCGGGTGGGATACGGGGGCCATCGGCGGCGTGCTTTCCATGCCGGATACGAAGGTGCGCTTTGGGTACGACAAGTGGTCCGACGGCGCGCAGTCCATGATGGAACAGAACATAGTGTCGACGCTGCAGGCCGGCTGCTTCCTCGCTTGCTTCTTCACCGGCTGGGCCGCCGACCTGTTTGGCCGGAGGAACTCGCTCATCTTCACAGGCATCCTGACGACGGTCGGCATCGTCTTCCAGGCCGCGTCGGCCGCCAATGGCACCCTGGCCGTCATGTATGTCGGCCGGTTCATCGCTGGCATGGGCGTCGGGGCTGCCTCCACCCTCACCCCGTTGTATGTGTCCGAATGTGCTCCGAGGTCTATCCGAGGTGCCCTTACTTGTAAGATGGTCTCCTTCCCCTTTCGGATTGTTTCTCGTGATTATCCGGCTTCGACTGGTTGGGCCTGCTGACGACTTCTGGAAGCTTTCTATCAACTCTTCAATGTCCTGGGCATCATGACTTCTTACTGGTATGAACCGTATCTGAGAACCGGTCGATGGTCTCGACCGAACACCTGCTAACGTACTTTCAGGGTCAATTATGGCTGCCTCCTACACGTCCCATCCCCCGCCGTCTTCATCGTCCCGCTCGCGCTCCAGTGTCTGCCTGCTGTGTATGTCATTTCTTGCAGCTGTTCCTGTTCTCGGTTCGATGCTTGGAAGGTGTGAAAACTTACCTGATGGTGGTCCTAAGTCTTCTCGTCCTCGGCATGCTCGTCTCTCCGGAGAGGTAACGTCTATCCCCCGAAACCTCATGGGCTCACCGCGCATGCGTGTCTGTCCGTCCGTCCTTCCCTAACAAGTCGATGTAGCCCCCGATGGTGTGCCAGAAAGGATGACTGGGAACGTGCTACGAATATCATTGTCCGTCTTCGCGGGTACGTCACACCGACATGAGCATACCGCCCCTGCCTTTCTCCCAGATTGCATTTATGCAACGTAAACCAAAGCATGTGCATGATATTGACAACACATCATCTCTCCAAGCCTCCCCGCCGATTCTGACTATGTCCGTGATGAGGTCCAGGACATGGCTTCGCAGCTCGAGGCAGAGCGTAGCTTGACGGGCGATGCGTCGGCCAAGACACTGATGAGGGAGATGGTGACCATTCCGGGAAACCGCAGGCGAGCACTCATCTCGATCATGCTCATGGTCTGCCAGCAAATGACTGGAGTCAATGCCATTGTATGTTTTATCCTCCTCTCCCTACGCCGCGTGTGTATGGAAAGGGTTGAAGTATTCGCAAGGGTGTCGGACGTGGCTGATTACCGACATCGATGTCGCATGTCAGAATTACTATGCGCCTCAGATCTTTGCCAACCTCGGCATGACGGGCACCGAGACTGGCCTTTTCGCCACCGGCGTCTACGGGATCGTCAAGACTGCCGCATGCGGAATCTTCCTCGTCTTCATCGCCGACTCGCTGGGTCGTCGCATGAGTCTCCTATGGACTAGTATTGCCCAGGGCTTCGTCATGTACTTGATTGGGATCTATGGCCGCGTCGAGCCGCCGGTCGAGGGAAAAGGCGTACGTTTTTGTTTCCGTCCTCAACCCTCTCCTCTGCCTTGTTTCCAGATAGTTTATTTTTGTCCGCTCTGTTTCTGCCGCCCAGGACTTTATGCGCTGACATGGGGCGGAGGGGGGCGTGTGCGCGCTTTCTAGGTTTCCGCTTTTGGCTATGTTGCCATCGTGTGCATCTACCTCTGGGCAGCGTAAGTGGTATCCATCATAGGCAATGGGTCTTACCCTCTCTGCCTTTGAGAAAGAATATGAGATACTAACGGAGAGATGTGCATCATAGCTTCTTCCAGTTTGGATGGGGCCCGGCTTGCTGGATCCTCGTATCGGAGATACCGACGGCACGGCTCCGTGCCACCAATGTGGCCCTGGCGGCCGCTACGCAGTGGCTGTTCAACTTTATCGTCGCGCGCAGTAAGTCCGGTTGCCTCCCTTTCCTCGTATTAGAAGTTCATGCCGTGGTGCGCCGGTCGGTGTGTGGCCCGAAAGAGGCAATGGTTGGCTGACGTGTGCGTGCGTGTGTGTGTGTGTGTGTGTGCAATAATGGCAGCCGTGCTCACCATGCAGGCGACCATGGGCAAGGCCGGGTACGGCATGTTCTTCATGTTTGGGTCATTTGACTTGCTCATGTTCATCTTCGTCTTCTTCTTCGTGCCAGAGACGAAGGGGCTCAGCCTGGAGAAGATGGACGAGGTCTTTGGTGTGGTCGACCCCAACAGCACAGGCAAAGCCGGTGTTTACGACGAGAATCCTGAAGCTGCGTCGCATATTGAGACGATCCGTGAGGAAGGAGGAGGCCGTGCTAAGGTCTAGCAAGGCTCCACAAAGTACGTCAGAGGGCGGGAGGGGGGAGGGGAGGCGTGTTGCCACAGGAGGAGGACGGGAGACCGTCGACCGTGTAAGTGAAGTGTAGGGGCTGCGTCGCCGTCTAACTGAGTGTGCGGGTAGACACCCCTGACATCCCTTCCTGGATCCAAGATACCATGCATCTGTAATACTTAGCTGGAGGGTAGGTATGGATTCATGGAGCACCTGGATAGCACCATGCTGCGCGTCTTATCCCACACTCGTAGACATGGTCGCATGTGCTTGGTGATCTCGTCCATGTTCCGCCAGCGTCGCATAGAACTGAGCACACCCTTCTTCTCCTCTGCACGGGTGTGGGCCAACAGGAGTTGACAGCCACAAAGGGATATGATTCGTTCATTGTGTTTGTTGTTTCTGTCGCATTGATGTGGATTTTTGGCGCCTACATAATCCAACCCCGGCTGGGTCTTTTTGTTCTTCTTCTCTTCTAGCTGCTTTTCTCCCCTTTTTTCTTCGTCCTTTTCTTTTCTTTTCTTTTCTTTTTCTTTCCTTTTCTTCCCGCCCCAGCTACTCGTTTCGGTGCCGGGGGAATGGTCATGCTCATGCAACTAGGGGACATGATGGGACTTCCGTTGGTCCAAGCAACAAGCCCGTGCTCCGTCATGCAAGCCCTTTAGGCGCTAGGTCAGGAAATCCGAAGACAGCGCATCAATGGCATTATTTATCATGCGCTCGTCCGTCTCTCTTCTTTCCCTCTCTCTCTCTGCGGTGTGTGGGTGGAAAGGAGCGGAAAGAGTCGCGGCCGCCAGGGCTGAGGTGGGACAGGGCCTAAAAAGCTGTTATGAGTATCAGTCCATAATATAACTCCGCAATGATACGCCGTTTCGTTGCGTTGCGTCGTACAAGAGCAGAACAGTTGTTAATGCTCGGTAACTATTAGCAGCTCGGCAATAGTGGGGTGAAACAGGTTTATGGAGATGACGTCGTGCCATCAGCTGTGCAATCCTCGGTGTGGTCGTATACTTTGGGATTAGCTGGGAAATTTTCTTGATACGATGAGTCGTATGGTCTTATTGATAGAACAAACATGGGGGGGGGGGGGGCACCTTGATATTGGCTGCTCCGTAATGCTCGGCAAGTTTGATGGGATGTCTTCAAGTTGTATACCCTCTCTATCGGTCGTACGGAGTATTGATATACATACATGTACAAATGTATGCAGGACATTGGTGAACTTGCTAGGCACCCGTCATTCTCAGCAGGAACTATTGGCTCAACAAAAGATGATGAAAAGAGTCGAGGCTCATAGGACATCACAGCAACGTTCGGCAAGTGTAGGATACGACGTGGTAACCTAGTGGTGACCTAGCAGGTATTATGGGCTGGAAGGGATTATTATGAGCACAGAGCAATAGTAACCCCTCGGTGATGCAACGTACGGCCTCCGCGGAGGGTAAGATCGGTAATGGGGCGATGTCGTACTAGCCGTAGCCGTATCGACAAACACGAGGACGAGACATGAGAACCCACTGGCAGCTGGTGACTGGCAACCAAGAATGGCTAAACAAAAAGCGAGAGCCGCGCCGGCGGCTCCTCGGGGGGTGCGAATTTGGGGAGTGAGAGACGGTATTAATTATATCATCTCGTAAAGGGAGAAGACGATCGTTCCTGAACGGCGATCGAGGCAGGGGTCTGGATGGAACCATTGGCGGGCTACGTAACCCAGTTGAGGAACTGGATGCCGATTTCCTGGAGATTTGGCCCCTTTGTTCTCCTAGCCACCTTTATTGTCTTGGTCAATCTTAACTGATGCTGTACGAGCAGGCCGAGCGAGCTCCTTGGTCGCACAAGTATCATGGTATTCCTCAACCTCTGACTTCCCGCACTTACTACTAGGCCCAAATACGCCTTGTGCATTGACATTCCTGCAGACTTCGCCGGCCCTTCTGGAACAATTCGGCTGCATACTCAGGGCGTGGGTCGACGCCCAATTGGGTCCAACCGTGCACGCATATGGAACGCATGGAACGTATGGAACGCTCTTGCGTACGTCCGTAAGCACGAATGGTGCCTCTGCTGCCGGATGGAGTAACTCAGTGCCAGACTCTCTACCATCTAGAGATGGGGAAAACGCCAGACGACCGGGGGTGACCTAGGAGAGGGATAGAGACAGGCACCAGACCAGGGGACCACAGTGGGGGGTGGCGTTGAGTGACGGATGTAGCATGTCATGATACATATGCAGCTGCGTTTTTGGCTCTCCCCTTACCTGCCAATTCCCCACCAAATACTCTGTTTATATCCTCTTTCTGCAAATGCCGAAGACAGCTCCTCTCGACCGGGGGTCACCCGTACTTACACTTGTACTCGTAGACGCGACGGCATTGATAGTAGTTGTCGTATGCCACGCCAGCCCAGCACGCGCAGCACGCGCAGCACGTCGCCCCTCCCACCCCCTCCACCCCCCCGGAGATGACCGGGCCCCCTCCCCCCGGTCCCATCCACACCCACACCCCCCATGAACCAATATCATCGTGGCCGATGTGAGAGAGCAGGCACAGGGAGAGAGTGAATGAGGTTGGGAGGAGGGGGGAGCTAGGGGGGTGTTGTTGATGGTGCGGAAGGGTTCTCAGTAGCGCTGGAGTAGAAAGAACCCTGCAGGATATATCGGGTGATTAGGTGCGCTACCTTGGCTGATGAGATTGGGCATCACAGTTCCGTCTTTTTTGATATAACGGAAGGGAGGCCCTGAGATCATCTTGTGGCGGTTCGTCGTGTTTCTCTCTCTCCTCTCTTCTTCCCATCATACCTTGGCGTTTTGCCTTCCCTTCAGAGGGAGAAGCCGTTGTCATCGTCGCCATACCGATCAAATCCTCTATCAGCACCCGTCTTTTCGTTTGGTCAGCATCTTGGTCAGCGAGAGAGGTTGAACCCGGAATAGGAAAGTAAAGACAGAAGGAGAACAGAGACAGAATTCGCCGCCTTCGTCGTCGTCGGCGGCTCTCAACCGGAATCTGCAGATGCAAGGAGCAAGGCAAGGGTCCACGAGTGGCGGCAGCGGCAGCGGCAGCGGCAGATTCAGAAGCCCGCCAACGGCCGCAGCAGCCGCGGGGTCGACAGCCGCTGGGGTCACAGCGGGACAGACCACTAGAACCACTGTGCCGGGTGGCCCTACAGCGCGTGCAGCAGCAGGTCTCCCTGGACCAACAGCTGTTCCTCTAGGTCATCAGCCGCTGTTGTCACAGCCCTTGCGTCTGATCTCACAGCACCACCAGCTGTCACCATTGCCATCGCACCTGCCATCTCAGTCTTCACAGCTCCTTCCCTCCCAGCAGCTCCCCTCGCGCCTTCCCACTCAGCTGGGTTCAGGTCCCGCGCAGCACCATCAAGGCTCTCAACAAGGCCACCATCACCAGCAGCAGCATCACCATCACCATCACCATCATCACCAGAATTTGCCTCAGCTTCCCCCCGCACACCCCTCATTTCGTGAGTACATACTTTTTATTAATCTATCGACGTTTTGGTGCCAGAGTACTTGCAGTAGCACCCTTGCTACTGCACTCTAGTACGAAACAGTACCAATAATATGATTTAGTGTTGGCTGTCTGTCTTACCATCGGCTACCGCTCGACCTCTTCCCCTACAACATCACATCACCACACACACACACACGCACCACAGACGAATCACTCCCCGGCCACATAGGTTTTTTTTGGTATGTGTGTGTGTGTGTGTGTGTGCTCTCACTTCAGGGCCCTCTCAATGTGAAACCCCAACCGCGTCGCAACACTAAAATTGCCTCTTCCCTAGTCCATCTCACCACCCCCTGCTATTTCCTGCTATTTTCTGCCTGGAACTCAAAACAAAATCCATGGTCATGGCCGTCATCGGCCAGCAAAAAAAGCAGATGGAGTGAGAGAGCAGGATGAGATCTCTCTCTCTCTCTCTCTTTCTCTCTATCCTCTTTCCCTCTTGGTTTACGATCATACACGCATGCACACACACACACACCCAAAGACACGAACAAGGAGAACGAACAAAAACGAGAAAAAATGACTGACCAAGAGTCCTCTCCATCTTCGCCCCCCCCGGCTACAGCTACTCACAATTCACCACGCACCTGGCTCCTCACCGCCGCCCTTTCGCCCCTAGCTGTCCGACTGATTCGCGCACTGCTCGGTCACGGAGATAATGTCGTCGCATGCCTTCCCCCCAGCGAGATTGACCACGAGGTCCGCGGCGCAGAGTTTCGCGAGCTGATTGGCGAATGCAAGAGCGATCGCAGGGACCGCGAGGGCTGGAGGGATCGCATACGGGGTATCCGCTGCGATGGACGTAGCATGGCCGGCTGCGGCGCTGCCATTGCCGAAGCTGTTGAGCTGTTTGGTCGCATAGATATTGTGCTGTGCTGCAAATCAGAGAGTATGCCTCTTTTCCCCTTGCCGAGAAGCGGCAGGAAAATCCCTTGTCTGTGCTCGCAGAAAAGTTCTGACTGAGGAGTTATAGCCATCGTGGGCACGGTAGAAGAACTCTCTCCGACACCCGTCACACGCAACCTGGTACGCGACCAGTTCGAATCCATCTTCTTCTCACAGGTCAATTACATCAAGGCCGCGCTACCCGTCCTGCGCGGCCAGCATACGGGCCACATCATCGTCCTCACCAGCACGGGAGGACACATTGCCACACCTGGAATGTCCATGTACTCGGCCGCTACCTGGGCCCTCGAGGGTTTCTGCGACTCGTTGGCGTATGAGGTGGCCCCTTTCAACGTCAAGGTCACCATTGTCCAACCCAACCAGGAGATTCAGGCCCTGACCAACCGCCTTACATTTGCGCCGCAGATCCTCGCATACGCCAACGCCTTCAACCAAGCCCCTAGCATCCGCGACATCCTCTCCAACGTGCTCAACGCCCACCCTGACACGGTCATACCCACCACGACCCACCCTGGTCCCGTGCCGCCGCCGCCGCCTTCATCTTCGCGACCCGACACGGCCGACTCCATGGACTCGGAGGGTGTGGACGACGACATTGATAACACATACCTTGAGCCCGATCCGCCTGTCGGCGACGTTTTCCAGCGCTATCCCCACCTGGCTCCCGCCGCTGCAGACATCCTCGTCGCGGAGACGGTCCACGCCCTAACAGCCATCGGTGGCCACGAGAACCCGCCCGCCAGGCACATTGTCGGCTGGGAGGGTGCAGCTGCTGTTCGCGAGAAGCTCAAGACGGTATCTGAGGAGCTAGAGGACTTTGTCGATGCCAGTCTCGCCGTGGACATTTTCGAGAGCCAACTCAAGGACGAAGTGCTCGAGGGTGACAGGAGAGGGCAACAGCAAGGGGACGTGTCAAGCTGATACAGTGGGGTCACCAATGGGGAAGTGCCCTTTCTCTCTTCCCTTTCGAAACTACTCATTATTTGCCTACGTGCAAGACGTCATGATGTTATATGCGATATGAGCATGGGGCATTCGGAAAAAAACCAACCATATTTATGTAGGGCCGATCATCTTTAATACCATCTAATGCAATATTATACTACCCCACCTAAGCGATATTACTGCTGGTATTATCACTCTACAATGCTATTTATGGCTATACATGTACAGTGTCCCCAGAATACACTCCACGTATTACTCTAGAGACCGTGATCCCAACCCATTTTCGGTCCCCTACCCGTATTGTCTTACACGCCCGTCCATCGCTCCATCAGGCAACGAGCGGTAGTCGTATTGACCAGTGACAAGTAAGGAGCATGAAAATAGGTCAGTCAGCTCGTGTCTGACTCTGAGTGTGCGTGTGTCGTGGGCCCCGCCACCCTGCCAAGGAGAAATGCACTGCGACGCTGGCGTTGATGCGACGTTATATCACTGCCATGATATAGACGAGAGCTTGCGAGCCTAATGATGAAGGGGGGCCCGGACCATGCACATGCTAGGATCCAGTTAGACTACCGCGAGAGAGAATGGAGCTGATTCTTTCTCGGAGTCAGTCGGACATTTATACGCACCGGCAGTTGTATGACTCCGGATTCACACGTGCGCTTCCAGTCGGCGACAACACACGATGACCCGTAGTCGCAAATAGAGTGGTACCTGCCTATGTACAGTCCTGGGTCGATATGTGTGTGCCTAGTTGCTTATTCATGCTAAAGGAAAGGAGAGCAATCTATGAGGCTATTTACAGTCATGTGTGGCAGCGGCTCCTGACTGCTTAGTCATGCAATTTGGATGCCACACACAGTTAGGTCTAGGGTAAGTCAGATTGGGAGTTTGACATGGTAGGAGTAACGGTCTGATAAATCATAATACTGGCCGAACAGTTTCTCGCGGGCGATAGCTGGCTGACCACTGTAAGCTCCCATTTCGGCGGGCGCTGTCCGCTGTAACTGCAATTGCACTCCCCGCCGCTTCCCACCGCCTACCACTTCTGGCTTTCCTTCTGCCCACTGACTTGAAGCTCTTGGCTCTCCATCAAATGGCCCTCCCCTTTTGATAGTGTAACGTATGTAGTGGTCTGTCTACGTACTGCATGCATACAAACACGACGACAGGAGCGGCACGAAACGAATAACGAACAATCAAATGGAACTGTTTGATTTATGAATATACACCAAATATAAGGTATCAAGGAATTCGCTAGCGACTCCCTTCCTATTCGGCCAAAAGGGAAGCAGACGCGCGCGCATTGGGGCATATCTGATCTAGCTATACACCATCTCCCCCCCCCCCGTCCGACCCTTTACACCCGTACGCTTTTACCTGGACCATGCTCGACATCACAGCCACGACGCCCTAGGAGAGCATGGATCCGCTGCTACCCATCGCTCCCGCGAGGGTCAAGGCGCTTCTCCTGCCAGTTGGTCGCATCAAGGCCGATCGCTTCGCCCCCTTTGTCGACAGGTTACAGAGCGAGCATGTCGTCCATCTCCGTGATATAACCGCCGACGGGCGGCCAAACAGAAGTATGCACCTCCCCACGTCCTCCTTTCCCTCTCTCTATCTCCTGTGGCGACGTTGGTGGCTGAGCTCATATATACTGACTTGATGACCCTTGCCAGACATGTTTTCACCCCTGGCCTACCCCAACGGCGCCATGCTATATGACCTCATCACCCACGTCCCTCCTCCGTCGCACATCGCCCTGTCCCCCTTCGACCTATACCGGGAACCCTTGGCCGTCATTGCACTGGCTGACGGCAAAGAGCTGGACGGCGCCGCCTTCAGCAAGAGGACCTCACTCGGCGGCCCGGGGACTACGCCCACCGAGAGGAACATACGGGCTCTGCACCAACAGCTCGAAGAGCTGCGCGACCAGTACCCTCGCGCCCTCGTTCACCGCGTCCTCATCTTCGACTACATAGCTCCCGACTCGGGCATACTACCCATCCCCGACGATATGTTCGTCATCCCCCCCGCCGAGGAGTCCCTCCGGACCACGATAAAGACGGTCATGTGCGACATATCTTCTGTGCTGCTGGGCGAGATGACGACCCTGGCGAAGTCCTTTGAAGCCATGACATCGGTTGAGTCTCCCACCCCGGCCACGGGGAGGTCGCCAGGTACGCTATCGCCCGACCTCGACGGGTCCAATGGCAACAGCGTGATGCAGAGGAGGAACTCGCACTTTGCACCCCCCCAGGCTAACGGCCGCTCGGACAAAAGCCACGCCCGGATGTCCATGCCGCCTGTGCCCTCGCACTCCTCGTCCTTCTCCGCATTCACGTCGTCCAAGACGTCCCCCACCCCCGGGGGTGATGACGGCCAGAGCTCTGGCAACTCGACACCCGATACAGGTAGCCCTCGGCCCGACACGCCCCAGACCTCGGCCAAAGACGCCGTCAACAACCGTGTCTCGGTACACGGTTTCGGTCCCGGCGGTGTCAACGAGAAGTGGCGCCTCAAGGGCAAGGGCAGGATATCCATCATTATCGGCTCCATGTACCTGCAGGCCGGCCGGTGGGCCGACTCCCTGAACGAGCTGATGGAGGGTGCCACCGCCACCCGGTCGCTCAACGACCACATCTGGCATGGCAAAGCTCTGGAACTCATTCTCATGAATCTGCTCCTCCTCGGTTGGTCGGGGCTAGAGTTTGATGTGCCCCAGGTTTGTCTCCCCGCCCAGGAGGGCCCTAAGTTTACGTCGTGGCCCAAGGCCGATTCGCACCCCATCGTGCCCGATCAGCCCAAGCATGTCCGGAACCTGCAGGTCGTCCTGCCCGAGCTTCTCGAGCGCATCATAAACCTGTACTCGCGCAAGCGCGCCGACTCAGAGAAGCTACCTGCCCTGCCCTTTGCCGAGACTACCATCCGTTTCTGCAAGATCCTCTCCGCCCTGCACCTCTGCGGTGGCGACCTCAACCGTCAGTCCCTCGACATGATTGTCACGGGCAAACTCCCTACTAAGGAGCTCTCTACGTCGCCTCGGCTCAACGTTGTGCCTTCTAGGCAGCAGATTGTCAGCCTCTTATTCGACGTGTTCCCTGGTCACGCGTCGTCCGAGCTGCTCACCACGGCCGATCGGGCTTCCATCCTGAGTGGTATCGCTGCCGTGCTGAATCCTCTGGGACTGCGCCGCAAAAGGGCCATGGTCATGCGTGAGCTCGTGTCGGTCCTCATAACTGGTTTGGTTGAGGCAAGGACTAGAGGTGCCGCCGAGGCCGGCTTCCATCCGGCCGCGGGACTCGTGTCCCTAGTCCCCGGCACGGATCCCCGTAGCGGCGTGGCGCTAGACATCAGTGCCAACGACGTTGAGCAGGGGCTGGATGCCTTCCTTGGCCTGCTCTGCAGGTCGTACGGAGCTGTCGCGGCGGCCTCTGATAACAAGGTATCGCCAGATGACAGGGACTCTGACGAGGCCATCAAGGCCAGGATCTATGAGCAGTCCGCCGCGCGCCTGTTTGGGTTCACAGGCATCAAGCTCAATGTCCTGCGGGCGTGCATCAACTTTTCTGAGGCGCTGCCTGATTTCAACGGCGTGCTTCAGTTCTCAGCAGATCTGCTTCGTACGGCCGGCGCAGGTGTCGCCCCAGGAACCCAGAGGGAGGACATCACCCCCACCATACACCCAGAGGAGGAGGTTAGAGTCACCAGCAACATTGCCAGGGCGTGGACGCTCGCACACCAGCTGGGACTGAAACACCCGGGAGCCGAGTACTGGGATGAGTTTCTCGTCAGGGGCGTCAAGCTTGAGCCTCTACCTAACACCAGGGCACCTGTCCCCCACGCTCACAGCGCCCTTCCCGGCGCCTCGGCTGGGCGCGAGTCGCAGGACGTCGACCCATTCATCTACAATCCGTTCCTCAAGAAACCTACCGAGTCCAAACAGAGCTTTTTGGTGGCCAACGAGCCTGCCATCTTCAGGGTCAGCCTGCAAAACACATACGACATGGAGATCGAGATTGATAGTATACGACTCGAGATGACCGGCGTACCCTTTGACGCCACCCCTGAAACTGCTCGGCTCGGCCCCAACCGCACGCAGCTCCTGCGGCTCACAGGGAAGGCTAAGGAGGCTGGTGACTGCCAGGTGACGGGCGTCATCGTCAAAGTACGGGGATGCCGCGAAAGACGATTCCCCATCTTCAGCAGTCCCTGGAGACCCGTACGCGACATCAAGATCAAGGCCCGGGGTGTAAAGGCCCTCGAGGAAGGGGCAGAGGCCGTGAAGCGAGCCAGCCCCCCGCTAGAGATGAGCACGCTCGGCCTCACGGCCATTGCGCCGCAGCCTTTTCTGGTGTTGACGTCGATGACGCTGCCTCAGTCGTCCGTCATGGTTCTGGAGGGCGAGAGGCATATCTTCTCCGTCACCCTGCGGAACCAGTCGCCCACGCCCGTTGACTTCATGCTCTTTTCCTTCAGGGACTCAACACAGGCGCCTCTGCAGGCTGCTCTGAATAGCCGCGACTCGACGGCCATCGAGATACACGAGTACGAGCTCATTCTCATGAAGAAGCAGGCTCTCAGGTTGCCGACAGCCAAGTCGAAGCAGAGGCGCAACATTGCTCCAGGAGCAGAGGAGACGTTCGACTTCCAGATCTTAGGCAAGCCCGGCTTAACAGAGGCCGCCATCCAGGTTGACTACACGAACCTAGGTGTGCCGCGCGATGAGGTCACAGAGCAGTTCTACACACGCCAGCTGACAATTGACCTCACCGTCACGGTGAATGCGAGCATCGAGCTCGCCAGGGCTGACATGCTGGCGCTCACGGGTCCGGCACTTGAATCCATTGTGGCTAATCGCTGCAGCAAGCTTTCTGCCGAGTCCTCCACCGACATCGATGCCAATGATTACTGCCTTCTGTCGCTAGATCTTCGAAACTCGTGGCCCGCGCAGATCACCGTCCACATCGAGGACGACGACGGCCTGGCTGTAGAGGAGTCCATCCTGCCCGGCAACACCAACCGCATCCTCATGCCCATCAAACGTATCTTCATTGAAAACCCGCACATGACCATCCCCAGCCTCAACCCGACGCAGGACAGCAGACAGTTTGTCGTCAGCACGCACAAGATCACACCCGAGATGGAACGCGCCAATCGCGAGGCCTTCTGGTACCGTGAGAAGATGCTAAATAGCCTCAAGGCCACGTGGGCGACGACGTCGTCGAATCCGAATCGCAACGGAGCCCTGGAGCTTCGGAGTCTCCGTCTGACACCTCGCATGGTGGACGTGATCAAGATAGACGACGTTGGCATTTCCATCTCGGTCAACAATGACTCCGATAGCGGCGACGACGATGATGATGACGATGACGATGTCAACAAGAACTCTCTTGAGGCAACAGCCCATGTAGACGACTTCATCGACGTGACCGTGACCGTGACAAACAGGACCAGCAAGCCCATTTCTCCCCTGGTCAGGCTCCTGCCAGCCCTCTGCCACCGGTCCCTAAATGTGGCCCTCGACCACACGCGCAAGCTGGCGTGGAACGGTACCCTACAGCAGGTCCTCCCCACACTACAGGGCCAGCAGAGCGGTCATTTTACGATCGGCATGACACCCCTGTGCAGAGGAGAGTTTGAGCTGACAGCCTCGGTGGAGGAGGTCCATATCCATGATGATGGTGACGACGACGAGAAGGAGAAGCGAGGCAGCAGGCAGCAGGGGCAGGGGCAGGATCAGGTGGGAAGGCAGAGGTCGAATACCCAGACTATGGTGGACGATGCGGCACTAGGAGTTCAAGGGAGGAGGGTTTGGCATTCTAGGCAGCCTTTTATACTTGCTGTGATGGATTGAGAGTGGTGAGAAGAACAATAAAAAAAGGATTGTCGTCTTTATTGTATAAGACTGAGCAGTATTATCATTGAAGAAAAAAAGTACGGCATGATGGTGGATGCACGTTAGTTTCTCACCACTAGCAATAGTGATGCAATACATTCAGTAGGAACCTGACACGATGAGATGGAAACAATCTTATTCATACAAGACTCATTCAACACGCCACTGTGTGCGCTTCATGCTACAAAGAAAACAGGGAGAGGCTCGGAACAAGAAAGATTCCACAGATATACTAATAAATACCAGGCTTCCGCCTCCACGTCGGCAAAATGTGCGTACACGTGCACATCAAGATGTCCTTCTTTCTTGCGCTTACTTTCTCGCATCTAAAACTCTTGCTCCTCCTGGAAAAACATGCCAAAGCTGATTATGGTCCCGTAGATGAGGAGACCGCCGAAGACGGACATGATCATGGCTTCGACGCGGATGATGTCGGCGTGGGCGAGGACAATGGGAAGAGCTGCGTTTACATGTCAGTATTAGGAGCAGGTAGCACGATGGAAGGGAAAGGAGAAGTAATACGGATTGCCGTATATATCAGATCACTTACCCATTCCCATCACAACAAAGAAGCCAGTGCAGAAACGGCCAAGGTCGAGGACGGCACCGCCAGAGCTCTCAACAAAGTCATCTGGGTTGGAGCACCGGCTGCAGATCCAGTTGGGGATCGGAGCAATTACATAGGTGGCAACAACCAGGAGGGGAAAGTACGAGTCGAAGAGGGCGCAGGAGAGGATGACGAGGAGGAAGCCGACTGCCAGGACGAAGGAGAGGGCGATGATGGTCTTGAGGCCGGCGGCAGGCATGGTGGGCGGCTAGGGCGGGGAAAGAGAGAGCTGGATCTCTATTCCCGGATGTTTCGAGAGGAAAGGGGAGGGGGGTGGTGCGCCTCGCTTTATGTTTGTTCGAACGTGGAGATGCGATGTGACGCGCTGTGTCGTGGTGGTCGCGGGTGCGCCGTGATGAATGCGATAGGTTGCGATCAACAGAGATGCGTCAGTCTGTTGTCGCGGCTTTGTGAGGGAAGTCTGGAGCTTGGACCTTGCAGGAAAGGTACGTACCCTGTACATGCGGAGCAGATCGGAACGGATGCAAAATTATTCCGGACATTTGAAAGCGAACAGGAAGGCGGTGAGTGAACAGGAGCTCTAACGCGTAGCTTGACCAATCAGCGTCCAGATGTTTGGTCCAAGCAAATATAGCAGAAAAAGAGGGAAGGACGAAAAAAAAAAGTTCTAGAGCCCCGCTGAAAATCTACCACGGCCAAAGTTTCCCTTCTTTCTCAATTCTTCAACAACGTCCAACGTTGCCATTACTACTCACCCTTTTTTTAAGGGCGAGATATGCTGAGGAGCGAGGATGGCTTCCGACGAGATTATCTGGCAGATTATCAACCAGCAGTTCTGCTCATTTAAACTAAAGTACGTTTCCTGATGCAAGATGGAAAAAAAAAAAGAGGACTGGTCGGTCATGGATGGCGGAAAAAAAAAAAAAAGAGCATGTCTCTAACGATCGCAACAACAAAAACAGAACCGAAAAGAAGCAAAACTTCTGTCGTAACGAGTACAATGTGACGGGGCTCTGCAGCCGACAGTCGTGCCCTCTGGCCAATTCGCGGTACGCCACGGTGCGACAGCACCCGACCAAGGCGACGCTGTACCTATACATCAAGACGGCGGAGCGGGCACACCTGCCCTCCAAGATGTGGGAGAAGATCAAGCTGTCCAACAACTACACGAAGGCGCTGGAGCAGATTGACGAGCGGCTCATATACTGGCCCAACTTCACCATTCACAAGTGCAAGCAACGCCTAACTCGCCTGACGCAGGTGCAGATTCGCATGAGGCGTATCGCTGCCGAGGAGGAGCGTCTGGGCGAGAAGCTGGTACCCAAGCTGGCCCCCAAGGTGCGCCACCGTGAGGCTGCTCGCGAGCGCAAGGCTGAGCGCGCCGCCAAGCTGGAGAAGACGATCGAGCGCGAGCTGCTCGAGCGTCTCAGGCAGGGCGCCTATGGCGACCAGCCTCTCAACGTCAGCGAGGATGTCTGGAAGAAGGTCCTCAACGCCATGGAGAGGGATGGCCAGGGTGTCCGCGACGAGGATATGGATTCCGGTGTCGACGAGGACGACGAGAGCGATGACGAGCGTGAGAGGAATGGCGTTGCTGAGACCGAGGATGGCGAGAAGGCCGTCCAGTACGTCTCGGATATTGAGGAGAGTGATGACGATGACCTCGAGGATCTTGAAGAATGGCTCGGTAGCGATGAGGAGCAGTCAGAGGACCAGGATGATGACGATGACAGCTCAGATGAGGAGGAGACTAAGAAGTCCAAGGCTGGCCTCAAGCGCAAGAGGGGCCGCGCCGTCAAGATGAATGGTATCGAGGCCAAGAAGTTGAAGGCCAAGGAGAAGCTCCAGCCTCTTACCAACGACCTCGATTGGTAGAGTCAAGCACACCGAAGTCTTTTGGGGTTGTGGATCTACAATTTCTGTTCTATTATCCCATGGTCCATGTTTGGCAAAGGAGAGAAAAAGGGTTGGCATCATTGTCGGCGTTGGAGGCGCTGTCTCATATTCTTTTGTCATGTCCTTCTGTTCCTGTTTTACATTCCGCTTCTACTCTTACTCTTCAGTATGGATTCCACCTTTTAGATAGATGTGCTCAACTTTGACAAGCATTGTATTTATTTGATCCTCAGCAACAACAACATGGCTACCGCAAGTGATGCTGTCGTGTTAAGAATCGTGCTGCCATGCACAGTAAGAATGTGGAACCACACTACTCCGTACTGTGTGATTCAATCTACTATCTATGCCTGGTTCACACATGCTGCCTGAACCTCCACGCGGCCAAAAGTGGCGCGGGAGGTATGTGGCTAGTTATATGTGGCTAGTGAGTGGCGTAGCACGACCCATCGAAGTGGGCAGATTCCCACTATAATGCGGATGGTGACGTATCGGAGAGTCGGAGAGAGGCGTTCTCTCACATGATGGTCACCACCACCAACTTATCGACTCATAGGATCAAACTCTTGTTCTCCCCTTTCACATTACCGTCCTGATTACTTTGAACGATCTTGCACCTTCCACTTCCTCGAAACAGTCACGTATAGCATACCAACGTTCAAACTGCTCTTGCGGAGCTGAACTCGGACGATCACCTTCCCTCCATCTCACTATGACTTCTCGTCCGGGGGCGTCTTCAGATGCCCCGCTTAGAGCGTCATCGCCCTCCAACAGCCTCTATGCCATGAGTGACGACGACGAGGGCGGCTACGACACAATCGCCAGTACCGGCAGCCAGAGGGGGGTCAAGCTTCTATATTCAAAAAGCAAGGTTTGTTTTTCTTTCTTTCTTTCTTTTTTTTTTTTACTTTTACTTTTTTTGTCCCCCTCACTCTCTACCGTGTGTCTAACAAAAAATCCGTAGGTCTACGTTCATCCCACGTCATCCTCCAAGGACAACATCTCAGGATACATTGCCCTTCTGCAGCAAAAATCCACATTACGGACATCTTCTTCGACACGCGAAATCGACTCCATAGCCTCAGCTGACCTCTTGCTGGCCTGGGTGCCAGAGTCCTCCTTGGGAGATTCGGAGAGCGTCTACGTCAAGGTTGACCTGTGCGAGGGGGACGAGCCCCCGAAGCAGTCATACCTCGTGCGTCCCCCGCCAACGGTGACGAGCGTCCACTCTGCCGGAGGATATGCCTTTGCCGTGCCCGTCAGCGCCATATACTCGCTTCAAGTTCGCCCGCCTAACCTAGGGTGGTGGTATGGATCCATCATCATCAACTCCCGAGCGGGCGACAGCTTCCCTCCGCTGTTCTTCCACGACAACGAGTGTCAGAGTACGATACTCCAGAAGAAGAAGCTGGCGCGCGATACGTTTGATCCCTTTGGTGAGGGTGGGCACATGTTTTGGGGTGGCGACGAGGTGGTCAAGTGGCTGAAGAGATATGTCCAGATGGAGAGGTCGGCCGCCGAGCCCAACGTATACCTCATCGAGCCCAGCAAGGAGGATGCCTTGTCCTTTGGCAGCGGAGCGCCCGGCCCCTCCGCGGCTCCTGGACAACGCGCCGGTCAAGGCTCCGCGCAGGGGGGAGGAGGCGGCAGGCCTCAGCCGGACCCCCTTGCTAAGTTCCTCAGGGACGCGGGATGGAACCTAATGAATCAGTTCAGCAAGGTTACCACGTTCACACGCCGGGCCGCCCAGGACCTCGCCGAAAACCCCAATGTGCCTCCCCAGGTCAAGAGGCTGCTTCGTACGCCAGAGGTGCAGACATTGCAGGACGAGTTTGACAGCGCGAAGATCTACCTTGCCCGATGGGCCATGGGCATCGCAGAGCAGAGCGAGCGCGACCGGCGTAGCCGCATGTGGACAGCCACAGACGTCATGGAACTCGAAGATACAGACGTCGGGGAGTTTGAGCTTCTCGACGGTACCAGTGGCCTGTCAGTTGAGGACATGAGGAAGCCCGTCACGCTTAAAGAGTGGCAAGGCTTTTTCAATCCGCAGACTGGCCACCTCTCCATCACGGCGGACGAGGTCAAGGACCGCATCTTCCACGGTGGGCTAGACCCCGAGGATGGCGTCCGCAAGGAGGCATGGCTCTTCCTCCTGGGTGTGTACGACTGGTACAGCTCCGCCGACGAGCGCAAGGCCCAGATTGCCTCCCTCCGTGACCAGTACTATAGGCTCAAGCTGGCCTGGTGGGAGCGCCTCGATGGTGACGGAGGCCAAGGCGAGGCGGGCGAGTGGTGGCGCGAGCAGAGGAGCCGCATCGAAAAGGACGTGCACCGCACCGACCGCTCGGTGCCCATCTTCGAGGGTGAGGACACGCCACACCCGGACCCCAACTCGCCCTTTGCCGACGTCGGCACGAATGTTCACCTCGAACAACTCAAGGAGATGCTCCTCGCGTACAACGAGTACAACAGGGAGCTCGGCTATGTCCAGGGCATGTCGGACCTGCTAGCACCCATCTACGCCGTGATCCAGGACGACGCCGTCGCCTTCTGGGCGTTTCAGAAGTTTATGGAGCGCATGGAGCGCAACTTCCTGCGCGACCAGTCAGGCATGCGCACGCAGCTCCTGACGCTGGACCAGCTGGTACACTTCATGGACCCCAAGCTCTGGGACCACCTGCAGGCCGCCGACAGCACAAATTTCTTCTTCTTCTTTCGCATGATCCTTGTGTGGTATAAACGCGAGTTCCCCTGGATGGATATCCTGCGTCTATGGGAGGCCCTCTGGACGGACCGTCTGAGTGCCAATTTCCACCTGTTTATCGCCATGGCCATTCTCGAGAAGCATCGTGATGTCATCATGACTCATCTCAAGCACTTTGACGAGGTGCTCAAATACAGTAAGTACTTTTCTTCTTTCTATCCTTGCCCTTGGCCCGCTTTTGTGTCGTCATGTTTCTGTGTACTCGACTTCGACTCGCCGCTCCTCTACTCTTGAATAATACATGCGCTGACACCATGGCAGTCAACGAGCTCAGCAACACAATGGACCTCGAGTCCACCCTCATCAAGGCTGAGGCGCTGTTCCGTCGATTCCAGCGGCTCGTCGAGGTTGTTGACAAGAAGCACAACTTTCCTGCCCCATCAAAGAAGGATACAGCAACGTCGAGCAGCGTCAATGCGGCAGCGTCTTCGTCTACGCCGCCTAATAACCGCGGCCACCAGCACAGTGCAAGCTCTCAGAAGAACAAGGACGAGACACAAGGGATCACGCCCGAGCTTCGGGTGCTGCTCAGTCGGAAAGTGGAGGTTCTTCCACGGACAGAGGTGGCGCAGAAGGGTGATGGCATGTCGGCGCTCTAGAATGCTTCCAGCCTCTGGAGCAATGTACCGTCCTTCCTTTGTCTTCATCAAGTTCCGTTTCAGGAAAGCAAAAGAGAAGAAGAAAAAAAACGAAACATGTATGAATAAGGCGCAGAGTGGAAATGATTATTATGTAATTTGTAATTCCTATGCTAGAAGTCTGCTTTTATATATATATATATATATATATATCAAGCACCAAAGTCCCCTCCAATTTTTTTCTTTTTGCAATTTTCATGCGAGAATTGTAGACAAAGTGGTTGTTGAAAATGCGTGTTTTCTCTCCGTGGGTATAAACGCCATGCCTCAAATATAAAGTCGAAAGGAGAGGAAGACAGCAAAAAAAAGAAAAAAAGAAAAGAAAACGGCCGGCGAACAAAGACGAGACAAGGCACTACCTATAAGCCCTAGGACCACTAGGAAGACCCTGTCTAGAAGAAGACGGAGGCTGAGGCTGCTGGAGCGACGCGGGGACCTGCTGCTGCTGCGGCGGCGGCGGTTGGAACGGCGTCTGCCCTGCCTGTCCGGGGCTGGTGGTCCTGGCGCCCCCGCGGAACCTCTGCCTCAGCCTATCCTGCGCGGACGCGCCGCCGGTGGGTGTGGTCTCCCTCGGCGGCACAGGCCCGGTATAGCTATTCGGTGAGCTGTTGAGGCCGGGACGGACGGTGTCGACGACCGAGGCCATGCGCGGCGTGGCCCTCAGGCTCTGAGACGCGGCGGCGGCATTGCTGTCCCCCCACAGGCTGCTCAGCGCGGCGTTTCCCTGGGGAGCGGAGGCGCCGGCGGCGGCGGCCATGCGGGCATTGGGCCCGTTGGCGTACAGAGGCTGGACGTTGGTGCTGCCACCTGGCGTGGGCGGGGGAGCCTTGGGGTCGGCCGGTAGCCAGGGGGGGAAGGGTCGGCCCTTGTCGGTGTAGTAGTTCCGCAGGACGCGGCAGACGTGCGTGTCGTCGTCGGTGTCGCCGTCTGCCTCGGAGGCTAGCAGGGTGGAACGGAGGGACGAGATTTGCGACGAAGTCTTGGTCAGGAGGTTGGAGTACCAGGAGGCCATTTTATTTTCAGAGAGAGGGAGTGTGTGTGTGTGATTCGTTTGTCCTTTTTTTTTCTCTTTCCTATTCCTTTCTCTTTATTCTCTTTTTTTGGCCCTTTATTGATTCTGTTGGTGGTGGGAGAGTTAGTCTGATGGTGTGTCCCCGTCTAGTATCGTCCCGGCCGGCGGTTGAACTGGTGTCGAGAGGAGATCGGTTGTGGTGGTGATGTGGTGATGATGGACAGTCCGTGGTTCGTCGAAGAGGGGCATCAACGGTAAATAAGAGTGACGTTGTGGCAGTGGTGGCAGTGCAGGGGAAGCTAGCGCCACAGTCTAGGATCTGACAGTGGAAGTGGTAACCGCTACAGCTTACTAGTAGAGAGGGTGAGGATATGATACTCGTAGACTGGATGCTGCTCCCTGGGTTTGATAGATACTATATTCCGAGAAGAAGAAAGAGAAATACTGTAAGAGGCTGCAAAGCCGGGAAAAGAACCGAGGATGAAGATGCAGAGTAAACCCGGGGGACAAGAAGCAACCAAGAGACCAGGATAAGAAAAGAGTACGTATACGGGTGCACAGGGTCTGACACTGAATGTTTCACATGCCCAGTCTTTTTATGCTCGATTGGATCCATGGTTCAAAAACGGCCAAACATGCCTTCTTTCAGTATTCATTATCAGTACATGTAGTGGTATTCTACTCGTATTTCCAACTTTTGTTTCCCTTGTCTTTTCAATTAAGTAGTAGTAGATGTAAGAGGCCAAGAAATGGTATAGTACACGTCAAATATGGAAAGAGAAAATGGTCGGGGCAAATAAGACGTCTCTCTAGCGAACGAATCTATCAGACACCCTCCGAGAGCAGAGGGATCTGGAAATCAGGGTCGACGGCCGTCTCCGGATCGGTGTAGTGCACGGGCTTGTGGATGCGGACAAACCAGAGGAAGTAGTCCTCGAGAACACACAGGTTGAGGAGCAGGCCGTTGGCGTTCCAGGCGATACCACAGACTATGGCACCGGCAACGGCATCGAGGACAAAGTGGTTAGCCGTGGAAACGATGGCGGTCAGGATGAGGGCCGGGTACGACATTCCCAGAGCGATGATGGCGATGCGCTTGGGCGAGGAGGGGCGAAGGCCGGTGATGGGGAGGGTGGCAATGGTGAGGCCGATGAGGAGGGAGTAGCCAAAGTGGAGGGAAGGCATGGCGGCTGCATTTGCACGTCAGAGTTAGCATGTATTGAAGAATATATCGGCGCGTTCTCCGTCGCGAAAAAAAAGAAAGAAAAGAAAAAAGCACAGCGTTGCGTGATGTTTGGACGGGGAACAAACATACCGTATTGGTTGCAGAATTTGTTGGTAGTCCACACGCTGCTCTCGCCGGCAGAGCTGTGGACGGTGTCGACGAACCCGTAGCTCTTGGACTCCGTGGCATCGGCACCGTGGTAGGTGGGGTCGCTGAGGAGGCGCGGGGGCATGCAGGGCCAGAGGGTGAAGACGACAAAGGCGAGGAGGTTGCACATGGCCATTGTGCGGCGGCGGGCCTCGTACGTGGCGGCGCCGGCGGCGATGTTGTCAGAGGAGACGCGACCGGCGGCGAGACGGCGCTTGCGCGTCGTGGTCAGGTAGAAGAGCACGACGAGGAAGAAGATGGTGCCGGGGATGTGGATGAAGGAGTAGACCCTGTTGATCCAGTGCATGAGGGTGGGGTGGCCGAGGAACCAGCGCTGGATGGGAAGCTCGATAAAGATGCCAAGATACTGCTCCAGGTGGATGAGCTGCAGGGCGTGCCGGCGGGCGACGTCGACGGTGCCCTCGACCAGGGTCAGGGCCGTGAAGGCGCGTCCGACCTGGTAGACCCAGTAGATGAGGGCCCAGTACCAGGCCTCGGCGAGGAAAGGGAACTTTTGGAGGACACGGCTCAGGAGCCTGTCCTTAAAGACGAGGGTGTTGGGCGTCGTCACCACACGACGGTATCCGAAGAACTGGACCTTGCGGCGGCGCAGCGTGGGGACCTCGTGGGGGGCCAGGCTGGCGTTCAAGCTGCTGCCGCTCCAGCTGTTGGTGTCGGAGTCGCTTCCATCGGGTGAGGATGAGCGCTTGAGGTGGTCATCGTCCTTCTTGTGGCTTGCATTATGTCTCGTGATCGTCGATTTGCCCTTGAAGAAGTCGTAGTCTTTGTTGCGGTTGAAGTAGGATCCTCCAAAGAGGAGGGTGACGACGACAAGGGGTTCGAGGAGGGCGCTGGTGGCCATGATGTATTATGGTGAGCTCCCTCTAATGAGAGAGAAGGCGGGTGAGAGAGGGGGGGGGGGGAGAGAGAGAGCCGTCGATGGAAGCGTTGATGAGGATGATGCTGATGATGATAGTACCAAAATCGTAAATCAAGTTGAATGAGAGACGCCGGTGGCCAAGCCAATAAGGAGAGTGTGTGTGTCCCGATGCCAAGATGGGATATAATGGTTGGAAAAGAAAAGAAAACGATGCGGAATAAATGGAAAAGGAAGAGAGAGGAAAAAAATAAAAGGGGGGAAAAGGTGTGTCTTGGCAGGGAGTGAATAATCAAGGGGGGGGGGGAAGAGAGAAGCACGCGAGCACGCGTACGAGGGGGAGTGCGTGTATATAAAACAGGTGCGAATAATACAAGCGGGCTATCCCTACTTGTACAAGTAGAGAGAGTAGCAATACAGAGTGCATGTACCAATTATTGCGATGTGAAGATAAGTCGCGAGATTGGACAGGGACAAGGCATAAGTACCTGTACAGCAATTCTCCTTCATACTTGGTATAAGAATGGCCGTGGGTCTGGGAGCCCACGAGTACCTATACGATACTCGTAGATGTGTCATCACAAAGGATACCACAGACATATATTATTATGTAGAATACACACGCATTGGTTATTATTATTTATAATACCTCCTTTATTCAGTCCCACCATAACGTGATATGATCTGTACAGATTACATGTGCTAATATTACGAGTTACAGAGGGTTACTATAGCGAGTCGCAGCGGGCTGCAGCGGGTTACAGCGGGTTTCAGCGAGTTACTTTGCTGCTGACGAGAGCGCGTAAGATTACTCCAGTTACAGTTAGTACGGAGTACGGATTAGTACATGTAGTTGTAGCGGTATTGGCTGCAGTGGCAGTGGTGGTGGTATGGCGACATGCAGCCCACCATGTGCAAATAAAACTCATACAAGTGTTCAGATGTGGCACATGCGTAATGCCGATTACCCCTATCCAAGTATTGTATTATGTGAGAGGGGGGGAATACTGATACGAGCAGCAAAAGAGATGCACACACACACACACACACACAGAGAGAGAGAGAGAGAGAGTGAGAGAGAGAGAGAACAAAGAGAGTCCATAGGGTCCAGACAATAGAATGCGACCCCTGGACCCCGTGCAAATCTCCGCGGATCAACATTCAAGGGTCCGGGTTCTTTGTGGAAGTGGGGGGAAACGGAGTTTGTGATAGAGGGTGAGAGCTAGGGCTAGAGCCTAGAGCCTAGAGGTCTAGGGATCATCCATTTTATTTTCTTCTGAAAATGGCATTGAAACGGGGCCTTTAGGCAAGAGAAAGTGGTACGAGGCATACGAGTCTACGGTATTCTTTATTTCCATATCTTGTCAATCAACTCACCACCATATCAGCTCTACCACGCCATCTACCGCTTACTCGTACTTGTATTCCCTACAATAACATCCACCCACTATAAATAATACCTGCTCACATACCTGGCAGTGATGATGATGATGATGATGGTGAGATCCTACCATTCCTTTTCTTCAACCTCTCCCCAACCCTTCACTCATCATCACCATGAAATCCACCTCAGAAAGAAGTCTGTCATGAGGCTGCCCCCATCCACCAATTCACGCTAACTCCCCTTTTGGAAAGCTGGCGCATGCCCCTCCTAGGCCTCTTACGCACTCTCACCTCGCTCGCTCCTTCCCAATCCCTGTCCTCTTTCTTATTGGCGACTTGGCACTTTCCCATTTCCCTGCTCACTTCTCGTCGTATTTACGGAGCCCAACTTGACCGATTACTGGTATGAATACCTTGTGTGTACGGAGTATCGTATAAAATATTACAGGGAAGGCACCACCCGCCACTGCACCTTCCCGCGACGTGAATCATGAAGAAGAATACGAGTATCACGTTGAATGAGAGAGAGGGAAGGAAGGAAAGGATGAATCAAGAGAAGCCTTCGATTTCTCACCTCCACATCTTCCTCTCGCCCTACTCTACGGATACCTCTACATGTATTCTTCCTCGTACGAACCTCCATCCCGTCACCGGCTTTCGGCTGTTTTTCACACGCCGACCCTCCACCGCCACGCGGCACCTTGTTATCATCCGAGGCCAAGGAGTGGGCATGTCCGAGCCATCCGGATGGTCCATGCACCAGTACATAAGAGGGAGGAGGGAGGGGCCTGAAAGGAAAGAAGAAAAATGTCACGGCATCAGTATCATGTCATGACAGTATTACTCCGTATTCACAGATTAAGAAGAAGAAGAAGAAGAAGAAGAAGAAGCAAACAAAGGTTTGGAACAGATTACATGATGACAAGTCCGAAATGGCGATTACTGTGTCAGGGGTCCATTACGTCGTACATGTAGGTAATGTAGTAATACTCGCTTCTCTCTCTCTCTTTTTTCCCGCCGCCTGCTCATTGTACCTTGCATATGACATGATATCATCTCAACCATATCATCTACTTCTCGTGATGGTTTTTTTTTAAAAAAAAAAAAAAATAAATAAAAATTAAAAAAAAAATTAATTTTTTTTTTACCTTCGCGTCCTCTTTATAATTATATAATACTTGTACTTCAAATAATACTCGTACAAGTTAAATATTAGCCTTGTTCATCGATAACTCTTCTTCGTCTCGTGACTCTGTCAAGTGTTTATGGAGTAACACATTCCCCTTAATATACACCAGAGAATATAGTAACAACACTCAGCAACACAGTGCAGATCCTAGTTCTGGTACTCATAGTATACAAACATCAAGGCATTTCATCCTCCTCCACCATCCTACCCAGTATAAGACTCTGTATGACCAATTCGTCATCCAACACGCGAGTCGCACCCCTATCCAGTACCGTCGAAGCAGAAGCAGCAGAGGTCCTCTTACGCTTCTTTGCTCCCGTCCGCTGCTGCTGCTGCTCCCATAGCGCCGCCGCACCACCCGCAACTGCCCCCTTATCTACGTAGACCCAGTCAAACGGCCTTCCGTCCCTGACCGACCTGCTCAGCGCGTCGCGCGCCTGCTCGGCCGTCATGACGGTGGATATGCTCGGCCCCATGGCCTGCGCGAGGAACATGTAGGGCTGTACGTTGTTTGCGATGTTGCTGCTGCTGCTGCTGCTGCCGCCGCCGCCGCCGCCGCCGCCGCTCTTGCCCTTCTTCTTGGACGAGGACGACGAGGACGAGGACGAGTGGTCGGCCACGACGGCTAGGATCCTCTGCCCGCGGAGCATCTGGCGCCGACAGTCGATCACGTCGGCCAGACGGGCGTCGGCGGCGGCGTAGGGCGTCAGTGTACGGGACCGCAGAGCGTTGCCCAGGACCGACGATGCCCCGGCGCAGAGCAGGTACGGCTCCCAGTCTACCAGCTCCCCCCTGGCCAGACACGTCGTTATCCACTGCGGCGCCAGGCAGGGGAGCCCCAACGCCAAGGCCTGCATGTACTTGGCCTTGCGGGAGTGGCTGTCCGCCACAAGCGCCGTGAACCCCGTGTCCCGGTACGCCCTGCTCAGCACCATAGGCTCGTCCACGTCCTTGGAGAGCGACGGCATCGTCGCCGCCGACCTCGCCGTCTCGAATAGCTCGTCGAAGCCGTCGGTGAGTATTGTCCCGCCTGCCTGGGTTATACGCGTCTCCAGCTTGCCGCGGCTCTGTGAGTTGGACTGGAACGATATGGCAAACGCCATGCCCTCAAAGAGCCTCCTGCCCCTCTGGGTTGTACCGGCCCCGGGGCCCACGCTCGTCCTGGATATGCGGCCGGTGCCGCCCTTGTTGGTCGCCGGCAGCGACACCGGTGGCGATGCACGCGTCTCGTCTGTCGACTCCGATGCGTAGCGAGGTGCGCGCATCTTGGCTGCCCGTGCCCACCGCGCCGTCCGCTGCGGTGCCACGGGCTCGGCTGACGCCGCTGGCTTCCCCCGTCCCCGCCGGCCCCTGCCCGTCGATGGCTGTGTGTGGGCGGATGCTGCACGCTCGGAAGCCGAGTAGTCTCGTAAATCGGGCGTCGTCATGGCCGACGAGGGTGGTGCGGATGACAGAGAGCTCATACTTGGTGTGTCTTGTTCGGGTAGTGCAAGGGATTTAGCCGGTGATAGGTTCCGCGGTCCCGTCTTTCTTCGTGGCACCGGCTTGGCCGTTGGCTCGGACTGCCCCGGCGGTTCGGAATCAGCCTTGACACTGTAAACATCGTCATGCGTAGTCTCCATCTCCTCCTCGCCCCTTTCTTCTTCTCCTTGCGCCATAGCAGCCGGTGACGGTGAAGGATGGGCCGACGACGTAATGATGGCGGTCTGTTTCGGCTTTCCGCAGCTCCTCCGCTGGGCATTTCTCCGCGCCACCGGCTCGGGCATAGGCTCGGGCTGTTCTACTTGATCATCGGCATCGACACCATCATCGTCCTCTCCCGTAGTTGTCTTCGTTTCCTCCTCTTCTTCTCTGGCCGAGATAACCTGTGGTGAAGGTTGGGGCATCTCCGATGCCGACGAAGTAATAACCGTTCTCCGTCTCGGCTTTCTCTCCTGTCGCTTGATCGGTCGTTGCGAGGCCTGCGGCGACGAGGTGTTCCTCCCGTCTGCATTCGTCGACAAGCTAGGTAACTCTGGTTCTGGAGGGGGAGGGTCAGACATATCCTCGTCTGGCGAGGGAGACGCGGCGGGGCTGGTGGCTGGAATCCTATCTTCTACGGGTTGGTGGTTCGGACCCGGGGTATCAATGGCTACGACGTCCGGTCCTTCTTCTCCGATACCTTCATCTTCCTCCGCCGGTGCCGTGTCTTCCTTCGTCCCTTGCGTAGATCCCCGGACAAGTATCGGCGTCTGATTCGAGGGCCATCGCTGCTGGGAGTCCCGGACGACAGGCTCGGTATTGGAGCTCTTGTAGCCATTCTTGCCAGACGCCTTGGGCACCTGGGACTGGGGCTGGGGCTGGAGATTGTGCTTGACCTCTTCCTCGTCGCCATCCTGTACGACGCGCCTCCTCTTCCTGGCGGGCTCGGCCCGCGGCGTGAAGCTGACCTTTTCCATCTCCTGTGCCGCCTGTGCCTTCTTCCTCTCGACCCTCTTCCGTCGCTCCAGCCGTCTGAAGGCGTCGTCTTCGTCGTCGTCAAAGTCCCAGATGGATATCGAAGCCTTCCCCTGCTGCGGCTGCTGCGGCGGCGACGGCGCCCTCCTCTCCTGCGGCTTCTTCACAGTCTCACAGAATGCCAATGGCTGTCGTGGCGATCCCGACGACCCAAGTATGGTTACGGTATCGTCGGCGGCCATGGCGAACCGCGCATGCAGCGGCGTCTCCTCAGCGATGCGCTCCATGGGCTTCCTCAGCCGGGTCACGGTGGCGGGCACCTCGTCCAGTCTGGCCGGGCTGGGCGACGGCACGTCAGTCGGAGAGGAGACGTTTGTGCGGCCCTTGAGCGGCGATGTCTCCGCCACGTTGAGGGATGCCGTGTTGAGGGGGAGCATGGTTGGCGAGGGTCGCGACGACGTCGGCGTCACGCCGGGCGGTTTCACGGCCGACGAAAACTGCGTCTGCCCAAAGAGCTGGGAGCCCGCAAACGGCGCAGGCGCGCCCGCCATCGTCCCGCCGAACGGGTTCCTAGACAAGGTGGGCGTCTCGGGCAGCCCCGGTGCGGCGGGCGTCTTGAACGGCGTGTGTATGCTGTGGCTGTGAATGTTCTTGGGCGCCGACAGCATGCCCTGCAGCTGCGATGTCTGCTCGTGCTGCCGCCAGTCGCCCCTCGTCTTCTCGAACCCGCCGTCCTCTGACACCTGCGACGATGGCCGCACCGCCTCGCTCAGTTCGCCAAAGTGCACCGCGCCCATGTCATTCTCCTGCAGCGTGTGTCCGTCGTCCGGGATCAGTTGCGTCACTGCTCCGTCGTCAATGTCGGGCTGTGTCGGCGGTCGAAAAGTCGGCGGGAGTGAGTCATCTTCGTATTCACGATCCTCGTTGGGCTGGGTGGGCGTTTCCTGCGTAGGCTCCTGCTGCTCCTGCTGCTGCGGCTGCTGCTCGTCGTCTATCGTCATCCTGTTGCTGTCGGGAGTGTGTCCGGCAATGACGGCGTCGCGACGGACCGTTTCTACCGCATCGTCGCGCTTTTTGATTCTCCCGTCCTCCAGACCGGCCTGAGGGGTTCGCTGCTGCTGCTGCTGCTGCTGCTGCTGTTGTTGCTGTTGTTGGTTGTGGTGCGTCCTCGTTGTGGCGAATACTTGCTTTTTCCGGTTTGTTAGACATGTAAGCCTACATCCCTGTTCCTGGCTCATGGGTGGATGAATCCAGTCAATGTGTGTGTGGATGTGGGGATTGCGTGAACCAACCTCGATATTCAACTCTCCATATCCGTCGGCACTGCTCTGTCCGCTGAGCTGCGAACTCGCAACAAGGAAGATACCGATTAGTTCGTGGGACCTGGAGGACCTTTGTCCCCGTCATCAACGTAGGAGACGTACCACTTCTGCCACGCCAAGCTCTTCTCTCATAGCCGCCCAGAGAAGCTGGCTGTCCTGCGTGTCGCCCGGATCGCCCTGCTGCGATGTCATGGCGACGACTTTCTATGAACAAGCATAGTCTTGTAGGCGCAGATATTTTCCTATCTGCGACAGGCGACGCAATTTTTCTTCTTTAGTCAGAATTAGCTGGAAACATTACTAGCGAAGCTTCGATTGTTAGACAATGTGCGTGTTCAATGGCGCGTGCGTGGCACGCATGCACGTGACTACCCTGTACCCTTGAACGGTCGGAGTCGGCCATTGAACAACAGGTATTATATTCATGGTTGATATCAACGGGTTTAATACTGGCTGCCTATGTTTGTCCGATCTTTTCCTTCTCTTATTGGCAGATGTGGTGGAGATTCTGTACTTGTATTGCAGCATGTTTGTAACGTGGATGTATGTGCACCACCTTGTCTGCCACTTATACGACAGAATCCTCACAGGACTACGTTCAACGTCTTATAAGAACCAATATATCATGATGATATCCATAGAGAACAACGCCGTGAAGTATATAAGCCATTTCCATTATTCAACGACAGACAGCGAAAGAAAAAACTAAACGAAACGGTTATATCCAATGCAGATGACTTCTAACCCGAGCACTTCCCTATAGATTGCTACACCACACCCCAAGACAAGAAACAAAACGACATGTAATGTGACAAAGAAAGAAAAATCATCATAATAATCAGGACCTCCTCCATCCACTGCCATGTTTTCCCCACAGGTATTGATGCACCTGCTTCTGCTTGTCCTGCTTCTGCCGCGACGGGAGATGGAAGCCATGATCCACATTGCTGCTGGGCGGCGAAACCAGCGATTCAGGCATATATGGCACCGGTGTATCCGGGTAAGGAGTATCCGGGTAAGGAGTAAGCCTAGCAGGTTGCCGGCGAGGAGCACACACACCCGGGGCCAAGCTAGATGGGATGGGGGCACCAGTGACGCTGGGTGGCAGGGAAGGCAGCTGCTTCTCCAGGGACTGAGCCTGTGGTCTGCTGCTTCCTGTGTACAACACACCGGGTTCCCGACCGACAGCGACAGAATTTGTACCGAGGGCATCCCGCGAGACGAGGCTTGGATGGCCTAGAAATGTCCCACTCGAAACAAGGACAGGAGCGGCTGTGACCGGACGAGGACGCTCAGGGAACGGGAAGAAGGCGACCTGGGATAGAGATGGCGTGGGTGGGGACGGGGGAGGTCCACCTAGAGTTCCCCCTCCGGACGATGAGCTGACCATCGATATGGCAGGCGACTGGGTTCTAGGCGTCGGTGACGACGCCGTCTGCTGCAAAGCCCTGATGGGAAGTGATCTCGGTGGTGCGGCTGGCGCGTGGTCTGCATGCTTCTCGATCCGCGAGAGGGCCTCGGCGCCGACATCCCTCCAGCAAGAAGGCGTCTCGTGTACGCGGTGCGCGGCATCGACGGGCAGCTCGATAGGTGAATACGAGCTCTGCTCGTCAGGGTACGTGACGGTATGTCGCAGATTAGACTGCCTTCTGGGCCGCAAGGGCGGCGTGACGCAGTCCGGCGAGGGGGTAGGAGCCTCGTCGGTGCCGTCCGAGCCGTGGGGGAGGGACACGGCGGAAGAGCCTCGTCTTCTGGTTGCGCCCTCGTCCGTGGACGACGAGCTCTTCGCACGGGGACGTCGCAGGGCGTCAGCGTCCAGGCCAGGGCGTTCACCGGACCCGGTCAAGGGTGAGAATGGCGACGTGTCCGAGATGTCTGTCGGTGACAGCTGATCGCTCCAGACCGGACCGGGTGAGAGAGAGTAGCATTCGGGTCTCTCCTGCTTCTGCTGTTGCGCACGTCCATGGAGGGATGTAGGACGCCTGGGCTTGAGAACAGATGGTACCTCGGACAAGTCTGCGGGTGCTTCGGAAGGTGTAGAGAAGGAAAAAGAAGAAGAAGAAGAAGAAGAAGAAGAGGAAGGTGATGATGAGGCATTCGGCAGAGATCCCATCATAGAATGGCGATTCTGCCTCCTGTTTTCTGGTCTGAGAACGGACGGCACGGGTCCAAGGTCCCTCCTGCTGCCGCCCTGTGCCTGTTCCCGCTCCCGAGCGCTCCTCTGCCGGGATTCGGTTTCCGACAGCTGATCTCGCCAAGTTTGCCAAGTCCGCCTCTTGTATTCTTGGTGTCCTTGTTTCTTGATCTTCAACGCAGGGACATGCATCGACGTGGCATCTACCTCGGCCGCATCTGCCCGGCAGGACACGTCGTGAGCTGGCATTTCGGCCACGAGACCGACTGACTCTGGGCTGCACCCGGACAGCTCGACGGGTGCGTGAACATGGGGTAACATGCTCGCGGCAGGGACGGAAGAAGGCCGGGGTACATGCGTTCGGTCCTCCGTACGGGTACCCTCCACCGGTGCGAGAGAGAGGGTATTCTCCGACCGGGGTGCCATCTGGGGACTCTCCTTCTCGCAGGCCTTCCAACTGGCTAGGTCGGGATCCTCGCTCCCGTCGTCGACGAGGGTGCTCGTGCTGAAGCGGCGGTAGCTCAGCCCGGGTCCGAGATATAGCAGGCTACCGGGGGACATGACCTCCGTAGCCTCCCTCGCGAGCCTGACGTCGTCGTCGTACTCGTACCCGTTGCGATTTCCACCGACAGGTAGTAGATTGTCACCCACCGGCGTGGCAACCGTGGCTGACATGCGTGGACGCCATCTGTCTGCGACATCGGCATCGCGGTGCTGGTGTCTGCCGCCGCCGCCGCCGCTTCCAGAGGGACAGCTGGGCGCCTGTCTCCGCGATAGCCTCTGGGATTCGAGCCTCTCTTCTGGCGTCGGGCCGGTGACGTCGGGAAACTCGGGGAACTCGTCGCCTTCGCGGGGGAAATGGTATTGCGCTGATCCGGTGGGTTGGTGTGTGTATACCCATCTTGCGCCGTCGTAGTCGATATCCCAACCTGGGGGGAGTAGACTGCTCATTTCGTCTGTATGGATTCCTTCCTCAGCGTATCCTTCCTATATATCTTTCCCGTCTGCTCTCTTCCCTGACCTTTCTTCTTCTTCTTTCTCGAGCTCCTCTAATCTGTATTTCTCAGACTACACTGTAGGTAGAAAGTCTCGGACAGGAAGAAGCACCGTTGGGAATATGTATACTAGCAGAGGGAAAAAGGAAGAAACAGGATGCGCAACTACTAGTAAGCCTCTTGCTCTTCTAACATGTCAACACTTAGTAGCTACTACGAGACCGCCATTTCACGTCCCAGAGCCCAATAGCCCAGTTGCCAACTTGAAAGGACAGGGAAAAGACCCAACAAAGGGCGGGGAATTACGATGACAAGGATCCCATTCCGCCAACTCCCATGGTCCGTCCTCATCGTCCGCGGCTGAGCCAGTCTGAGCCTGCGGAAGAAGGAAAAAAAAAGACAGGTGAAGCCTGAAGAAGGGGGGGGAGGGGGAGGGGGCAGCAGGTAACTACTGACTGTGTGGCGCTTATACCCATGCACCCGTCATGGTGATGTCTGTGTTTGTCTCTCTCTGTACTCTGTACGACTTATTAATAGTAGTACTAGTAGTAGTGCTAGGAGTGGTACAGGAGGCATTCCGTTTAACTAGAGATATCCCGTATCCGTAAAATAAGCAGTAAAACCATTGTTGGCGCCGTTGGGCGTACTGGCGCTGCCTCATTGTGGTTCCCGAGGCTGACTTGTTGGGTCTTGGACCTTGTCGTGGGACCTTTTTGTCTTACACACCCTTCACAGTCACACCGATACGGTAATATATAATATATACCTTTCCCATATCCCGGCTTGGCGTTCCTAGGGCAGCCGACAAATTTAGGATAATCATCATTCCATCTTACTCTCCAAACAGAGACACGTAACACTGCAGGAATATAATAGACAGTGAAATACTACGAAAGGCAATGTCAGACGACGCACTCCGGACAAGGGTCCATTGTCCCAGAGACAAAGACAGCAGGCAGGACGACAGACAGTCAGGGTGATACGTAGTAATATATAATATACAAGCATTGTAGCAGAATGCCGTCCATCTTATTCATGCCATTATCCCAAACTACATTCTATATGTCCCCCAAAAGACGACAATGTCTTCTCATTCAAGCGATAATGATGTCAAGAAGGATAAGCCAGCATGGGCCTGCTTTACCCACAAGCATAAGCCCTCTTGCGCCTCTGTTTCCCGCCAGTTCTAGGTATCGAAAAAAAAAAACAGCACGATGATAATGGTTCCGTCTACTACTTCTCTTCCTTCGTATATATCCCCCCCCCCCCCCAAAAAAAAAAAAAAAAAAAAAAAAAAAAAAAAAAAAAAGCAAGGGGACAAAAAGATCCCTCAACGTCCCCCGATATAAGAAGATTCAAAAAGAGAGAGAAAAAGAAAATCGTCGAATCATCGTATAGGGACAAAAAAAGCCATTGATTGACCCTACACTATATGGGTACCATCCGATGGTCCAGCGCTGTGCCTGGAGTTGCTGCGGGGGCGGAAGATGTTGGTGCGGGATCGAGCAATGGAACCCAAGGACGCTCCAGCGATAGATGGTGGCTGCACGCCCGAGGCGCTGGCGCTCGGGCGAGACTCGGACTCGGACGTCCTCCTGGCTTCCTCGCCTCTGGCAGCGGCCCTCTCCTTCTCCCTGATCGAAGCCAGACGGGTGGCTTGGATATGGTCACGGCGGTTCTCAAACACGTCGGCCACGTTGACCACGCTCGACAGATTGGCCTCGGCCTGGACGCCGGCGCGAGCGCTGCTGGAGACCGACGGACGGTGGGGCATGCTCTGGTACGGTTCGGAGGTGCCACCTTCAGGGTTGGCGACGGGGTCGGCGACGGGGTTGGTGACGGGGTCGGCGACGGGGGGGGGCTGCTGAGGGGGAGGCTGGTCGTTGCTGCTCGAGTACGAGGGCGGATACTGGGGACCGGCCCAGTACAGAGGGTGGTCGCGGCTGCCACCGGGGTCGATGCGGTACGGGGACTGGATACCGATGTCGTGCATCTGGCGCATGAGCTCCATCATGAAGCGGTTGTGGCGGGCGAGGCGCAGGAGCTCGTTCTGGAAGTTGCTCTTGTGGATAAAGACAACGGTCAGGGTAGCGGAGCGCGTGTCCGTGATGGCGGACAGCTCGACGAGGATGGTGGTCTGGAAGTCGCGCTTGTTGTTGGCGCAGAATTCGAGAAGGCGGGCCTTGAGCTCGTCAATCATCCAGGCGGGGGTGCCGAAGCGGATCTGGAGAGGCACGGGGTCGGCCAGGCCGTTGGAGCGACGCTGGTTGAGGATGAAGAGGGTGTTGAGGAGCGAGTTGGGGGCCTGGACGACGTGACCCTGCAGCTTCTTGAACTCGGTGTAGAGGAGGGAGATCTCGGTCACGTAGTAGTCGTCGCCGGTCAGCGTGGCGCCGGTCGAGCCGTAGATGGTGACGCGGTCTCCGACATCGAAGGGGTGCTTGATGAAGACGAAGATGATGGACTGCAGGAACTCCTGGGCCGTGGCCTGGAGGACCCAAGCCAGGCCGAGGACGGCGCTGCCGGCCGAGGCGAGGCCGGCGGCGGCGGAACCCGAGATGATGGAGACGAAGATGATGATGACGATGATGACAATGGCGAAGAGGAAGACCTTGTCGAGCTTCTTAACGACGGAATCGAGGTCCTTCAGGGAGGCGGCGATGGCCTTCTTCTCCATCGAGATCTCATTGGTGACAGCCTCGAACTCATCCATGGAGATGTCGCCGTTGAGGTCCTTGTCGAACATGTTGAAGGCGGCATCCGCTTCCTCGGCGACGGCAAAGGCGCTGAGCATGTCGTCGGGGTAGACCATATCTTCGCCCTCCCGGACAAGGCTGCGGTAGATGAGGCGGGCCAGGGTGTGGGCGGAGCTCGAGTTACGCAGCAGCTCGGAGACGATCTTCTTGGGCTGGTTGGTGTCTGTCTTGCGGCCCATGATGTCGTTTCCGACCTTGCCAGCGACCTGGCCGACCTTGCCGAGCACCTGGCGGGCATTCTCGTGCAGGGCGCGCATGGGAGTCTGGGTGCCACTCATGTCGGCCCTGTCGCTCTGGTGCCAGAAGCTGTCTGTCTCGCTGAGGTGGGCCTTGGCATGCTCGAACAGCTTGACGAGCTGGCGGATGTCTCCCTTGTTGTTGTCGATACGGGTGGCGTAGGTGCGCTCGTGGAAGGCAGCGGCGATCCATTGGAGGCAGATCTTCTCGACAAAGTTGAGGGCGGCAAGGACGAAGAAGGCAATGATGACCTTGAAGACGATGTTGATCCACTTGACGTCGACGTCGTCCCTCCTGTCAGCGGGGACGGAGACGCGGTGGTCGTCGTTGCAGGGCTTGAACGAGACGAGCATGGCGAGCATCCAGAGGAAGAAGGCGAAGTGAAGCTCGAGGACCTGGGCCACCTCCCTCCACTTCTTGGCGCTGTTGGATCCCAACAGCTTGGCGATGCCGAAGACTATGTGGGGGACGATGTTGCTGACCATGCGTGACACCCATAGGGATCCCCAGACAATCTCGAGCCAGATTCCGAACCACATGAGCTGGGTGCCGCCAAGACCACCGATGGGGTTGGCATCCTGGTCAATGGCGAGGGCGCCGAGCAGGACGGGAATGAGGAGAAGGGCCCCCCCGGGGATGAGGTATACGATGTAGCGGACGAAACGGGGGAACTTTTTGAGAAAAGCGAAGAACTTGAGGAGAGGTGTGTCTGACTTCTTGTGGATCGGTGCTGGAGGGGGTTCGGGAATGGGGGGGTTGAAGGTGTCTTCGACACTGGTCTCCTGACGATCGATATTGCGGACAGCGCGCATGCTCTTGGAGCGGGTGGCGGAAGAAGCATCCAGCTGTTCTTGGCTGGCTATGCGCTGCTCGACGCGGAGGAGGGCGAGGTCGTCATCAAGGCGGTTGGCGTCGGCGCGGGCACTCGATGGCGACTTGATGTTGTGCGAATGGGGGTGAGAACCGGTGCGGTGCAGGTCATTGGCGAGGGTGTCGAGGCGAGTTGGACGATGGTGCTTCTCGTCAAACTCTGGTTCCTGGATAGAAGGCCTGCTGTAGACGGGCTGGGCATCCTGGGCATCCTGGGTATTCTGATACTGGGCCGCACCGATACTGGCCGCGCCGAAAGGTTCGGTGGAGGGCTCGCCAGGGGCTTCACCCGAGTTTTCTCCAATGGTGGGAGAGGAAAGTCGATCCAAGGGCAGCTCGGAAGAAGGTGGCCGGTCCTGATCAGGACGAGGATCCGTTGATGTGCCGGCCATCGTGGATCTAGTCGGGAGTTACGTGTGTATTATGAGAAATGGGGGCTCGGTATAATGCATCAGATCAATCGGTTGTAGGTGGAACTAGACGCTGCAGGACCGATGCTGATAAGAGGGCAGAAACGAAACGACGATGGACCGCGGAGCCTGCAGGTTCTGTGCGTTTTCCGGAAAGTTTTTTTTTTTTTTTTAAAAAAAAAAAAGAGAGAGAGAGAGAGAGAAAGAGAGGAAAAGAGGAAGAAACAAAGGAGAAGGAAAAGGAAAAAGAGAGACGAGTAACGAAAGAAAAGGAGAGGGGGCGGTTGGTGATTGAGTATGAAATACGCGTGGTAGTGGAGGAGGAGGAAAAAAAAAAGTGACGAGAGAGAGAAGATCGACGGGGATGAGAGACGATTGGAGGTAGGTCGGTGAGGGAGGTGCGACCGGTAGCTCTTTCCTCTCTCCAGGTTTGGATTCCGGCTGCCTCTTTTTTTCTTTTTCTTTTTTTACCGATAGACAAAGAGGCGAACAATACAGATGATATGAGAACAGGTAATAATAATACGGTATACGAGTACAACAAGTCTGTATATTCTACATTAGGCTGTGCAAGGAAGAAGGATTATCTCAACGTAGCTTGAGGAAACCCGGACGAAGAGAGAAACACTGGAGAGAGTGTGTGACAGAGGGAACCAAGAAAAAAAAAACCGGCATCGGTTGAGTAATATTACATGGTTAGATACAGAGTTACGAGTACAACTTCCAAGTACGGATCACGCACGGTAGAGGACGCGCAGCACGACAGCTTCAAGTGGGCTCCGGTGGATCAGATCCAGGATTGTTCGAGCATGTATCAACCTACTACTAGGAGTCCGGTAGCCTGTCGTATGGTAGCACCGTAGCAGTACCCACACACCATGACCACGGTCCATGAGACCCGTGGCCGGGGTCCACCAACCAAGCATCGGGATCGGACGGGGTGTGTGGTGTTGTAATTACCGGTGGACTGAACGAGGCAATCGGAAGAGGTGGGCGAGTTGAAACGATGAGGACAGAACCCCCCCCCCCCCCCCCCCCCCCCCATCTCTAGTCCTGTACGATGTGCTGTGATCAGGTCTAGTTGCATGATGGAGGACAATCATCCGGAGGAGTATATGACGGGGAGGTGTCATGGCTCTGGTGGTAACCGGTACTATCAACTACGAACTCGGGTACTCGGGTCGGCATGGATACTCCCTACATAGAGAGGGTATCGACATCCAAAGACCATGCCCATGACCATGACCAGGATCAAGGCCAATACCAAGACGAACAGGACAAGCAAAGCCAAAGCCAAAAGCCAAGCATCGATATCCGTAAATTGCAATGGACCCCTGAGGCGCAGACGCGCTGAACCAGGAACAAGCTTTTTTTCCGTCTATATTCAAGGCGTATTAAGGCTTGTGTTTGTGTACCTGCGGAGTGTTACTCGCAGGATGTACAGATAATATATGTATATACGATATTACTCCGTATACTCCTAGCAGTTGCGAGAACTTGTACAAACAGAAAGAAAGGAAGAAAGAAAGGGCACGAAGAAGAACTCGGAGCATGGACATGCAGAGTACTACTACCTTGCACTGCTACTCCGTATCACTACTCTGTACAGGCTATCACTACAGTCTACCAGGAACTTGAAGAGAAACAAGAGCTATGTTTTCTTGTCTGTAAATTATGCATTCGCGTCCGGACTGTCATCTATTCTGTACAAGTCACTACAAGATGTATGGTACTTGTATAGTATGATAGTCCATCATATCACCATCATATGCGATCGCCCCCCCCCCCTCCTGTCTCCTCCTGTCTCCTCCCCCCTCAATCACCGCATTCCTCTTGCCGTGTCCGAAACGCGCCGTTTCTAATCGCTCGAACCCAAAGAATCCAATCGAAAGAACTGTTTTAGGCCCGTACCGCTAGGTGCCGTCCATCTTCATTATTGTTTTTTTTTTGAAGAAGAAGAAAGTTTATATGGAAGAAGAACGGCCTCTGCATCTGCCTCGTGTATCAACCCATGTCAATGTCTCTTACGAACTCTCCGTAATACTCTGTACGTACTCGTACAGTGGTAACATTACCGTATGGTACTACGTATGTGGTACTACGTATGTGGTACTTCGTATGGTACTACGTATGGTACTACGTATGGTACTAGGGGTATGAAACTCCACCGCCACATAAACCCACAGTGCATCCATTATGCATACATTTGCAATCTACTCGCAATATCGAATCGAGCGGTACCGGCGACAAGAGAAGAAAAAGAAGGAGGAAAAAGAAGAGAAAGAACAGACACTCGTAGACATTCACTCCGGTAATAATCCCCCCTAGATCAGCCACCCTCCCTTCCCCCTACCTAACCTGCTAGCCCTGTACGGCCAAGGTAGCCCATCCTCGTACTCGTACTCCCAAACAGCTCAGCACTCACCTGCATCGTATCACTCGTAGATGTCCGGACAAGATTCATCATATCTCAAAGCAGAGGAAGAGAGGGGGACGATGGAGTGACAGCTCGCTGAAACTGCAAACGCAAACCCGTAATATCGTCTTGTTAAAGCCTTTGGGGGGGGGGGGGGGGGGGAAAAAAAAAAACTTTTTTTTTTTCCCCCCCCCCCCCCCCCCCCCCCCCCCCCCCCCCCACCTCCCTTCCTAGAATTCCCCCCTGATCGGTGATCCCATCATCCTTGATTTCTCTCTCTCTCTCTCTCCCCCCTCTGATCCCCCTTACTTACAGACTTGCAGCTTCTTCTGAACCTCCTTACTCGTCAAGAATCCTCCGTACTCTTATCACGGAGTAACTCCGTAAGGTACACGGGGCTCTCCCATCCTATCGATTCCTCAGCTTCTCGCCCATAACATATTATTCCAGTCTGCGTAATGACGACTGCACGTCGTAATCTCATCGGACATTTCCGTTCGAAAACAGCAACAATTTTTTTTTCTTTTTTGTTCAAAATTTAATATTCTCAGCCTCTTGATCAACAACAAGCCTGATAGGTAACATCACCGTATCTGTATATATACTTGTACAGAGTAATATTACTCGTACTCAAAAACATTTGTGCAGGTCCCCCTTCACCCCGATACTCCCAATACAGTATACCATCACCGCTCGTAACCGCTTCTTTTAACCATTCGGTACAGAAAGACCTCCTCTAAACCCTCCAACTCCGAGCTCCAAGCACCTCCACCAACTAACCCCCCCCCCCACTCACCACCACCCACATCTTTGCCACCCTCACGCACACCTCGCTCCCCCTCCCCCGGCCCCGGCCTCCCCTCTTGGCCCCCTATTCCCATCGTGGGAAGGCCTCCGCAGATGCTCACCCAACTGATGACGAAATCCACCGCGAGAAGATAAAGCGCTCCGCAAAGTAACGGGGTACGGGGGTTCATTCACTGCCGACTCCGTATTATCGAGTCAAGAACTCGACTGCACAGACTTCAGGCTTATGACTGTTAAACCAAAAAAAGACAAAAATAGAAACAATCAACCATGGCTTCAACGTTGTTGAGGAGTTTTTTTTTCTATAAAAAAACCCTTTTCAGTAAATTCATTGTTCTGCTATACTATCTATTCCCGCTTTGTTTAACGAAAAAAAAAAATTTCATCCCAACTACTCCGTACAGCGTACGACGCAGTAGTAGTAAGCAAAAATCTCCACACAAATACGTAAACCATCAACCTACTCGTACTCTTCATAGTATTACTCGTGCACATGACAATCATGTATACCTGACCGTAAGAGGGAAAGAGGAACCAGAAATTGAGGAGGACTTGCACATCCTCACACCGTGATAGTCCAGTCCTCTCCTACCCGGGCACCCACGCGTCCAACCACGGCATACGCAGCCCGACCCTTCTCCTCACCGTGGTACTGCACCTTGACGGACCAGGAGCGTCCGTCTCCCGTCTTGATCTGCACTTCCGACTTGTTCCACGAGGCGGGGGCTCCGACGACGATGATTCTGTCGACGTACACCTCCCTCATGGCCTTGAGCCACGCGCCCTCCTTGATGGACTTGGCGTTGCGGCCTTCGGCGTCCGTAGACGTGAGCGTCTGGTCGCCCGACAGCGTGAACTTGCGGTGAATGTACTGCCCCTGCTCGTGATTGAACGTGTCCCCGTCGTCGGCGTACAGCTCGCCCTCTGCCTCTGCGCCGTGCTTGGACACCGTCACCACGAGCGTGTAGTCGTCGAAGCGCATCGTGGCCGCCGACCGGCGGGGGATGTCGCGGCGGGGGAAGATGTGGCCGCCCCGCATTAGGAGTGGGATGGTGTCTATCGGGGCCGGGACGGTCAGGTGCCTGCCCCTCTGCGTCTTCTTGACCTCGTACGTAAAGTAGTCGTAGTACGCCTCGTCGTCGGGGATCCAGATGTCCGCCGTCTCCTTGCCCTGCTCCACCACAGGCTTGACCAGCAGGCCCGTCGACCCGACAAACATCTGATCGTCGATGGCGAAGCCGCCCTCCTCGGACGGGTGTGTCCAGAACATGGGTCTGACGATCGGGCTGCCGTCCTTGTTGGCCTGGTAAAAGGCCGTGTACCACGACGGGAGGAGCTGGTACCGGAGCCGGATGGCCGCCGTCACCTTGTCCACGTGGTCTCCGAGCAGGTAGGGCTCGCGGCGCCGCGAGTCGATGTGCGCGTGCGCTCGGAAGAAGGGGTAGAACGTTCCTGCCTGGTACCACCGAGTGAGCAGGTCCTTGTCCGGGTTGCCGAAGAAGCCGCCCACGTCGGCACCCGCAAAGGGGTAGCCCGCGACTCCCTGGTTGAGAACCATGGGGATCGAGGCTGCCAGGTGGTCCCAGTTGGCCTGGTTGTCCCCCGTCCACATGGGGCCCAGCCTCTGGGAGCCGGAATAGAACGATCGCGTCAGGATGAAGGGCCGGCGGAACTCGCCCTTCTTGCGAGACACCATGGCTTGGAAGGTGGCGTTGTGGAAGGTCAGGCCGTTGACGTTGTGGATGTCGCGGTGCTCCCAGCCGCCGTGGTGCAGGTTGTCCTTGGGCATCGTCGTCTCAGGCCCGTTGAACACGGACGGCTCGTTCATGTCGTTCCAGATAAAGGTGTTCGCCAGGCTGCCCTTGAAGTTGCTGTACTTGAACAGCGTCTTCCACCACTCGATAGCCTTGGGGTTGAAGCAGTCGACCCAGTTGGACGAGCCGGGCCAGCACCACCCTTCCCACAACTTACCCTCCTTGTCGTGCACGGCCAGGTCCTTGGACACAATGTCCTTGCTGATGGCCCAGCTGTCCGACTTCTTGATGTGTGGGTCGATGAGCACCACCAGGTTCCGCCCGTGCTGCGCCAGCTGCTCGCCCATGCTGATGGGGTCCGCAAACATGTTGGGCTCCCACGTGAAGTACTTACGGTCGTCCGTGTACTCCAGATCCAGCCAGATGACGTCGTAGGGGATCTTGAACTTGTCAAATTTGACGTCCACGTCCTTGACGTCATCGTCCGACATGTAGTTCCATCGGCACTGGTGGTATCCAACGGCAAACTCTTGGGGGAGGGCGGTGTAGCCCGTCAGTTCGCCGTAGGCCTTGTTCAGGTCCGCGGGCGTGGGGCCCAGGAAGACAAAGACATCCATGATGCCGGCCTCGGACATCCAGTGTGTCTGCGTCGTCGTCTCCTTGCCACCCTTACCCAGGCTCAGCGGGTTGGAGCTACCCTTGCTCTTGGTGATGTCGATCCAGGTCTCGGCTACGTTGAGCCAGAAGACACCAACCGTCGAGTCCTTGCGGTGAGCCTGCATAAAGGGGATGGAGCCGTAAAGAGTCATGGGGCTGTCGAGTTCGTACTCGAACACATCCGAGTTGTAAAGGCGATAGGGGTCAGTGTGACTGCCATCGCCTCCGCGCGTCTGCCTTAGAGACATGGGACCTGTATGTTCGGGAATACCGTAGACGTGCTCGTAGCCGGGGAAGGAGATGTCGAGGGAGATGCTCTCCGGGCCGCGGGGCTTGGAGTCGGTGTTTCCGGCAAACGTTTCCTCCCACCATGTGCTCTCGGGATCATCTTCCTTGTTCTTTTTCTTCTTATCCTTGACATCCTCCTTCTTCTCCTGACCGTCCTTGTCTTCCTCACCCTCGACCTGCTTGGGGGGCTCCGGGTTGTCAACCTTGGGCCTCCAGTGCTCCATGTTGAAGAGTCCGCGGTCGTTGAACTTGACGTGGGACTCGCCATCACGCCTAAAGTCGACCTCAAGGGGCGAGAACTTGACGACAGCCTCAAACTTGCCATCCGGACCGTAGTTGATGTTGACCTGCGACTGGTCCTGATGAGAGAGCTTGGCCTCGACGTCCAGGTCGACACCGCCAACGAGCACCCAGTGATCCGCCTCATTGTAGCGCTCCTTGCGCGCCTTGCTGTTGTGTCGGAGGGTGATGTCTTTGTTGCGTCTCTTCTCCTCGTCGACGGTGAAGCGGGCAGTTCCCGACTTATGCAGGGAGAGGGTGAGGGGGAAACGTTCGGTATCGCCGTTGTCGTTGATCGTCTTGAGTACCATGGCCTTCAGTCGGCCGTTGGAGAAGGAGACGGTGTCGTGGACCACATTGTAGGGGGAGCTCCAGGTCGAGGCCTGGGCGGCAGCATCATCGGCGTAGGCTCGGTTGCGTTTGCAGAAGCCAGACTGGTGGCACTTTTTGAAGTCGTGCTCCTTGACGGCAGCTATCAAGTGTCGTCAGCGTCACAGTCAGCCAACCAGTTCGTTCGAGAGGTGTATCATCTTTAGAAAGAGCCATTGGAGACAAAAAATACCTGCAGGGTTGACGAGACACACCAGGATGCATAGCAGAGCCAGGAGTGCCGTCCATTTGGCGGCCACGGAGGCCACCGTAGACTTCATGGCTGCTTCTCTGTTCTTCACCACCAGGGGAAGAAGGGAGAGAAGGTTAGGAAAGGAGGAAAGGAAAACGAAATCCTAAATGACAGAAGACCCAGGGTTATGCATCGAGATGGCGGACAAAGATGCGATTATCGCCCAAACACTCCAGAATAACTTTCCCGGAAATGTTGGATGGCAAAGGATGGGGAAGCTTGACCGTATATGTGTCGTGTGTCGTAGTCGGGGACACACTGCTTTCTAACAACCCCCCCCCCCCAAATTCCTCGTCACGTGCAACTACCTTGACAATCAACAATTGTTGGTGACAGCAACACACTTTAATGTAAACAGTATCGTGTAATCTGTACATATACGATGTAAACGTCCGGAAACACCTGTGACTGCCTGTGCAGACTAGACTCGTACAAAGGAAAATAGAAGCCCTTTCAACCGGAAATGCACCTCTATACCGGGAATCGAGCTCGTCTACAAAAAATAGTCAACCAAGCACTCGAACTCCTTGATGACACCCTTGGCATAGTACTCGTATCGTTGCTTCGTTCGATCAAGTAGTTTTTGAATTTTAAATGTACAGATAGATGGAATCAATTGCACTTTTGTAAATTCCAGGCATATGTTCAATCATGAGCTGCTAGCTGGACAGCGTTACTGCTAAATACACGAGTAGAAGCTTTCTGGCCCTTGGTACCATACAGGCGGGATGCATATTTAGCCCTTGCGCTGGTGCGGGGTTAGGCCGTTATTCACTGATACACCGCTATATCCATATTTTCATATTTCCATATAAGCATGTAAACAGTGAGTCTAACCACTATTAAGTTCCTGGCCAGCTATTAGCCAATGTCTCAGGGGCCGTTTCCTGGTGCCAATTGCCAAGTGTCAGGTGGTGGATGGCCCAAGATGGGTGGTGTGGAAGGACAATACAAATGCAGGAAACGGGAAGGAGCTATGGAGACGGGGGACCTAGAACTGCAGCCTGGGGCAGCAATTTTCTCAGTCTGAAGCATACGGCGCGCCTCCAGTTCATTTTCGTGTATTGATATCAAGTGCACTGTATAAAGGGTTCACCAAACGACCTCACTCTCCAGAAGAAGAAGCAGGTAAAGATTGTCGAAGGGGAAAGAGAGGAGCATATATTTTTCTCTTCATACATACCAGGAGCATCTTATCGTTCTTTTCTCATCATCCTCCCACTGTCTTCTCTCTTCTTCTCTCTAGATTCAATATTCACACTCGCCAACACAGTTACACAAACATAGTAACACTGTGCAAAATCCGGCCATGGACAGCTCAGAGCCCCCCCACCAACAGACGCACCAGAAGACGCACCAGCACACGCCCGCCTCCCCGAATGGACGACGGCTTTGGTCAACGAGGGGCAGCACCCGAACTCCACTATTGCTTTTCTTCTGCTTCTTTTTTGCTCTCCTCTCTCTTCTCGTCGCCTACTTTCCCATCTACTCTCACCAACAACCTCTTTCGACCTGTATCCTACCTTCAACTCTTTCTCAAGTTCAACCAGACATTCCTCCTCCATTCACAATGTCGTCCTCCGAGCAGACGTAAGCTATTCCCCTTGTTCCTTTTCTCCTCTCCCCCCTCCAGTTCCCCCCCCCCCGCCGCGGGGTCCTACTGTTCCCCCTCCACCGCAAGTTTGTGAGGGGTCCCTTGTTGACACGATGTTATAGCTTCATTGCCATCAAGCCCGACGGCGTCCAGGTAAGCTTCTTCTTCCCCCTTCCTATTCGTCTCGTGTGTGTAATGCAATTGCTAACTCGATGTCTTCTAGCGTGGACTCATTGGCCCCATCGTCTCTCGCTTCGAGAACCGTGGCTTCAAGCTTGTTGCCATCAAGCTTGTCTCTCCCTCCAAGGAGCACCTCGAGAAGCACTGTGAGTAGCCGAGAGCCGTTATAACACTGCCAACGCATATACTGACCATGATTACTCGACACTTCACAGACGCCGACCTCGCTGGCAAGCCCTTCTTCGCTGGCCTGATTGAGTACATGCTCTCCGGCCCCATCTGCGCCATGATCTGGGAAGGCCGTGACGCCGTCAAGACTGGTCGCAGTACGTTTCTCCCTCTCCCCCTCCTTCCGCCCTCTCTTGATTACACAAACAAGCCTCTTAACACTCCTAAACAGCCATCCTTGGTGCCACCAACCCCCTGGCCTCTGCCCCCGGCACCATCCGTGGTGATTTCGCCATTGACGTCGGCCGCAACGTCTGCCACGGCTCCGACTCGGTCGAGAACGCCAAGAAGGAGATTGCCCTCTGGTTCCAGGACTCTGAGATCGTCAGCTACAAGGGCTCTCAGTTCGACTGGATCTACGAGAAGGCCTAAATTTCTTCTATTCGACATCTTGGTCCACAGGATACTGCCGAGTCATTTACACCAAGGCTCATCGACCCTGCCCCTTGGGGGGGTATAATGAAGCTGTCTGGGAAATTATGGGCTAGTTGAAAGGATATAGAGGAAAAAAGAGAGAAAGAAAAGGGATTCCTAAAAAACAAAATGATCATCTCTCGATTCTCATGTGATTCGCCTCCTTCTCTAAGATTTACGTGATGACACCGCTTTACGAGCCCGGCCCAAGACACCCGCGAACCACGGCGTTGCCGAAACACTGGCGATGATGCGAATGGGCAGCAGAGCCTTTGTCACGGCATATGCCAAGGCCACCTCGACAAGGATCCTGTACTTTTCCTCGCCGCTGCGAAACCTCTGGACAGCCTTGTCCGTCTGCTCCCTGCTGCCCCCCTTGTCCTGGAGCTGCTGCCGTCCCTCGGCGAGAAATGGGGTTGCCCCGTCGTCATCGCGGCCGAACCCAAACCACCCCTTGCGGGAGAAGTAGCTCTCGAACCGCGCCACCCCACCGCGCACGTAGTCGCCCAGGTACGTGTCATTGCAGTCGGCGGCTATGCGCCCGAGGGGAACGTGATCTGCGCCGTAATGGAAGAGGCCGAACAGGGCCAGCAGCGGGACGACGGCCGTCAGCTCGTGCAGGATGAGGAACGAGACGATGTGAGATACCGGCGCGTCGCGGAGCCCTCGTGTGTACGGTTGAAGACGCCGGGGAAGGCGGGCCGTGATGCGGTCTATGCGCGTGGCTTGTTTTGATATCTGCGTCGATTGGTATCTGGTACCAGTAGCGGGCGATGTATTTCCCTTCGGGAGGCGGCGTGATGTGGGCGGGAGGCGTCCGCGTCGCGGAAAGAGGCGTCGGGCAAACATGGCTGGATGGTGGTGGTTGTGAGGGTGCAGGTTAGAGAGGCGTGGGTCGACTGCTGTGGGAAAACATAGCTTGGGGGAGCCAGGATAGTTGCTGTCAGCATGGTCGGGACGATGTGTCCGACCTAGTACCACGATCCACGAGAAGAAATATTATTTCTACAGCTGGTTCTACTTGTTTTCTTCTTCTCCCTCTAAAGAGAGAGTAGAGGTTTCAATATGAAATGGCATATAATACTATTATCGCAAGAGGCTGTTTGCTTTATGGGTTGATAGATTGTGACGTGGTGTTAACTGAGACAAGGGGGAAAAATATGATATTATAAAAAAGATTGCCAGAAAGGACAGAGATCTGCAAAATGGAGTGCCTTGTATTTCACTTGTGGGACTTGAGGAGCAAGATGAGAAGAAAGAGAAAAGGATACAAAAAAAAACAACCCGATTAATCGGGTGGCGGATCTCTCCCGCCGGGAATTGAACCCGGGTCTCGAGCGTGACAAGCTCGCATACTGACCACTATACTACGGAAGATATTTGATTGTTAACAACCAACGTAGTAAGGAACTGGAAGAGTGCTTCTGTATCCTTGTTTATCAAGGTTCAGACACCAGGTGTTACAATAACGATGGCCGACAAACCAATATTCAGGACAGCAAACTGAGGCCATATACGGAAGGGGATTCGACAAACCATATCAGTGGCATGTTTCATTTACGATCATATGACTATTTCCGTGAATGAAAAACTGAAGCTGTACACGCAAACCTGATAATCCGAGTACAGTTCTCTCATCTACATAAGTGTACAAGATTGCACATACAGCCATGTTCATCCAATATTCTATCAAAACCCAATATCGACTCCTCACAGAAAGAAAAAAGTCACATGAAGGTGAAGAGCCAATGGCTTCTACTCTAGATATATCCAAAATGCGGAACAAAACAGACGATAAGTAGGGGGGAAAATGCTCCTTCAATGCTTCACAACGCCTCTTTTAGACGATGCTAGACGCTGGCAAAGAACGACGGATCATTCCTCCTCAGTTCCATCAGAGTAATAATCAAACTGGGTCGGGACAGGCAAAGCCTTTGCGTCAGGAAGAGCGCCCGTCTCGACGTCGGCAATATGGGCAGCAGCAGGCCTCTTTGACTCTGGCAAGTGGCTCCTAAGCAGGCCAGTCATAGTCTCGGCCCACTCCCAGGGCCTCTCACGGCCGCCGGGGAGAGCGTTGAAATACTCCCAGCCCATGACGCCTCCGAAGTTGGGGTAGTACATCCTGAGCTCGGCGAAGACGGTGGACACGGGCACCATGGGGACGAAGCCCGAGCCATTCTCCGGGTTGGTGACGAGGCCCACGACGAGCTTATCGGCGGGCCAGCCGCTGCGGACCATGGCGTGGTACATGCTGGGGCTGGTGCAGTCACCCCAGCCGCAGTAGAACTGGGTGTTGTACCAGGCGATCTCGCGGCCGCGCATGACCTCGAGGGCGACGTAGTCGAAGCCGCTGAGGTTGGCCTGCGGGTTGAGCAGGGCGGCGGCGACGGGGGCCATGGTGAGGATGAAGTTGCCGCCAAAGTCGGCGCGCAGACGGTCGATCAACCGGATGATGCCCGATAGACTCATCTCTTCCTCGACGTCGAGGTCGAGGCCGTCCAGGCCGCGCTGGCGCACCATGTCCCGTAGGGGCAAGTAGTACCGCTCGAACTGGCTGTCCGACCCGTCCAGGCGCGAGTACGTGCCCTTGGCGGCGCCCCCCAGCATGCCCATGACCTTGACCCCCGCCGCCTGCAGCGTCGCCATCTCAGACCACAGCGTGCCGTTGCGCTCGTGCCCGGGAATGTGGTCGTTGAGCGTCAGCCCCGACGGATCCTCGTTGATATGGATGGCCGCCAGGATGAGGTGAGTCACCGAGATTCCCGGTCGGAGAACCAGCGGGAGAACGGATATCGGGCTGCCGCCCTGGTCATGATGCGTCTGGTAGTAGGCCACGATGCGTGGGGTCTTGGTATTAGGCGGTATAGGCGCCATGGCTGGCTTCGAAATCAATGTTATAGGCTGTTCCGCTTCTCTCTCACACGAGAGAACTATGTTTGTATGCAGTGTAATGTCGGCGTCTAATCAAAATGACAAAATGACTGGAGATGGTGTCGTGCTGAGATGCCGTGTTACCTTCATCGACGACGTCGTCTGTTGTCCAGTCTTCTCAGTTATTACCCCACTATGTTTCTGTATGGTGGGGGGATTTTATTTTGTTGCAGCCTCGAGAGCACTTATATTAATAGTAGAAGCCATCATGGTTCCGACAGAAGTTGATAATGCTGTATGACAAAGTCTTGTTCTTTCTCTAAGCGTGGAACAATATTTTACATGGTTTAATCGTTGTATATTCACTGCAGTTCCGAACCCTGAGGTGGGGGAGGAGGCCGCGCCTTCGCATCTTCGAAATACATCATCGCCATGCCTATATGAGCGCCCATGTAAGCCTGCTTAAAGTACAACGTAAATCGTTGCCATTCTTTTTATTATTTTTCTTTTCCTCTTTCTCTTCCCCCTCCTCCCCCTCCCTTTTTTTTCTCTCTCTAAGAAAAAACAATAAGAATCCCTCGCATCCCTTCCATCTCATGTTCTTTCTCTCTGTGTCAGATATCACGTATTTCTGCCTTTCTTCAAATCCCTTTCCACTCTTCTGTATCTGACTTAATGCCCCCTACTTCTCCCACCTCCCGGGCGCATGGCCATTGGATTCAATATGATCCAGGCTGTTCTTGGGGCCATCATCGCTTGGTCTCGGTCGAAGGCTCTCCTCCCGGGAGCCTTCCTTGGCTAAATCCCCATTTCTATGAGTGGAGCATCACCCCCCGGATCTCCCGGAGACCTCACGCAGATTCTTCCTCGGTAAGGATTTGTATGTCCTGGACAGTGGACGCCTCTCTAGGTCATGTCTTCATTTCTTCCCCTTGTGCCATGTCGCTTGTTGATGAACATATTCGAGGGTATGCTGACCTTGTGTCCCGCGAGAGGTTGGTAGTCCAGTTGCAGTATGGCTTGAAGATCGGGTGAGAATTATATTTCGTGGGGGTATGATGCTGTGTGCGTATGTGAGAGGCTTGGTCTATTGTATCGGGGCTTACTCCTAGGCTCGACCATCATGAAAGTGAGAGCCAGGCCAAGATTTGCAAGTATGATGTCTGCCCGGTGCGCACGGTCACCACGCAGTTGCGCACTCCCGTCGACAACAGGTTGAACGGCGAATACATTGGCCCCATGGCATGCTCTCGCTGGCGTTACACGAAGCATTGTGGTCAAACAGTCGATGTTTGATCTCGGGATAGTGTTGCTTATGTATCTTCGGTTATACATGCCGATGCCATCCTGAGGCCCCATCCATCAGGTTCCGGCTTACTGCCTCTGTCATTCAACAATAAGCTATCTTTAATGTCCGTCAACATCGTTCACGACGTGATACTCATATTGTCTTATATCTCGTTCTATTCGGTTTCTCACCTGATCACTCTCCATAATGACCAATATTGAACACTACTAAGAACAACGAAAGATATCAATGAAGGAATTGTAGACCGAGGGCATGTTCCGTCAACAATGAACCAAGAGAGTAGTCCACCCCCTCTCAGAGTGGAAGTTAATGGTATTACTCGTGCTGAGAGCTGAGGAGCGTGCAAGGTGCTCATGGTCTTGATGAGACAGCAGGTACCCTATACATGCCTCAGCTCAGTACTCATACCCACTCAACAAGCTCCCCCCCCCCCCACATGTCGACAGAAGGAAGAGGAATCCTCGCACCTTGCCAATCCACGCAACACCTACCACACTCAACTTGAAGCCTCCCTATCGTCCGCTACCCGACCGAAACGTCCTCCAATGTTGTCTGGGAGGCAAATCTGGTCGCGGTCCGGGCGTGCGGCCCGGCTACTTAGGCCGTCCTGGCCAGCCGAACGCGCAACATGTCCGTTTTGCTGCACCACGAGCGCCGCTTCTCGTCTGCGCCCGTCGTCGCCCATCTTCCGACGTTATCAATCGACGACGACGACAACGAACAATGCTAGAGCTGAACTTGAGAAAGCTCTGCGCGAGCTCCAAAAACAGTACCCCAATTTCGTCGAACTCTCCCGACTACAGCTCGCACTGCAGGGTTTGCGGCAGACCGCTGGCAGCGAGGCCATTCGGGTGGCCATTCTCGGTCTAGGATCTGGCGGTGGCGACAACAGCAACAACAACAAGGCCGGCCATCACGCTGCCAGGCGCATCCTTTCCACCATGCTGGCCGACCCGCTTGTCGGCAAGCAGCCGTGGGAACAGAAGTTGGACTCGTATGACCCGGCCAGGCCGCTGGTCGTGCGCGTAAGACCGAGCAGCTCCGAGGAGACAGTGCTGAGGATAGAGCGCGCGTCAACGGCCATTGAGCAGGAGCAGATCTCATCGGCTGCTCTTAATGGGCTTAACCTCGAGCTTCTCCTCATGGAAGGTAACCTCCACGCTAAGACTCTGGTTTCATCCTCCTCCTCTTCAGCCCAGGAAGCCGTCCTCAACCCCGTCGTAGAGATCCCTTCGGGCGAGGACCGGTTCACGCCTGTCGCGAACCCCGTGCACAAGACCATCGTGGTGGGCAATGGTATCGGTGGGGCTGTCGACATCGCGGCGCTGCCTCCTTCTCTGCTCCAAAACAGAGAATCTATCCTCGTCGTTGCCAACTTGGCGGGCCTGTCGCAGGCCGAAGTAAGTGCTGCTGCCTTCAAGGTGGTCGACGTGGCCCTTGCCGAGGAGGCCATCGCCCTCTTCCGCCAGGGCCCCCAACACGCCATGGAGTACGAGAGGCTGTGGTACGACAGCAAGGTGCCCGCCCTGATCGACTGGCTCAAAGCAGGGTTGGTAGCCGACGAGGCTGACGCCACCAAGCCTGCCGTTCGACAGCTGGTCTCCCTGGTCCTGCAGAACACCCTGTCATCTATAGAGGACGAGGAAAGCCGTAGGCTGACGAGGGCTGTCGCGGCCAGCTCCCTCCCCGAGGCGGGCGAGCTTACCGAGGCTCTGGCCCAATGGTCCCAGCATGCCCACGCCGAGCTCCAGGGCGAGCTTGACCTCGCCTTTACCGGCCGCCGATGGCGCCAGCTTGGCTGGTGGAAGCTTTTCTGGCGCGTCGATGACGTGGCCATGCTGACCCACGAGATACTCAGTCAACGCTTCCTTCCCACGTCGGAGCAACAGCTCATCTACCTGACGGGCCGCATCGCCGGAGTGGCAGGCGAGCACGCATCGTACCCGCAGCCAACATCCAAGCAGGACGTTGCTGCTGCCACCAGCCCTCAGACGTCGTCGCCGACGTCGACCAAGCTGGCATCCGGCGAGGTGATGTCCTCCCTGCCCGTCCTGCCTGAGTGGCCCGGCCACATTGCCTTTACGCGTCGGTACCTCCAGAACGAGACGATCCCTGCCCTGCAAGCCCTGGCGCAGAGGCTGGTCGCCCAGGCTGTCGGAACCTCCTCGGCAGCGACGTGCCTCGCGGCCCTGGTATACGTGTCACAGTTCACTTCTACCTTTTATGAGGCCAGCACCATAGCGGCCGTGGGTATCGTGTACAGCCTGGGAAGGATGCAGAAGAAGTGGGAGAGGGCCCGGGATTTCTGGCAGGGCGAGGTCCGCGAGGAAGGACGCAAAGCTGTCAGGGGAGTAGAAGACAGCGTCGCCAAGGTCCTCGAGGGCGATGTCAATGCTCTTACTCAGGACGCTGACCTGCCTACGCCTGAGGAACTCCAAAAGGCTCGCGATCTAGTGGCCCAGGCTAAGGAGGCCCTGTCACGTATGAAGTAATATGTCTGTCATCTCTTTTGTCATCTTCTTCCTTTGCTGCATGTACACTAGTTTAGCTGATATCACATAGACGGGAGGTTATTGTAGGATGGTAGCTGGGGGAGAGGCATAGAAGGTTGCCTTTTTATCTTTTCTTTTTTTTTCTTCTCGTATGAACTTTATGCAAGGTGACAGACGTCATATGAAGCTTGCCATCCCATTTTCATTTCTTTACCAACCACTCCTTTGGAAGATTATATGTATAAGAGAAAAAGAACAGAATTGGCCTTCTTGAAAGAAAAAATACAAGTTCCCAAAACATCCATGTATAACGCCGAGCAGAAAGCCGTTTAAAACGAACCACATCACACGCTCCTCCTCTCTATTTCTCCTTTGCCTTTACCATGCAACGAATGCGGCACATATCGTCATTCCCTTATTTATTGGAACTCAGTCAATTACCGCCTTCCACCGGCCCTAGCACGACTGACAGTGGCACGACCTCTAGCCAGACCGACACCGCGACCACGGACATTTCGGCTGCGGAACATGGGCGCATTTCGTAGCATGTCGGGGACGATGAAGAAGCGGACGTGCGAGCCACGGATGTAGACCTGGTCGAGGTGGGAGACGCGGCCGTCGCGAGCGGTGACGGTAATGTCCTTGAGCTGAACATTCATGTTGTCCTCAGCTGTGCAGCGAACAAGAGTCAGTTAACCGTTATCTTCTCTTTCTTCCCTTTATGTGGTGTGTTTTTTTTTCTTCATTATACATACCCTCGAGAAGTTTGCCGCGGTAGGTGGTGCCCGAGGTGATTTCCAGAGTGACAATGTGGCCCTAGATATTTCAACCCCCCATTGTCAATTTGAGCCGGGTGAGAAAGGGTGGGTAGAGGGGATCCCCCATTGCGCTCGTGAAACTTACCTCTGCTTCATTGAGGAGCTTAATGGGAATACCAATTGTAGACGTCATGACGGGCGAGGCGAATGTGGCGATTGGGATGGGTGGTGGTGGGGGTTGGGAAGCTGTGTTTGTTTGTATGCGCGCGTGAGTGGGAGGGGAGCTTTTGCCCTTTGAAATTTATTGCCAAAACCTGGGGTGAGGTTGGATGCCGGATTATCTAGTTTCTCCGCCCTGATGACACTTCGCAGCTGCCAACATCGTCATTCATCCGAATCCAACCATCTCTTCATCTTCCTTCTGAAACAAAAAGATGTGCGACTGGGATGGATGTTGGAGGTAGCGGTGCCTTGAATCGTTCATCACATATTCGGTTCACAGCCCGTTCGCTTCAGCCACGTCGCAAGGTCAAACTCACCCTCCTCTAGATCCCGTTCGTTGCCAACAAACATGAAGACATGCTCGAGCTCTTCAATAGGTTCATTCCCATCCACATATTCGATGACACATGGCTTAATGATGTCGTTTCCGGTCTGGTGGCGATGCGCTCTTTGGCTTCAATGCAACTGGAGGAACTGACTGACCATCACAAGGGGGGTGGCGGCGGTGGCTGTGGAGGTGAAGGAGAGAACGGCTTGTTGGACATTGCTTGAAAGTGTCAAGTTTGGGCGTCAAACAACGACCCGGTGGCTTTGATGTTTTATGGAAGCCGCTACTTGGCATACCAGGTCTCTTCTCGACCGACTAGACTGATGGTGTGAAGAACCTGATATGTACTTTCTCGTGAGTTGTTTGCAGGCATGACATTACAACTACTCTGATCACCCTCTATTCCTGGCGCTCTCTTACCTCCCCCATACTCCATGCAGCCGCGAGCGGTGTATTTTGCCCAAGCATAGAGATCATGCGTAGTCTCGCTTCTGCTTCTTGGGCTGCAGCATCTCCTGCTTCTCCTTCCTACGAGCAGCCTTGTCCATGCTGCCGATTGTCCTTCTCTCCTCGCCGCACGGCCACTTTGCCAGGGCAGCAGCCTCCTGGTCGTCGCTCCACTCGCGGGGAAGTGTAGCAAAGACGAGGTAAGAAGTGTGCGTCTTGATCTCGGCCTCGGGACGATGAACGAGACGGCCGTGGAGCCAGGGCTTACTGCTGCTGCTGTTGCCATCCTCGCGACCGTCGTCGACGTCCATGCTGGCACCATTGCCCTTTCCGTGGAAGTTCTGGGTGCGCTTGTTGTGTTGCCGGAGTTTTTGCACCGACTCCATGACATCGGCGGGTGTCTGCAGGAATCCCTTGTCTTTGGGGAGGTTGGCGCCCACGCGGTCGCGCACCACGTTGATGCGCTTGTTGGCCACCTCGACCATGTCGACGTCTGTCCAGCCCAGGCGGCGCAGCTCCGTAACCGTCTGCATCACCTGCTCGATGCACGGGGAGAAGGTGCAGATACGGACCGTCTTGTTGGGGTCGAGGGGCGACACGAATCCCGGTGCATCGGGTTGGCCCTTCCTCAACAGATGATGCAGTGCCTTCCACGGCGCTGGCAGATCGAGGAAGACGGCCGTCGCGTTGGGCGAATCTCCCCCATCTGCCAGAAATCCATCAGTATACACGTCACGGTGGGCGACGGCGACGATGCCGTCCAGCCCGTGGCCCGTGACCTCCTCGCGCATCTTTTCGAACCTCGCCTCGTTGAACTCGAAGCTGAACACCTTGCCCTTCGTCTCTTCGCCGCTAGGGTACCCGCTGTACACGGCCCGGGCGGACGCGTGGGTGAAGCTGCCGCTGCCGGCACCGGCCTCGATGATCCTCGTTCCCGGCCGTGCCCGCAGCCGCGACAAGATATAGCTGTAGTCGGGTGTGTAGACGACCTGTGTCCTGTGCGGGAGGGATGTCGTCCACAGCTCGGGGGTCGGTCGCAGCATATGCACGAAGCCACTGGACGCTGCCACCACCTTTTTCGCCGCCGGTTCAGGCGTCGACGCGGCAGCCTCCTTTTCATCGTCTACATTGTCCTGACTCGGTGTCGTCGTCGTCTGGGTTGGAGTGGCAGCGGGAGTGTTGTCGTCATCGCGCCGGCGCTTGCGCCCCCTGGAGCCGGTATCGACAATTGAGGCGCGCACCTGAGATCCCCAAGGGGCGCCGATGAATGTCGAATGTGGGAAGGAGCCAAATCGAGTGTTTAGTACTGCGCCCTCTGCGTAGCCATCGACGGCGGCGCCAGACGACTGGTCGAGGGTGATGGGTTGGTACGTGTCGCGGGCAAGGAGGATGATGGCCAGATCGCCTGGGGTGGAGCGGAGGCTCGGTTCTAGAAACGAGGAGGGTTTCGATGGTGCCATGGTTTCCGTACCTCTCTGGGTGTGTACTCGTGTGAGTATTTGAAATGGAGAGTAAAGAGAAGAAGATTTAATACAAAAAAAAAAAAGAAGAAAAATACTACCAAGTCCCCACCACCCTTGCAAGATCTTCTCACCAAAACAGTACATACAAAGGTCACAATGAGGGGCAAAGGTACTAAAACATCTGGATTAAAGCACGAGCTGCCCGTCAGTGGAGCCTGAATCCCTCGATGAGCATTCAAAAGAACCCACAGAGTCCAATGAGGCCGTGACTCACAGACTCCATCATACTTACGAACGGGGCAAATACTGCATATCGCGAATGGCGTATTTTTACTAGTAATAGTAGTACTACCTGTTACTCACTGATCCTGCCCCTCCTTTTGCTGTCGTTCTTTCTGGTCCCCTTCTTTTCTTTTGTTTCCTTTTATTCACTCTTTATTCATGAATCTTTTCCGTCGCTTTGCGACCTCCTCGTCCTCGTCGTCCATTCTCCCGTTCTCCACCGGCACCACCAGAACATCCGCCACCAGATCAGCAAATCGAACCCCTCCCATCCGATTACGACAAGTAGCCCGAGGGCTCGAGACGAGTGCTCGTGCTGCCCCCGCTGCAACCACCGTCAATATGGCGTCAGCAACGGCATCGTCACCCCTGAAGCTCTACAACTCCCTCAAGCCCGGAAACCCCGATATCTTTGTGCCTATCGAGCAGGGCAAGATCTCCTGGTACGCCTGCGGTCCTACCGTCTACGACAAAAGCCATCTGGGCCACGCGCGCAACTATGTCTCGACCGATATCATCCGACGTATTCTGCTGCACTACTTTGGCTACAAGGTCAAGTTTGTCATGAACATCACCGACATCGACGACAAGGTGCGTCACACAGGAGGGAAGATCAGGCCGAACTCAGGGACGTGCCACCGAGAGGAGGGCGGGGTTGTAAAGTGAAGAGGGACAAGGAGACAATGAAGAGTCACGCAGAGACTGACAAGGGACACCACGCACAGATCATCATCAAGGCCCGACGACAGCGACTCCTCGACCTCGAAAAGAAGAAGCCCTACTCGTCAGACGACCTGCGCGCCCTCGCCCTGTCTGCCTTCCAGGCCTACGCCAAGAGCAGCCTGCCACTGCTTCTCAGCGGCGCCGAGGACAAGCTGACCGAGACCGACTATGCCGGACGCCGAGATGCCGCCTATGGAAACGTTCTGACGGGTGGCACCCTCACGGGTCAGGGAAAGCCGGGTGACGACGAGGCCAAGGTCAAGATGCACCTAGGCAACATGGACGCTGCGGCCGAGGCCATCAAGAGCGGCAAGGTGTTTCCGGGGGCTGACGAGATCCTGCTTCCCTACCTTGACTCGCTGTACAAGGAGACCATCGATACGGCAGACCAGACCATGTTCACTGACCTCACCAAGAGCATGGAGGAGCTGTTTACGGCTGACATGGACGCCCTCAACGTGATGCGACCGAACGTCATCACCCGCGTCACCGAGTACGTGCCCCAGATTGTCAAGTTTGTCGAGGGCATTGTCGCCAAGGGTTTCGCGTACGAGGCAGAGGGCTCCGTCTACTTTGACATTGGCGCCTTTGAGAAGGCCGGAAACACGTATGCCCGCCTGCGTCCCGAGGTGCGCAACGACGAGTCCCTGCAGGAGGAAGGAGAGGGTTCCCTGTCCAAGAACCTCGGCGGAAAGAGGGGTGCCGGTGATTTTGCCCTGTGGAAAAAGTCCAAGGCCGGAGAGCCCTTCTGGCCCAGCCCGTGGGGTGAAGGTCGCCCCGGATGGCACATCGAGTGTTCGGTCATGGCGTCCGACGTCCTCGGCGAGCGCATGGACATCCACTCCGGAGGCATCGACCTCGCCTTCCCCCACCACGACAACGAGCTCGCTCAGAGTGAGGCCTACTTCTGCGATCACACCAAGGGAGAGCACACTTGGGTCAACTACTTCCTCCACATGGGACACCTGTCCATCTCGGGGTCCAAGATGTCCAAGAGTCTGAAGAACTTCCAGACAATTGAAGACGCCCTCGCCACCACGTACACTGCCCGCAGCATGCGTACTGTCTTCCTCATGGGAAAATGGAACGATGGCGTTGAGATCTCCCCCGACATGCGTGCCCAGGCCGACAACTGGGAGACCACCATCAGCGTGAGTGTTTCATCCACCTCTCTAGCTTATCGGCCATTGCTGACCGCCGATACCTCTAGAACTTCTTCACCAACACCAAGTCGTGGCTTGCTGAGGCCGACATCACCAGCGGTGTCAAGAGCCTGACTGTGGACAGCGACAAGAAGGCTACAGGAGGTCTACCCGCCGAGCTTGAGCAGGCCAAGAGCGAGCTCCACGCGGCGCTTCTCAACTCGTTTGACACGCCCAAGGCCATGCTCGTGATCCTGAAGCTGGTCAACGCGACCAACGTGTACCTCAAGGATAACAAGGACGTCGACCTGACCGAGGTGGAGGCTATCGCGCGGTGGATCACCAAGATTGTCGGCATATTCGGCCTAGACGCCAACGCCGAGGCCCCCTATGACGGCATCGGCTGGGCCTCTGCCATTTCGGCCGACGTGGAGCCGAAGACGGCCGTAGAACCTTACGCGGCTGTTGTGTCGCGCGTCAAGGCTGATGTATCCGCGCTGGGTCTCACCAACGCAGACGCGATGCCGGCCTTGCTCGCGCACGACCCAGTCCCCGAGTTCCAGAAGCTGGCCGACGCCGGGTCGCGCGACCTGGAGAAGCTAGCTCTCCCCTACCTCCGCACCGTCTCCTCGATACGCGACGAGCTCCGGCGCGCCGTGTCGTCGCAGACGCCCGACGTCAAGAAGGCGCTGCTCGTCCTGACGGACCGCATCCGCGACCAAGACCTGACCAACCTAGGCGTGTACCTCGACGACCGGCCCGACGACCAGCCCTCACTCATCAAGTTCATCCCTGCGTCGGAGCTCATCGCCGCTCGTGAGGAGAAGGCTGCCCAGGCGGCCGAAAAGGCCAGGAAGAAGGAGGAGGCCCGCCTCGCACGCGAAAAGGCCGAGCAGGAGGCCATCGAGAAGGCCAAGACGCCGCCGCAGGACCTGTTCAAGAACGATGAGCGTTATGGCGCATGGGACGACAACGGTCTGCCCACCAAGATGAAGGACGGATCAGACGTGCCCAAGAGCCAGTCAAAGCAGCACAAGAAGGCGTGGGATAAGCAGAAGAAGGCCCATGATGACCTCAAGGCCAAAGGTCTCCTATAGTGGTATACGGATGTAAAAACAAATAAAAACTACAAAAGCGAGGGGTTGATTTTGCCATGTTTTCACGGTCATACTAGTAGTCACATGTTTGTTAGCACTCTGCCCATGTGCCTTTTTGCGGTGAGCCTTTCCTGCTGCGCTGGCGACGAATGTAGAAGAAATGATGATTACAGTGTAAGAAGTTAAGTCGACCATGGTTTTGATCGAGAGCAGTATTCTCAGCCTTGAAATGGTTCATGATGATACTGAGTGTGCAACTTGGCTCGTACGGGGAGTACATGTACGACGAGTAGTACATGAAATGAGGGGACCATGCCACTCCCCACACTGACCGACTACGGAACAAGTTAAGTCAGCTTGCCTCTCTGGGCTCTCCCACGCACGCACGAACACCACCCCACTTTCCTTCTCTCTTTCATCATCATCATCATCTGTCATCCGTCACCCAAAAGACTCATCCGAGGAGAATTCTATGTATATCGCCTGCTAAGGGAAGAGAAGGTTCAAGACGACTGTCTAAGAGACTCGAAAGAAACAAAACAAGACAAAGATAAAGAAGAGAATGGCCCAATCGACGGCTCACCGACGTCTCCTACAGGAATACCGCGCCCTGACCAACAATCCCCCCGATGGCATCACGGCCGGCCCCGTGTCGGAGGATGACCTTCTCCAGTGGGAATGCCTGATCCAGGGGCCTGACGACACACCCTTCGAAGGAGGTGTTTTCCCCGCCGAGCTCAAGTTCCCCAAGGATTATCCTCTCTCCCCCCCTTCGATGAAGTTTCTCGTCGACATGTGGCATCCAAACGGTTAGTCCATCCTTTTTTTTTCCTTTCTTGTCCTTTTCACTCTTCGATTTAGATCTCCCTTTCCAAGTTGGCTTGTTTTTTCCTTTGGCTGATATGGGGGGAGGGTTTGGAGCAAACAGTATACCCCAGCGGCCTGGTCTGCATATCCATCCTTCACCCGCCCGGCGACGACCCAAACCACTACGAACAGGCTTCGGAGCGCTGGTCGCCCATCCAGTCTGTCGAGAAGATCCTTATTAGCGTCATGAGCATGCTCGCTGAGCCGAATGACGAGAGTCCCGCCAATGTCGAGGCTGCCAAGATGTGGAGGGAGCGGAGGGACGATTACGAGGAAAAGGTCCGTGAGGGGGTTCGTCGCAGCCTCGGTCTCTGAGATTGCAGCCCCAGTCTCTCTTTCTTCTTCCTCTTCTCTTTTGAAACAATATACCTTGGTATCTTACTTTGCTTTTGTAGTTCTTGCAGACTACGTATATCGGTAGCATGGCGTGGTGTTTTTTCTATTGTTTTACATATCGCAACGACTTCGAAAAGGAAGAAAAGAATAAGACCAGAAAGAAAGACTTTTATTGTTTAATGTGACTCATCTACTACGGAAGATAACGCTGAAGATAAATATATACACGCGGAGTTGGCATACTTGTAGTCTCTTCATATTGTCGTATCATTTAAAGTCTAGATGCATCTATTCCTTTGTCTCGTCAACAGATCATAGCCCATTCTCCGCCTTGAACTTATCCCAGCTCTCGTTCAGAGTGCTAAATACTAATCCAGCAATCATCCGAACCTCAGTATTGGCATCTTGGGGGAGCTACAAGACTGTTTGTTAGTTCTCTCTCTCTCTCTCTCTCGTCGTTTCTCTTCGATATTGAAAAGAAAGAAAAAAAAGGGGGGGCAGGGCGCGAGAGGAGACATACCTTGTCCGGGTGTGTCTTAGCAATGGCCTTCATGTAGTTTATCTTGACCTTGTTGGGCATGACAAGGTCGGCCATGCTAATCTTCTTCCAGCCGCTCTCGGCCCAGAGGACCTGGTCCAGACTTCCGAGGAGGGCTCGCAGGTTATCCCGCTTGCCGTCGCGCCAGCTCGACACCTTGGCGTCCACGGCGTCGGTCATGGCCACGCGCTCCATCTCCTCCTTGACCGCCGCCTCGTTAGCCTCGCGTAGACGGGTGACGGCCTTGGAGCTCTGGGGGGGTGTCAGGCTGGCCGCGGTCGACGGCTTGGGACGGGCAGGCGCCCTCCTAGGTGCTGCTGCTGCCGCTGCGGGTGTCGGCGCCTTGGGCTTGGTGGCGTTCTGGCACCGCTGCCGGCCCTTGATGGCGTTGGCGCCGCCCAGCCCGGCCTCGACGCACTGCTGCCACACCACCCCGGCGTCGGCCCACTTCTCCATCTGCTCCAGCGCCTCGGCCTTGCGGCTCAACGCCTTGCCGTACAGGTCCCTCATGTCGCGGATCTCGTCGACGCCCGTCTCCCCGCGCACGGCTACCGTCTCGCCCTGCCCGTTGCCCGGGCCGATGAGCTTGATGGCCTGGTCGGCGCTGTCGACAGACTGCTTCGGCTCGCCCGTCTTGAGGGCCGTCAGCGCGCGGTTGGTGAGCAGCAGGATAGCCAGGGGGTGAGTCGACGGCACGGCCGAGAGCGACGATGAGTAGGATGCGTGGGCCGCAGCATAGTCACCCCGCTTGAAGTGCGCTGTGCCTTCTAGGCGGTGCCGCGTCGATCGCTCTAGGGCGTCTGGCGATATAGGAGGAATTTGGCGCGTCGGCCTGGCTTGCACGGGGGGTGATGGCCTGGGTGCTGAAGGCCGCTTTGCCGGCTGCTGCTGCTGCTGCTGATGCGCCGGCCGTACGGGGAGTGGCTGTGCTGGCGGCGCCTGGCTGTTGAACAGTAGATCTGGTTCCGGCTCAACCTGTCTCCCCAGGGCCGGGGCCGGTTGGGTCTGCGTCTGCTGTCCCCGTCGTCGATTGGGGCTGCTATAGGTTGAGAAGTTGTCATCATCGGCCTTCATCCGGTCAATCTTGGCCTTGGGATCAACCATGGCCGGTGGCGCCGATTGCTGCTGCCAACGGGGCACAGGGCTGTTCCGACTGGAACCCGTCTGCGATGTAGGCCGGCTGGAAGACGGGTGCGGCTTCTCCTGCTGGCGGCTGCTGGTACGCGATGGCCGGGGTCGTTCACCGGACTCAAGCATCATGGCCTCGTCGGTCGTATTGCTGCTAGCTTGGGCTGCCGATCCAGCGACCTGCTGCATTTGGGCCTCCCTGAGCCATCGGGGCTGGCTGGGGTCACCTGCCTCCGATTGCTGGAATTCGGCGACAGCCTTTTGCATCCTCTTCTGGCCAGTCTTCCAGAGCGAGTTGGCCGTCTTGAACAGAGTGTTACCCATGGCGGCTGCAGTGTGGGTGAAGTCGGCCTCGCCGTTGGCTGGCGATCCAGCCTGTCTCAGCGGCGGGGCCGAAACCGTGGATGGGTCGCGTCCTTCGGCCTTCGCCTTAGACTTTCGATGAGCATCGTCAAGAAGCCAGTTGGCCGCGGCTTGGACATTGGTGCCGGCCCCGCTCTCCAGCAGACCACGCCGGGCGTCTTCGGCCGAGAACCCGTAGTCTACAAGCTGTGCAACGGCTCGGTCAAAGCCGGCATCCTTTACCGGCGGCCGGCCCTGGATCGGTCGGGGCGGCGCTTGCTGTCTCTGAGGCTGTCTCTGTGGCTGGATAGGTACATCGTCATCGGAGCTAGAATCGTCGCCCTCGATTGGCTTCCCAGGTGCCGGTTGCGGTTGAGACGCAGCCTGCCGCCTACGCACCTCGTCCACAGGTCGATTGAGGTCTCCCATGAAGTCAAAGTCATTGTCGTCTGCGGTAGGCTGGGTCGGCGGGGGCGCAGGGGAAGAAGCAGCAGGCTTCATCTCGTTAAGGCCAAACGGGTCGTCGTCATCCAGCGCAGAGGGGGCCGCCGACGGTCGGGCCGAGCCGCCCCATGAGGAAGGGTCGCTCAAGTCTAGAGGCGGATCGTTTACGGGCGTCGATCGCTGCGAGGCGGAAGTGGTAGGGGGCGGGAAGTGGCTGGCGTTATCGACTTGAGTGTCCTTGTTGAAAGCAGCAAAGAGGTCGTCATCGTTGCTGCTGGGCGGTGGAAGATTCTGGGCTGCGGCTGCGGGAGAGGGACTACCGCGCGACCCGAGAGAGTCCCAGAACTGGCCATTTCCGAACTGCGCTTCCGTAATCCTCTTCTGCTCCTCGGCCTTGCGCCGCTTCTCCTCCTCGAGTTGGACCTGTCGCTGGGCGAGAGTGAGGTTCTCGTTCGTCTTGGCGGGGCCAAACTTGGCCAGATTACTGAAGCTGTCCTGGGCCGTGGCAGATCTCGTAGGCTGCTGATGAGACGGCGGGATGGTCGAGCTCTGCGTCGGCGCGGGCGTGCTGCGGTTCGAGCTGAAGGGCGAAGGGTTCGGTTGGAGAGAGGGAAACGACATCGGGGGCGGGGGCATGCTGGGCTTCTTAGAGCCTGCCCCCCCGGACCAGTCAAGGCCTGATAGATCGTTCATATTCGGTAGCGAGCGTGTGGTGTCAGACACCTCGATCGAACATGACCAAACGTCAATAGCCCGTTGCTATGCCTGGGCAGTGAATGGGGGTTAGTCGACTATCGTCGTCCTTAAGGAGCCGGCGCAGGGGTCGCGGTGTCGTGTACAAATGTGGCTGTGCTACAACTAGATCGTGGAAGCTGTGGCTTGCGTGGCAATGCATTATGTCAGCGCATTTGGAGTACAAGGCGGGATGCTCCAACTGAACCATCGTCATCTTCGACTCAACTCGGTTTCAGTTCGCTCTTTTTACAAGAGTGCCATCTGGTAATCTCCAACTCTACTCCATGCGTGGCAATCACGCGGATCTGCCTCCCTCGGTGATACCGCACTCATTTGACGAAACATTTCGACTTGGCATGGTATTGAAGACACGGACAGACTGCGAATAAGAAGACTCTAAAGAAATCCCTGTCCCTTTTCAAGCCGGTTTTTTTTCTTTCTTCTCTTCTTTTTTTTTATTGTCTTTAGAAGTAGCTTCATACTAAACATTTAACCATTTAATTTACTGTTTCCTCCCTCGAATATCGCAGCGCTTTGCATATTTTAAACTTATTATGATACATATCTGTCACGCGAACGTTTGTGTCGTGGCGTGCCCACCATAGTTTGCACGGCGGCTAGTCGCGATATCTTCGTGTATACAGCGGCCCCATCCCCTCATATACCATGTGCAAGATCCTGCGTGGTCCAGTATACGGCAGTAGTATACGAGGATATCGAGGGCAACCGCGTTGCGACGATGCAAAAGGCCGACGAACTCCTCGCTGAGAACTATGGGCCACGACAATGCGGCTCGCAGCTCTGGGTATGCGGCCTTGCTGGTGGGATACTCCATGAACTTGATGAACTTGGTGACCTCGTGCTGGCATATGTCCCGAACAACAGGATCAGTGTCTTCGGGGATGACCAGCTTGCTGAGGCTGATGGCGGTGCTTGCCAGCAGCGGCGTCTCATGGCGGCTCACGCCCAACTGCAGCAGCTGACCCATCGGACCGTCTAACAAGATGGGCTCATACCTCGTGAGAATGTGGTTCATTCCTCGGATCAGAGAGAAGGCCTCCATCAGGTTGTCAATGTTTGGCTTGTGGCCCTCCTGGGCTACGTTCTCGGTAAAGGCTGCAAAGGCACTGATGGTGAGCAGCGATGCGGTTGCGAAGATTGCGTGGCAGTTGGTGCCGGTCAAGTCGGGAACCGCCTGGCACAGTCCGCGGAAGGCCTTTTCCTGATGCTGCAGGGCCCTGGTGGACAGGGCGCTCCGTCTCTCTGGATACAGGTCGGCCATGTGGAATCCCGTTATGGCGAGTATCTGATGCAGCAAGAAGTCGTATCCGAATGCTAGACGCGGGAGGGAGAGCTGCCAGAATTCCTGCCGCCCGGGGCCCTTTGGGAGGCTGTCGTAGGTTACGGTGGTGAAGTGGTGCATGAGCTCGAGGTCCGGTGAAGCCGATGCCTCCACCAGTCGACTATCCTCGTCCCTGCGGCACTGTGAGAAGATGTCCAGAGAGTGAATCCTGTCTGCAGAAGGGGGACTGCGAGATATCTCTGAGCTCTCCGGACTGGGCCCCTCGGTGCCGTGGGAGGAGGGGGCCGGCTCAATCTGTCGGATCTATATTGTTACCCACACCCATATCAGCTGCTGATCGTCATTGTGGGTTCGAGCCACATGGCGGTTAATAGCACGGCCTGCACGACAGACGCGCAATGCCTGCGTCTGCGAGTACTCGCCCATACATATGCAAGCGCCGGGGAGTGTTCAACTTGGGTTGCCTTACCCTCTGTCTAGCCCCATGCCGAGCTACAGGACTGTCGGCGGCAGGCGACGACTTGAGAAGGCTGCATTCAACTCCATGCCGCGCGCAGGCGCTGCACGGGACATTCTCATCACACTATAGAACAGAGAAATTTGTTTCTTAACACAAGACATCCCCTCGTTGTTATCTCAGCAATAGTCAGGTTCAACACAGGACTAACCTTGACACGTCTCTGTTTACATTTCAAGCACCCTCTGCGGGATTTAGAGTGACCAAGACGAGGCATGTGAGCTGGCCTTGGTGGGTTGAAGACTTGGAAGAGGGTAATAATAACCCCTCACAGCGAGGAGGAGGGGAAAAAAAATAAAAAGAGGCAATATCTTTACGCCTACAACGAATGCGAGGGACATGCAGATCCTCGGCATTTAGCAGTGGGAGTCGCACGACATGTCTTGATAGTAGACCAGCAAAGTTCGGACTCTTCCTGACCGCCGTGTTGCCGTAGACTGGGATAGGGGGGTATTCAAGGACGCGGGATTGGCTCAGCCACCTTGAAAGAACGATCAAAGAAGCTTAGAAGAAGTCAGCCTTGGGGGAGGGCTTGGCGATCGTGTAATGCTCAATCCTCACACATCCCTCACAGTCAGTCTCCCATTGTACGTACCTTGTTCGAGAGGACCCTGAGGTCGGGGATCACGGCGTTGAAGTCTGGCTGGAGCGTCCTTCGCCCGCTCCTGTCCCATGGGTTGGTGGGTAAGGTAAAATCATCGGGGTCGTAATATGCGGGAGACTCCGGGCGGCGAGAGGCCACAGGAATGCCATGACCGCAACCTGACGGCTTGTTCGCGTATCATTGGTGGAGCTATGGGATATCAGTCCACTTCCCGTTTCCTCGTTTTCGGTTTCGGTTTCGTTCTTGCTTTCGCTTTCCTCCTTCACTTTAACTCCCCTTCGATGATACCCCAAATATCAAGCCGCTCATCAACTCTGGGGGCAGTGTTGCTCGTTGAGATTGCATACTTGTACATACATACCCGTACTCATATCGTTTTCTCAACATGCCCAGAGTATAGTGCCCCGCCCCATGTATGTAATACGTTCAGGATCATGTCGGCCAGAGGCTTTGTTAGCCAATCTTCTCTCCTGTGCATCTTCAAGACCCGGTCAAAACCTCCGTCTCCTTGTCCGAAAATGAGCCGCATACAGTAGCAATAAAAGCAGCACATGGCTCCGACTACTTCGCCTATATGTTTCCCATATCTCTATCTGTTTCCCAAACAGGCTGCGCCTACTTGCAGTGCCTCTTTCTTCTTTCTGAACGCGTGATATACCGGCCACCACCACCTCGGTCGCTCGAAGAATGGATATCGAGGCCCGATCAACCACGCCGACCGACTCCGCGCAGACGGAAAAGGGAAACTATGAGGTCGAGCCACAAGATCATCACCTGTCGGTCTGGTGGAATGAGCCGGAAGACAAAGATCCAGAGAATCCCATGAACTGGCCAGAGAGTCGCAAATGGGCCATCATCGGGAACCTTTCTTTCCTGACGTTTCTGATGTATGCGCTTCCCGTCCAGTCCAGAGCTTCCTCCCGCACCGCGCATTCACTAACTCGTGCTCCTCACCTGAAAAAATGAAATGAGAAAGACCTTTGGCATCCTCCATGCTAGCCCCGGGTGTGCCTTCCATGATGGAAGACTTCGAGTCCGACGACGAATCGACAAAGACATTTGTTGTCTCCATCTTCGTCCTCGGTTTCGCCATGGGACCTCTTGTCATGGCGCCCATGAGCGAGCTCTACGGTCGAACCCCGGTCTACCACACGTGCAACCCTCTGTTTGTCGTGTTCACCATCGGCTGCGCCGTGGCGAGCAATCCGGGCATGATGCTCGCCTTCCGCTTCTTCTCCGGATTCTTCGGCGTGGCCGTGGTGACGTGCGGCAGCGGCACCATTTGCGACCTCATGCCTCCTGAGCGGCGCGGCCGCGCAATGTCCATATGGTCCGTGGGACCGCTTCTGGGTCCCGTTATCGGTCCCGTATGCGCCGGCTTCCTCGTCGAGTCCTTGGGCTGGAGGTGGGTGTTCTGGATCGTCTCCATAGTGGTGAGTCGGTTGTTCTTCTATCGATATCGGGGAGGGGAGAGGGGGGATACAGGATGCGTCTGCTGACAACAATCAATGTGGTCTCCAGACCGGAGTCACAGTTCTGGCTTCGCTATTCGTCCTGCGCGAGACATACCCCCCCATCATCCTGGAGCGAAAAGCGGAAAGGCTACGCAAAGAGACCGGCAACCAGGAGTACCATTCTCGACTGCAACCCTCCGGCACGCCGCGCCACGTCGTCATCTCAGCCCTGACTCGCCCCGCACAGCTCTTCATCTTCTCGCGCATCGTCTCCCTCATGTGCATCTACGTTGCGGTCACCTACGGGCTCCTCTATCTGCTGTTCACCACCTTCACCTTTGTCTATACCGAGACGTACGGCTTCAGCGCCGTGGGCGCCGGTCTCTCCTTCATCGGCAGCGGTGTTGGAAACATGCTCGGCCTCATCTTTATCGGGTACTTGTCCGACAGGATTATCCAGAAGAACAAGCGTGCGGGGATCGAGCCGCAGCCGGAGCACCGACTGGACCTGACTCTCACCGTGCCGACGACGCTGGCCCTGCCGGCCGGTCTCATCATGTACGGGTGGACCGCCGACAAGAAACTCCACTGGATCCTTCCCATGATCGGCACTGGTATCATGGGTTTCGGCATGATCGGCATCTTCATGGTCATCCAGACCTATCTTGTCGATGCCTACACGCCCCATGCGGCTTCCGTTACGGCCGCGAATGCCGTGCTGAGAAGTCTCCTCGGTGCCTTGCTTCCTCTCTGCGGTCTGCAGCTCTACGACAGCCTGGGCTTGGGCTGGGGAAACACTCTGCTCGGTCTCATTGCCATGGGGCTTGCGCCTGTGCCGTGGGTGCTGTACAGGTTTGGTAGTCGGCTCCGCAACGACAAATTCTCCAAGAAATAACCACCAGGTGGACGGGTGTAGATAGAACGCCATACTCCGGCACACACATCACTAATAAATTCGCTGCATATATCATTAGTCACACATAATTCAGAATTAATTATTCTTTGGTTCACCGTCTGCGTATGAGAGGGAGTTTAGCTTGTGTGAAGCTCGTACAGCCCGTGAAGCCCATAGGACTAGTGGTTTTTCCTGATTGCGGAACGCCATCTACGGCTCTGTTATATGTACTCCTGATAGTTCTGACGATATTCAATGGTAGAGATGATGTGGGTGGCATGATAGCAGAGTACGTGTATATGGCTTGTAAACGTATGGATACCTTTGATACCGCAACATGTGCGTGTTCATCAAGGAGTTCCGTACGCCCTAAGCGAGAAGGACAAACAGCAAGAGATAACCCCCCGAGAGCGTATGGGGAAGACAGCTGATGATAGGACATAGATTGGCGATGGGGGTGAAACCGAAACCGAAACCTCCTTCAACCCAAGGTACACGTATCATTACGGACATTACTGTGACCCCGTGCATACAAGACCTGTCGGGCGAGTAGTATTACGCCGCCCTCGTAGGCTTTATAGGTCTATCCTTGACCGTCTAAAAATACAGCTAGGAAGGGTGCTTAGGAAGTCTACATATAGTTTGTGGAGAAGAAGGAGAGATCTTCCAACCCTCGGACAGGATGCGAGAATACGAGGAAGCGCTGAGTAGACACATTGGCAGCAGACAAGGGGCCATATTCTTATGCCTTCTGGCAATAAGACGGCCGTGATACCTGGGAGATGTATGACTGCCGAATACGAGTATATGTACATCAATCATCTCCAAGATGCCTGAGTGCCGGGCATATGGGGAATCGGGGTGGAGCAAGATGCCGGCTGACCGACCTGCAGCTATATCGCAATCCTTATGCTTCGTATTGCGATGAAGCTGATTGGACTCTTTGCTGTGAGCGGCGCGAAAACGATACCGAAGCCGATACCGAGTCTGGAACTTGGCGCGGGGAAAGGCTTTGATGAGTAGGCTATGCAGCGACGATACATGGTTATTTCATTAAACAGGTTTTTAGATTGCGAGCGTATCTACAGATTATACAGGAGGTGAAAACTTGTATAGGATATATACTCTATATATACGTATTTATAATATTATAGATATATATATATATATATATGAATGCGTGCGTGTATGCCGAGACGGCTGTTTTTCTCTTGACAACTCAACACTGCGTATATAAGTCGCTTCACCTTCACGAGCCGGTATTGAGACTACGACGACAAATCCAACTCACACGTCCCGGCCTTCACGACGAAGCAGGAGCTTGTTAACCTCCAGGATGACTGCGGCACAGTTTCACGAAATCGTCGCCGACAGATGGCACCTCGTTGCCGTGGTCGGCGCAGTCTTACTGATCACCACCTACTTCCCATCGCTGATGGCTCTCATTCGACTATACAGCATTCCGCTTGCCGGTAAAGACCTTGGGAGCCACGAGAAGAGGAGGACGGCATACTTGACTGGTGCCCGCAAGATCTACGGCGAGGGTTACCGCAAGGTTGGCCATTCCACGCAGAGTGAGAAGCCGTATTGCAGTGAGAGCTGACGAGTGATTCAACGGTGCAGTTCAAAGATGGCATCTTTCGCATCACCACTTCGCGCAGTGAGTTTGGACGATATATAACAATACTCCCTACATGCACGGACCGTTGGCTTAGCTGTATGTAAACGCAGAATCACCCGTCATTGTGGTGTCACCCAAGTTTCTGGCAGAGCTGAAGAAGCTACCCGACGACATTGTCAGCATGACGGCAGCCGTGGACGAGGTAATACACACACACTCACACACACACACACACACACATATATATATATATACATATAGACTTGTCCTGTTTATCTTTCAAGATGGCACATTCATGGAGGGCATGCTAACGTGCTGCCCCAGACAATGGAAGTCAAGTACACCCGCATCGACACATACGTTCCCATCATCCCCCACACCATCAAAGCTCAATTGACCCCTTCGCTAGGTAGGCAGCAACTCCGGATTTTAAACACTACCCCGCTGAGCGGCTGCTGACTTGCACGTCGTAATCCTGAAGTTCGCCTGAACAACGTGCTGCACCAGGAAGTCCAAGAGGCCATGTCGTTGGAGCTTCCCGCGACGGATGAGTGGAAAGAGGTCGATCTTCACAAGGCTCTCCTGCGCATCATCGGCATGGTGTCCGGTCGTGTGTTCATCGGACCTGAGCTCTGCCGCAGCGAAGAGTACCTGGATGCCGCCATCAACTACACCATGGATGTCATGGCCGCCCAGCGAGCCGTGCAGTCGATGCGCCCGTGGCTCCGTCCCCTGATGGCACCGAGGCTCCCGCAGGTCAAGAAGCTCGATCAACGTATCGCCGAGGCCGAGGCCTTCATGAGGCCCGTCGTCGAGGCCAGGAGGAAGATGGCGGCTGATCCGAGCGTCGAGAACCCGGATGATATGCTTCAGTGGCTCATGGATAATCAGTCAAAGTTCTTGGATTCGAGGAGCCAGAACCTCGCCAAGGCACAGCTGGGACTGGGCTTTGCGGCTATCCACACGACTACTCTCACTGCAACGAACGCGTCAGTTCAACCCTCTCGTACTCTGTCCCCTTCAATGAAACCATGGCTGATTTTTTTTTTCCTGACATTTCCCTATGATAGATTTTACGACTTGGCTGCGCTGCCGGATATCGTCCCCGAGCTCCGGGAAGAGGCTCAGGCAGCGTTGGATGCCAACGGTGGCGTCTTTACCAGCACCGCTCTGCAGTCAATGGGGAAGATGGACAGCCTCCTCAAGGAGACTCTTCGCGTCTCTCCCGCATCTATGGGTATGTGTTGCCGGTTCTCCAGCACATGTAGTGTTGACGCGAAGCTGACTTTTTTTTTTTTTTTTTTTTTTCTCTTGGTACAGCCTCATTCCAGCGCAAAGTTATGAAGCCTTTCACCCTTTCCAACGGCCAGACCATCCCCGCCGGCGTCACCATCGAGGTACCCGCCGTCGCTGTCAACTCGGATTGCGACGTCTTCCCCGACGCCGACCGGTTTGACCCCCTGCGGTTCTACAATCTCAGGCAGCAGGCCAGAGAGAAGAAGTCGGTCGAGGCTGCGGCCCAGAACCAGTTCGTCAGCGTCAGCCAGGACAGTCTCACGTTCGGATACGGCCGCCACGCTTGCCCCGGTCGGTTCTTCGCCGCCAACGAGATCAAAATGATTGTGGCCTGCGCTCTCATGAAGTATGACTTCAAGAACGTTGACGGCTGCTCAACCAGGTATCCGAACATCGAGTTTGCGCACATGGTGAGTTAAACCGAACCCTTCTATCTAATGTCGGTATGGTACGTTCTAGAAGGCTGATGTGGTCATGTTTACAGTCTATCCCTGATTTCAGAAAGAAGTTGCTCTACCGCCAACGTCGGGTTTGATTCCCATCTAGGAACCTGTACAGTGGCTCTTGTTTTGCCAACGCTGTTGTTTATTTCTTGAGTTGCTCCGCGTCGGAATCATCATTGGGGTACTCCGTTTGAATTATCTGCTCACACGCGCTTTTTTTCCCCTTCTCTTTTGTATTTCCCCTGGTTTTTGAGTGCCCTGAGCCATAGCCTACCTAGATCACCCATATGTACATAGATTGGGAAATTTCATGACTTTTGGAAATAGTCCTGCTTGTTACAGAAGATGCCACGTCTAAGCTGGTTGTGGCCGGTTGCGTTCTGACCTTTCATCTCACGGAGCCCGGGTCTAGAGTACATGTATCAATGTACATGCATCAATCAATGCATGGCCAGGAGCAACACACAAGAGATGGAAAGCACAGAGGACAGCTGAGATTCTGGCCGCGTGAGGAGAAGAACACGGCAGAATATATAGCACTTCTCCTTTCTCTCGACAGTTGCACCTGGCGGGGGGGGACTTGGGCTAATCTCGCGTGCCATCCCAGACGACAAGGATGTGGTCAACTGCTAAATGACTGCAGTCTAGGACATTGTGTCCGCGCCACATTAGGCTGGCCCCTGACCGACCTGGTGTTTCAATTTAACCAATCCCAAGACGGCTTTTAGATACCGAGGAGAGAGATGCTTCCGGTTCCATCGAGAACACTCCTCATAGATTACGCGTGACACAGAAGCTGCATGGAAACCAGCCATTACCCTACACACTAATACCAATACCACTCCAGCATCGTGGATCCAAGGTTGAGCCACAGTACGAGTCTAGATAGTTGGTGAAAGAGTGTAACTGAAATAAATTCTGCAAGTTTTATCGGAAGCTCCGGATGATGGTCTTTCTCGAGTCGGTTGAGAGTGCGATACGGTGATGTTTGATGCCATTTGGAGTCACGTTATGACACATATGCTATGGCCGATACAAGCCTAGACTGGGCTCACATTTGCGATACAAATACCCTCACCGGCTAGACAGTAATGATATTCTGAAGGCATGTGATACTACGAGCTCTGCCTACGATAAGTTCACAAGTCGGAGACGTACAGAACGCGCACTACAGAACGCGCACAGGTCTCACCATGTGACGAGGGAAGAGCAGAATCTTGGGACATGGTCGGGAATTATTGGCTCGCACGGCCAATACTTCTAAGACAGCGGCACGACGGTCAATTTCATTATCAGACACACGGAGGCTCATCTCCAGCAGGAGGTGATGATCCCTCGACGATGGGAATCGCCACACTTGGATGTATGGCAATTAGGTAGATCCATCGTGGTGAGTGAGGGTAAACCGATATTGTCACTCTGGCAGGTGCATGTAGATGTAGATGGACTCTCCTCAACCGAGCTGACGATGAATCGGTAGGTCAACACCTCTCTGCAAACTGTAAGCCACCTTGACGTAGAGCGGTGGTTTATTCCTAGGGAGGACCCGCAAGGTAAGGGAGTCACGATACGGAGCGATGGGCCCAAGAGCTTTACAAGTATGACGAGTAGTCGTCAACGCGAGTATCGACACTCGGCTGTTGATTCTATACCAAGGAACCACAGCAGCATATGGCACCCCGTTTATCGTGTTGTTATCAGCAGCTACCGTACACATGATACGCGGCATCTTGAAGGTCGGCAATGAGCAGGAACGATGGAGAGTTGATACAAGTATAAAGTACGGATAATCCTTGTGCGCATCGTAGTACCAGTATTCCATCACGCTTGGCACATGCGACGAAACGGCGGTGGGGGTTCCATTCGGGTTGCCTCCCACAATCCGTTCCGTGAGATACAAAGCGACATAAGTTATTCTTGGACAGGATAATCGCGGGCGATATCCGCACAATATATGCACGTACTAGGGGGGGGGAGGGGGGAGGGGCTGAGCAAGTGTCATGAATCGCGTTGTCCTTGGTGTGTTTATTATCATTGACCGGACCTACATGTCCTGATGATACCTACTGTCACCGCGACAGCAAGTCCCCCCCCTGGGAATGAGGAAAAGGAGAGAGAGGACGGGAGAGAACGAGAGAGAACGAGAGAGAACGAGAGATCAAGAGAAAGGGGGGTGGGGGGGAGAAAGAGAGAGTGGGGGAGGAGAGAGACCGAGAGAGGGGGGAGAGAGGAAGAGGGAGGGAGAGATCAAGAGAAAGGTAGAAACATTGTAGCAACAACAAGTGTCTTTTACTCATTTACTATCCGTACGAGTACGCGTAATAACTGTCATTCACCACAATATGAATGATCACATATGTACTACTCCTTATACCCGGTACGACTTCTACGCAACGCTTCTTGCTGGCCGTAATTACAAGTTTACAACCACGATCAATTCTACCCCGTTTTGAGACAGAATGACAAGGGCCGAGCTTTCATAGCTTTCAAACCCCACACGATTGCCGGGTCTGGGAAATTGACAGCAGCGTCATAGCAATCTTGTTGTCCGAATGGATGAAGAATCATGCGTGGCCGGGGGGGGGTAGACGGTATTCAACTGTAGCAGCAGGCGTGCGCCCCCTGAAGAAATGTCAATATGGGTACAGTCATCTACGAGCGTCGAGAACTAATACATGTAGTTGAGAATACGACGTAATGATGATGATGATGGTAATGGTTGATGGTTGTGTATGTACGCATAGTATCAGGTATTAGTATGAGCTGGGCCCCAGCCACGCAGAGGGCGACAAACTTGGGTTGGGTTTCTCTTCTTGCGCCTGGCAAAAGGCCAGTCTTTGCTCGTAACGATACTGCTGCTCGTTGTAGTATGGTATGATATTGTAGCAGTAGCAGTACGGAGTATTGATAGTAGTAGTATTACTATTCCGTATTATTACTATGAGAGCTAATACTGATACTTATCACTACATGGATCAGTATGACTGACCGTGGTAGTGCCCTCCTCCTCCTCTACGCCGAGTCATGGACGTGAAAACCACAAGGTCTTCGAGGTGGGTGTGTGAGCTCCGGATCATACCAAGGGGGGTTATATCACTCCCAGGAATTCGATATCATCATGGCCGTGTCTGCTGAATGCAAGTGCACGTGCGTGCGAGTGCAGGTGCTAGTTCAATCTTGTGCCAAGTACGGAGTATTCGTAGAGTACGGATACAGGCATCACAACAAGATTCCAGAGGACCGCCGTGGGGTTCGAATCGCACGCTCGACCCACCACCGCTGCCGCAGACATTGCAGGCTACCCGGCCTTGGGTCCAACCAGAGTTCACGGAGTGGATGTGCCAAGATGTCCTTCCAAGCCGGACTCCAGTCCAACGGGACCAGCAACACTCTTTACGCTCCTTGAGAACCCCCTAGCCGACTGACGCACCTCAGGTACGATGTGCTCGTACATGTCTGTAGTACATTCGATGCTGTCTGCATGAGTGAGCAGACGGTTACCGCTCTTCTATGCTCCCCCCCCTCCCCCCTTTCCTGCGCCTGTCATCCCGAGCTGGGAAGGCGCTATAGGGGGAGGGAGGGGGGGGTGATCTTTGTACCTGGTACATCTGGTCTGATACCGCCATCCCTGAAGATGAGGCACGTCATAGCGTCGCAGATCTTGCCTAAGCCCAAGGGGAAGAGGCGCCAAGGGGTCAGGAACAGGGATGATGTTTACCCCTCCAACTCCACTCCTGGTGACGACGGTGTCCCCTTGGCTCTCGAGGGGGGCCCGCACCACCTCAACACCTTCTCGACGTGCTAGAGACATGGGAAATGAAGAAAGGCAATAACAGTCGTTTCCAATGGGGCGGGGTGCGAAACGCTGAGCTGCGAGTACAGGTCGCATACTATAGTAGGTACGAGTACGGACACCCGTCCTACTATCCGTGCTTCTCCTCCGTACAGATAACGCTATATATTATGCGTGATTAGTATTGTTCGTACTCCGTAATACTCCGTAATCAGACTCCTCCTATATCTACTCGTGCCCGGTAGATGATGCTAGATAAAAGGGGAAGAAGAAAGGAAGAGACAGTACGGCCGTTTGATACGTACCTGCATCCCCCCTCCTCCTCCTTCAGGGGTCCTTGCCCTATCACATTATTCCATTATCGCAGTGTCGCGGTAGTAGTAGTTGCAATAACACGCCGGTCGTACTCGTAGTCATAGTCTATAGTCCGGACACCTAGGTATTTGCCTCCCCTCCCATCTTCTTCAGAGATCTTCACGTCCCGTCTGCTTCAAGATCTTCCTGTCGTGATTCTTCTGTCTCCCCCCCCCCCCTCTCTCTCTCCCAAGTGTCACTCTTTCTTCGACCATTTCCTGGAAGAGGGTCGCATTCATTCGTTTTCACTCCTTGTTCTACTGAACAAACTTGCCACTCCTTTGCTACATTCTCTTCATCATCTCAACATTCGTTGCCGACATCTAGAACTCGCTGATATCCGTCACTTCTCGCTGCTGGGAAAAGCTGTCCTGGAATCTGCTCGACTCGTTGGTACGCACGCGACCAAGGTAAATATACCCCTTCAACTCGGCCTCTTCTCTCTCTCCATCTGCCACATTCGATTTCCATCGACCGCAAGTAAAAGAAGCACCGCTCGCTACCGCATCCGCACCTCGCTGTTGAGAACAGCACACCCGGCCGTGGCTGAATAAGACCGGTTCCCATACTATCCTGCGCTTGCGCTGACTTGCATCATCTGTCGCGGTTAGTCTTCGTAGCTTCTACGCCCAAAGACAACCGTCAGCCACCGCCGTCGACATAATCCACACGGCCGGATATCCGAAATCGCCTCTGCGCACGTCATTGGAAGAAGATCATCTCAGATCTCACAAGTCCCGATACGTTGACCATACCTAGCTACCTTGCAACCCACGAGCCAACTATTCTCGAGGTGAATTCCTCAGGATCAGCATAGTCGTTTGAGCCAAGACACAGCAAGTCCGATCCTCATCCACACCAGTGAGGATCCGCATCCTCGAGCTGGAATTCAAGAGTCTCACGACAATCCGGTGGGGCTGGTAAAAGGCTGGACAGCCGCCCACTTACACTAATAAAGACACCCAGCAAGACGTTGCCGCCAGCTATCATTCACTGCTCGTTTCTTGCGACTGGCAACATCAACCTTCTGGCCGCCGGCGACCTTTCTCAAGCTTCACTGAAGCAACACGTCATTCATCTCTAGATACTAGACAACGCTTGGTGAGTACCCGCCGCTCTCTCACGCGTTCCACCATATTTCACCTTTACCTTTCCCATGTTGCTCACCCCCCCCCCCCGACTGAGCTGGCCCTCCTTAGGTGGCGCCCCCCCCCCCCCCCCCCCCCCCCTCCGCCTCCATCTCCTAGGAGGACCGGGCCTGACCGCATACGTGCATCGACATCGCACATATAAACTCGTGCTGACAACCTCTCTTTCAGTTACCCGCGCGTCGCCGCCATTCTCTCATTCTTTTAACAAGTTCTCAACCTCACATACAACATGCCCGTCATTAAGTCCCTCTTCGCCGCCACGGCTGGTCTTGTGGTCGGCGCCAACGCCTTCTGGCGCATGGAGTGTCCTGGCCGCTCTGGCCTTGGTCGAATTGACCCCATCATCAGCCCCGGCGAGATCTCCGCCCACGTTCACGCGATTGCCGGCTCCGGCGGTGAGTTCTCCCCAGCCCCCAAAAGCTTGCCGAGTTCTACGGTTCCTGGTATCAGAGGCATGGGCCATCAGTCCACACCCAGTGGGATGGCCGTGATTGGCGTTGCCATCGCTTCTCTCCCAAATCAAGTCCCATCACCCAAACCGTCAGAATGCGGACTCATACTGATAGCTTCGCGTTGCAGCATTCAGCATGGATGCTGACACGTCCTCCCTGGTCGCCGGTGACTGTACGTCTTGCCGAGTGTCCCAGGACAAGTCGGCCTACTGGACCCCGGCTATGTACTTCAAGGACGCCAGCACCGGCAAGTTTGAGCTCGTTGAGCAGGTTGGAGGAATGCTTGCGTATGTGATGACCTCGCCGTGGTAAATTCCGCTTGCGGTAGGGCATCCGCTTACAGGTTCAAACAGCTACTACCTCCTCATCAACGACAACATCACCGCCTACCCCGAGAACTTCCGCATGGTCTCCGGCAACAACTACCGCCGTAGCTATACCGTCGGCGACCCCAACCAACCCGACCCTCCCAAGTCCAACTGGGCCGCCCTCGGTCAGACGAACCAGGATGATCTCCAGCAGCGCGCTATTGGCTTCAACTGCCTCAACTACGACCTGGATCCCGAGCCCACCCTCTACCGCCACTTCCTCCCCGACAAGGCCTTCCTCGACCAGAACTGCAAGGACGGTCTCCGCCTCGAGGTCATGTTTCCCTCTTGCTGGGATGGCGAGAACGTTGACAGCGAGGACCACCAGAGCCACGTTGCCTTCCCTGACCTGATCATGTCCGGAACCTGCCCCGACACGCACCCGGTCCAGCTCCCTGCCATGCTCTTCGAGACCATCTGGGACACGCACGCTCTCGAGGGCCGCGACGGCATGTTTGTCATGGCCAACGGTGACCCCACTGGTATGGGCTCCTCTATTCTACATGTTGAATGATTGCTGTGGCGTGCTATATATAACGACGTAAACTGACGAGATGAAACCCTCTTAGGCTTTGGATACCACGGTGACTTCTTGATGGGATGGGACCGTGACCTTCTGCAGGAAGCCGTCGACACTTGCACCAACGAATCCGGACTTATCGAGGATTGCGGCGTTTTTGACGTCGTCGACGAGAGCACGGCCAAGGAGTGCTCTATCCAGGAGCCTGCTACCCTCTCCTTTGAGAATGTCCTCAATGGGCTTTCTGAGCTTCCTGGTGCCGTCAAGATTCTCTTTGGTGGTTCTGAAGAGTCCGACGAGGAGACTGCCTCGTCATCCGAGAAGCCTTCCCTCACCTACGCGCCTGGCGGCAGCCCCGTCGCCGAGACTGCCTATTCCTCTGCCACTTCTTCCAGCTCGCTCCCCGGGAACATCTTTATGGAGTCCGCCAGCGTTGCGACCACGTCTTCGTCGGTGATCGCGGTCGCCAACGTGGCTGCTGTTGCGCAGCCCACGTCCTCGTCTTCCTCGCAGATTGCGCCCGCCCCCACGTTGGCGCCGGCTGTTGCTGCCGAGGCCGAGCCCAGCGTCAGCTACGAGAGCACTCAGTACATCACCAACGGCGATATCGTCAGCAAGATCCTCTGGGAGGAGGAGGTGGTCTGGGAGACCGAGTTCGTCGGCACCGCCACGGCCGTCGCTCCCGAGCGCCGCAAGCGATCAAGCCATTATCACGGTCACGGCCACGGCCATCACCGCTTCTAGGGGAGCCCCGGGAGTATATCATTTTAGAAGAGGAGGTATAGCGATGCTTGTCCCATTATTCCGAGGTCTTTATTCTTGTGTGTTTCTAATCTTGCTGCAAAACTGGGCTGGATCCGGCTTTCTTTGAAACGGCGACGTGTATTGCATTTGGTCGTGAATATTTCGTTTCTTTCACTCTTTTATTCTATTCTTTTCCTTCCTTCTTTTCTTCCCCCTTTTCAGTTTATCCTTTTTTTTTTTTTTTTGTACTTTTGGAAGAAAGACGTCTCCTAGACAGCTGGGCACATATGTAGAAGAATTTTGGAACTATGCAGACATTGTTACCTCCCAAGACGTTTGATATAACTTGTGTATATGAATTAGCGTGAACGTGTTCCCTTGAGCGCATCGATATGCAAAAAGTACGGACAACCAGTCTCTCGCGCGCCTTCTTTCATGTTGTTCGTCTCAAACTCGTTTCCTTTCATTCTTGGGCAGAGTCGACTCCACCGGGAACGCTGTTGTGGTGTGTTTTCCCCATTCCAGTCACGATCGTGATGCTATGGTGGCAAACAGGAATAGAATTGCATTGTATGCCTGGTGAGAGCAAATCCAATTGTCCTGTCTTGGAACTCTCACGTTTGAATGGATGTGTGGACGTGGCTGGAATGGGTAGCACGTAGCAACGCATTCCTTAGAGGTATATTACTCAAGTGGGACCGGAAGGCCACTCCCTCTCTGCTATGGCATCTAGAGATGGGCTACAATGGGTTGTTTATGTAGTGAGAGGTGGGTGGGGGATAACAAAATGAGAAGTAATCCAGTTGTCAAGATGACGAGGCCCTTTCCCCCCTCCCATACCTTCTTTCTCTTTTCCCTCTTTATGTTGACTTTCCTTTTCTTCCCATATCTTTAGTTTTGTTGTTGTTGTTGTTGTTGTTGTTGTTGTTGTTTTTCGTCGTGGAGGACGATAGAGTTTCTTACTCTGGATTATTGAGGTTCTTGTCTTTAATACTACCCAAGAGAAGAAGAAGGCTACAATGGAAGCAGAGATGAATGATATGGCGAACGTGTTGGCAAGATCTGGGATGGAAGCAGCGATGGCGGCTAATGGTGATATAGTCATTGAGTTGACGAAACGTGGAGGAGGAGGAGGAGGTCTGGGGCTTGGATGGATTCTGGGCATCGCCATCGGAGGCGGAGTGCTCATCTTCGTGGCGCTGGGCTTCCTTCTCGCCTGGAAGGTAAAGTCCCGGGGGACGCCGTGCACGACGAGAGTGTACGCCAATGATGCAGCAGGGGTTGTCGACACCGAAGGCGCTATGAGCGGCAGCGTGGGACCGCTCACACCGTCGACAACGGTCCTGTCCAAGAGGTGGCTTCGCTCAGAGTCGACCTTTGGCCGGTTTTCGACATCCCGCCTGTCCATACCCAACATGATGCAGTGGCAGCCGCCGGTGCTGACCCCCCTCCCCACACACAAGAGCAGCCACACTTACGAGAGCAATTCGAGGACGTTGGTTGCGGATGAGAGCAACGGCGTCGGCACCAGCCGCAACGGTAGTCCCAACAAGAAGCGTCGTTCGTGGAAGAGCAGCGTGTTGAGCAGAGACAGCTGGGGACTTATGATGTCGGGGGCGCCTACTTTGGCCAACGCCCGGTCTGATATCGAGATGGGCGATGCCAAGGGCGTGAAGGAGAGCGATACCGGCACCATGGCCACGTCTGAAGACCAGCATCAACCGAGGCAGCCCAAGGAAGTTCACAAGCCCAATGTTCTCAAGAAGCGGAACAGTAACCCGGCTCTGATGGCCAGCCAGACGCTACCGACGCTCCCGTCAACCGAAAAGCAAGAACAGCCGATGGAAGACACACAGAACCGTGGCCGCTCCAGAATCCCAGGATATATCCGCAAGCAACAGCAACAGCAGGAGAAGCAACGACAGCTTCGCGAACAGCAACGGCTACTACAGGAGCAACAACAGGAGCTCCAGCAGCAGAAGCAAGAGCAGGAACAGGCCGACGAGTACCCCCAGGATGACCTGGTCCGCGTCCAAGAGGAATACAAGCAGGAGATGGAGCGGAGGCGGCGGTGGTACGAGCAGCGTATCAAGGCGTCTACCACTGAGTCCGATCTGCGTGACATCCTCGAGTTGACGGACCAGCGGCTCCGCAAGGGAACCAGCCGGTCCCCGGTCAAGAAGAGCAAGCCGACAACACCCCAGACGTCCCCGGAGAGGGCACCAGCAGAGTCGCCCTCCAAAACCCCTCGCAGCGCCGCGACGTTGGCATCCTATAAGACGCTGGGTCGCATGACTCCCAGCCCCAGCAAGATGAATCTGCAAACGCTGCAGCAGCAGGCGATGGGGACACCTACCAAGACACCCACCAAGACACCCACCAAGACGCCTACCAAGACGCCCACATCCAACGTTAGCGCCGGAAGTGCAGCCACCAGCCTCATACGTGAGGCGACAGAGACCCTTCAAGAGCACAGCCCCAGCCGTCGGTCCAGGAACTGGGACACAGCATCTCAGGAGACCCTGCATGTGATGGAGCCGGAGCAGCAGCGCGAGCCTCCGCCTCAGATGAATCTGCAGCAAAGCTCGGCGCCTCGCACGAGGAGCATGTCACTTGAGAGCGACGAGTCGAGCTTTCTCTCCACGCTGTATAGTGTGAGCGACCGTGACGACGAGGAGACCATGGCCCGGGTGGAGAACTTCCAGACGCCGCCGATCACCATGGCTGACTACGACCCCTTCGTCGAGGCGCGCAACGAGCACCAGACGAACTGGCTGGCCGGAAAGCCGAGCTGGGAGAGGAGGCAGCAGCTCACGGGCCCGCGGCCGCTGAGGAGGACTCAGACGGTGGCAGCACCCAGCTTCGATACGACGGCGGTGCCCGCCCCGCTGAGGACCATCTCAGCGAACTCGAGGGTGAATCGGGCTTCCGATTGGGTGCCTGGCGAAAAGCCTAACGGCCCGAGGCTGTCGATGGTGCTCCTCCAGCCGCCGCAGAAGACGGTGTCCGAGGACGTCAAACCCAAGACGAACCACATGCTCGATGTCATGGACAGGAGGACCAGTGTGCCAATGGCACCCTCGGGAACCAGCGTCACGTCCGAGTCTGCATACACCGACGTTACTGTCAGCGATACGTCAGCGGCATCTGATGATACGCTCAAGGCCGATGATGACCGAGACGATGATGAGACTGGTGGAGTGCACTTGCCCGCTTTCTCGTCTGCGGTCACCCTCGCCACCCCTATCAATAACAAGGGCAGGAGGATGAACGCCGAGGATGACGACTGCAGCTTTTCATCGTCTTCACCGCTGGACGAGAACCAAGTCCTCAATATCCTTATGGATGGCAACTCATCCAAGCGCCAGCTTCCTAAGCTTCCTTCCGCAATCCTTCTTAACAACGATCTGGTGCTCCCGACACCCCTATCACCGCGACACAAGGGCAACGAGCAGGAGAAGCAGCAGCAGCAGCAGCAGCAGCAGCAGCCAAGGGCGGATGAGAATCAGGAGAACCTGGGATTCGTGCCGAGGCCTAGACGCGCATCGACAGGGTCAAGATCGAGTTCCTCCTACGAGCAGCGCAACTCATTTGACACCCTGGGCGAGGGCATGCCTCGGGACGACTTCTCCGTCGTCGTCAAGGACGTGGATGCCCGCCGTGCGACGACAACGGCGCTCAATCCTAGCCAGGATAACTCCATCGGCAACACTATCGCCGAGCTGCGTCGCATGAACAGCGTGCTGAGCTCATACAGTGTGACGTCCATGACGTCGGCCGTCTTTGGCGATAGTGGTCAGCTCAATGAATCGCCCACCCTGCCCACCCTGCGCGGAGGCGGTTTCTCCCCTGAGCAGGCCAAGAGCTCTAAGAGTGGAACGCGCAACTACCTCAAGATCACCGGGTCGCAGAAGAAGGCCAAGGCGGGCGCCATCGTGCCGTCTTCGTCGACCATGCTCTATATCCCGGGAATGAGGAAAGACAAGGTCGGCAGCATCCAGCCGCCCAGGCAGCGTCTTCGTAAGCAGCCGCCGCGCGCGACCATCCCCGTCATGACCAATCGCGTCGATGAGGTCAATGAGGAGCACACCGACCATGGCAAGGAGAACGTGATGCCCGGCCAGTCGAGGGCGGTGCATTTCGACCTTGGCAGGGCGCCCGGCGTTTTGTCATCCACAGCGTTGCTGCCTGAGCCGCCGGAGCCGCCCAAAATGCCTGTCACTGGCCGTGATAGCATGGACAGTCTCGGCCTCTATGACAAGGATGGTTTCCTTAAGACATCGCCTGAGAGAGAGGTCACCGCGCGCACTGGCAGGCTCAGGATGTAATCCTTGCCACTTCCAGAATTTCCTTTGTTTCTCTTTTCCCTTTATTTCACTCAGTCCATATATACCATCGTTGGCGGATACCTTTATATTTTCTTCTTCTCAAGTTAGCTTTTTGGAATTTCTCTCCTCGGACGATGGGGTTGGTTCTTACCTTCCCCTGCTTCTTTTCTTCTTCTTGGAGTCCAGCTTGGACATGTATAACACTTTTGCTGGTATATCTACCTTTTCTCCTTTTTATTATTCTTTGCCACAGACACTGGAGAAAAATTAACATAATATTTAATCGGGTCCTTCTGGAAGATATAATATTATTAGCAAATCAACATACACTCTTTGTTTTCTTCCAACTCTTTTTCTCGGGTCTAAAATTTTCGATGCCGGTCTTCTTTTATAATACTAACCCCCAAACGCCGGTTAGCTGTTTTAGTCGTAATGATTTTTAGTCAACCCTCGGCCGCTTCGCCTCTTCGGAGACTTGGCCATTTACATCCTCTCCGTCAATCTCTTCGTGGGCACGCGTCCTGCCGGCGCCATTTGTCGACTCGTCGCCAGCCTCTTCAGCACCGTCGCCTCCACCGATCCAGTTGCCCTCCTCATCAAAGTAGTCGTTCACGTTGTCGGCCGTGATCCAACCACCGCTCCCAGGCATAGGCGGCGGGAGGGACCCATCGGCAGAGCCGTGGAGGACGCCCGTGAAGCCCTCGAGCGCCTCGTGATCGGCACTGCCCTCGATTACGATGCGATCTTCATCATCTTCATCGTATTCGTCGCCCTGCGGATCCGGGTGAAGGTTGGAGCACGCAGCGAGCGCCTCGTACAGCCGAACTGCAGGGCTCCGTGTGTCTGCATCTTCGGGAGACGTTGTCGAGGCCGCGGGGGGCACAATGGTCAGCTCTACGCAGCTAAAGTCATCATCGTCGCCTCCGCCATCTGAGAACTCAAGCTGCATCCATACAGCGGGGGTGTCGGCAACCTGCTTGACGGCGTGAATCGATATGGAAGGGTAGGGAATGGACACGCCTGCCTCGGCGTCCCTGCTGAAGATTGTAAAGTTCCTGTTTTCAGCTCCCCTCTCTGGTCAGCCATGACGCAAGCCTCGTGGGGCGCGGCGGGGTAAAAGTGACGGACTCTGAGTTGACAAAGACGTCAACCTGACGCTCTACGAGTTGCTCTGCCTCTCCATCGGTATTGATGGAGGCTGCAGGAGCATCAGCTGGGAACACGGCCAGGACGCCTGTTTGCGACTTGGGGACCGTGGCCTTGGCGTTGGAGACGTACAGGTGCAGGATGGGCTTGCCGCCCACAAAGGTCTCAGGGGTCTGCGTCTGGAACTCCTCAAGAGGAGTGTAATCCTCCACAGAGGGGGGCGTACGGATCGTCGTAGGTGGCATGATGGCTGGATAATGGTTTAGAGCAGAGGAGGGAAGCTTGTCGATGTTGGGAGCTAGATTTGGAGGGGCAACGCCGCCAGGTAGCTTCATTCTTGATAGGAAAAGTCGTTATCTTATCGCACCTTTCTATCGTTATCGGTCGTCACAACTACCCAATGCAATATATTACTGGTAAATATTGGGGCGCGGAGGGGGAGACGATTGGATGTGCAACAGCTCGACCTCTCACAAACACGCAACTTCTATCGAACTAGCAGGGCGCAGTCACTCTGTACGGCGCGGGAGAGAGAGAGGAGAGAACAAATACTCAGCTGAAATATGGGAGGGCTATACTGACCCCCCTTCGACAAATACCATGCACAGCGATCGTGAGCTCCCCTCCCCTCCCCTCTCCACTCTGACGCTGTCCGGCTTGACTGATATACACAGGCCCCCATCATCTGCTGGAACAGGTGCCTCTGACCGTGTCGCCATTCGTATCGCTTCCGACGGCGGCAACGCTATCGTACAACTATAAGACGATGCCGTCTACGATCCCGCCCTCGGCTCTGGGCATCCCGGCCGCGGCATCCTCCGTCTCGGACGACCACCCCAAGCCCAAGTACATCGTGTCCAACTCTGGTCACGCAGCGCACCCAGACGACATCCGCGCATCGTGCGTCGCTCTGCAGGCCCATCTTTCCAAGATGCAGGAGGACGCCGAGCGCGAGCTGCGTGAGCTAGAGGAGAGCATCCGCGACCGCGAATTGGCTGAGAAGAGGAGGGTCGCCCCCGGCTGGCTGGACAGCGAGGCACGTATGCTCGAGCCCGAGAGGGTCGCCGGCCAGGGCCAGAGCCAGAGCCAGCCGCAGGATAGTCTGATGGACGGCGAGTCAGAAGAGCAGAAGGCCTCGGCGGGCGCCACGTCGGCCATGTCGGATGAGGGCGCACAGCTAGACAGGGCGTTCGGATCTATGCAACTGCAGCCCCAATAGGCGAGGTGCGCGGATTTATTGTACGCCTTCACGGTAAAAGAACTGAGAAAAATGCATAATAAGTACTACTATATATTGAAGTTCCTAATTATTATCACATCCCACCTACTACTATATATCAAAGTTCCTAAATACTATCACATCCTGCCTCGTCGAGTTTCAAGACACTTGGACCTGGTCATTGTTACATATACATGACTCTTACATCATGTTGACGATCGCGCCGGCAATGGCGCCGACAATGACGAACTGGGGCACCCAGTTGGCGGAGGCGCCGCTCGTGGGGATCGGGGTGGCCGGGGTGGTAGCCTAGTCAAACAAGTATCATTAGTATCGGCATATCAACAGTCTAGTTTTACACCCAAGTTGAATGATTGATTGCTTATTACATTTGTCGTGGAGGAAGGCGTCGCAAAAGCAGTGCTGGTCTCGGAGGCAATGCTGGTCTCGGAGGCAATGCTGGTCTCGGAGGCAATGCTGGTCTCGGAGGCAATGCTGGTCTCGGAGGCAATGCTGGTCTCGGAGGCAGTGCTGCTTCCCGAGGTGGTGAGCGCTCCCGTGGCCGAAGTGGCCGTCGTCGCGGCGGCAGAGCTGCTCCCAGCCGAGACAGGAGTGGCGTCAATACCGCAGGGCTCGGCGACCTTGACGACGTAGTCGCCATAGTCACCCCAGATGTCGGTCTCGATAGCACACTGGAGACAGGCTTCGAGGAGCTTGTTCCATTCAGCGTCATCGCAGTAGCCCTCGGCGGAAGCGTCCTGGATGGTGTAGCCTTTATGTGCAAAGCAAAGTCAGCCAAATCGTTCGATGGTAAAGCAAAATGCAACCAATTGGTGCGTTTCTGTTACAGCGAGCAAGGTGTAGTAGTCTGTACATACCGCAGTTGGCGTGGCACTGGTACTCAGTCTCGGTCACCGCCCTCTTGGCCAGGGCGACGAAATCGGGGAATTGGGTGCCTCCGTTGTTGGCGGCGGCCAGGGCCGCCGAGGCAAGGAAGCCCAGGGACACAATGGATGAAGTCGGCTGCATCTTGAAAGTCTTGTTGAAGGTAAGTTGCTTGTCTAAGGTATCGTTTGGTTGATGTAGTAATCGATATCACCAGAAGAGGGAACAGTAGCTTACTTATACCCACCTGATGAGAAGGCTTGCACCCAACCGGATGGTATACAGCCGAATCTACACCAGGCCCACAGTTTATCAATCACTCAAGCAATAAACAATAGTATGCATAAACCCTACCTAGGACGGAAGTATCCGTAAAATCACGCCGGCTGAACGAGTGAGCCCCAAGGCTAGACCGCGGATTCGGCCGGATCGGTAAGAGGAAGAGAAAAACGAGAAAAAGGCCAAGAAAATAGTTCTCTTAATAGCAAGGAGATAAATGAGCTAATTTCTGTCCATTCAGCCTAAGCCCGTGTTTATGTGCATCCATTTCCGGCCACGCAGCGGAGACAAGCCAAGACTTATACGACGGCGACTTGGAAAACAGTGCCGCTGGCCAATGAAATGGCTCAGAGCCATCTGATTAGATACGAATCAACATCCGATGTCACATGTGCCAATATTTAGCTTCTCTGTATTATACTGTCCACGCGTCTGCACCCGGAGGAACTGGCCACTTAGGCAATAGTTCCTTTTAGACTAGTTACGATACGGTAAAGTGGAGAGAGAAGAGAAGAGAGCAGAAGGAGGGAAACGCTTGAGCCAACGCAATCCGGACCTTTTAGACAAAGAATTGTCCCAGTTATTCTTTGGCATCTGATATTGCCAAGGTGCTAACAGGACTTAGCAGGTAGTAAAGGAAACGGTGGGGACGGAGTGAGTTTTCTCTTTGGTCTTGCGTTGCCGGATTTCGGATTTATTACGAAAAAAAAAACGGAATTTTCCTGCATGGCATTCTGCATGATGCCATGCTGGCTGATGGAACTTGCGCTAACGATGGCCTGCTTTGGAAGGCGAGCGAAGAGGAGGGTGGTTGGGTCTTATCTCACAGTGTTCTTGTGACGGTTGGGACACGATTATAATACGAGGCTTTATCCCCAGCTTGAATCTGAGTCGAAATTGTCGCAGCCGTCCACGCACAGCATCCCCTCTGCCTTTCCCCCTTACCTTGTTATCCTGAAACATACTTATTTTCCTTTCCTACTATGACTATCCACAAGAACATGTTGGCCGCCGGCCTTGCCTGCTTTGCGGGTCTGGCCGTGGCAGCTGTCGAGGTCGACGACATGGGCCCTGCCGCCTTCATGTGGCCCACGGACAGAGTCTGGGCTGCTTCGGTGGATAACACAGCCCCCTGCGGCTCCAGGGCATCGGCTGGAAACAGGACGGACTTCCCTTTGAGTAAGTAGTAGCCATGACCGGTTTCTTTCCTCTGTCCTGTGAATATCCTTTGTTGACAGACGTTACAGAAAAGGGCCAGGTTGCGCTGCTGGCCCAAGATGAGTCTTGGGACATTGAGCTCAGCATCTCCTACCTCTCAGGTATGTGACAAGTAGTCCAAAATAACCGACGAAGGTGCTCGATCCACTGACCTTTTTTTCTTCATCTGAAAAAGACCCCAAGACCAACGATGACTTCAGCACCTTGGTGGAAGCCGATGAAATGCGTGAGATCGACGTCGGACACACTTGTATCACGATATCTGACGCCCCTAGCACGGTCAAGGCAGGGGACCCTGCCACGCTGCAGATCAAGTACCTGGCCGACTTTGACAAGCCGGAGAACCAGACGTTCTACGCCTGCGCCGACATCAAGTTTGTCGAAGCCTCGAGCTTCACCACCGAGGTTCCGTGCTTCAACGCCACTGAGTCCTCGTCAGATGACAGCTCTAGCACCGATCACTCGGACAGCAGCAGCAGCACGAGTGACGCCGACAGCAGTGACAGCAGCAACTCCAAGTCTGGAGACGACGACGACGACCTCTCGGGCGGTGCCATTGCAGGCATCGTCGTCGGATGTGTGGCTGCCGTCGCGCTCGCGGGACTCGCCTTCTTCTTCTACAGGCGCAGGCAGCAGAGACTCGTGTCGCAGAGGCAGCAGCAGTCGAGCCGTGGTGTGAGGTGGGATGGACAGGATCACGGTGCTAATAAGGGATCTGTGTCGAGCGCCAGTGTGGGAATGCACAATCTGTCATCCTCTTGAGAAGATTCTTGAGAGGATAAAAACTTGTTGGCCTCGGGGGTCTGTAAAGATGTCAACTGTGACCCATAGTCATTGTTTGATATTCACTTTCCCCGGGTTCTGGCATACGATCCGCACCTTCCCTGTTTACGGGCTTTGACGACGATGACGACATCTTCCTCCCCCTCTTTCACTCTCTCCTCTTCTCGGCCATCCTTGGAGGGTATTGAGAAAACTTTGGGAGCACATGAATTACTATTGAAATAGTAACAGTCTTTATACCATATAGTTTTAGTAGTAGTTAGTCGAATCGATTCTTTTTAACGTGATGTACGAGTAGAGCCGCTCTAGCCTTATGACTCCAATTTTTGTCCCGCACATCCCCTCTAGAATTTTGGCCTGGCGTACGCGGTCTCCAAAAAAAAAAAAGGAAAAAAAAAGAGGCCTGGACCCCACAACATGAACGTCGGAGTTTCCAGACCCCCAGTGGGTCCAAGGCCCTAGACCTAGACACTTGGCCAAGTTTGGACCATGAGCACATGCTCAGTTAGCATCCTCGGCTGAGATAACTTTATATATTTTCTTAAATGGATTGTTTGTTTGTTTTATTATTCCATAAATATTTATCTCTTTGTTCTCATACTTGTACTTTTGGTATTACCTGGTCTTATAATGAATGATACGGAAGTCCATATTCGTGCAGTGTAGGTATTAGTAGTGACTTGCTGCTAATATGAGAGACGGCAGGTTGGAGTCGCAGAGTAGCAGTGGCAGCAGAAAGAACCTTGCAGCGCTTCACACCCCGCAGTGGCCGTGCCGACGTTGTGATGGGCTGTATAAAGTACCGCATATAGTAATATGTAAAGAGACAAGGGTTGTAATGAATCAATCGGGGCTTACAACGCTCGGTTCCTCCTTCGTCATTCACTTCATCGTCCGACTTTTTTTTTTCCGAATTTATTTCGTATTTAATCTATCCTGCCCCTCCATTCTCTACTTTGGACGTCTTTTTTACTATTGTCTTTCCCACTCTTCTCTAGAAAATTTTCGTATGAGCAATATCGCGCTACTACTTCAGCCGCGAATAGCCATTGTCTCTTTGTAAATACTACTACTCTACATTACAGTACCATCATTCATATCCCTACTCTGTCTGTATCCCTGCCATCCGCGCAGCGAAATCCATTTTACAATGGCGTCGACCTCCAAGTCGTCGGCCAAGATGTCCCAGTACTTCTCTAGGCTGAACCCCGTCCCAACCTTTCCCGAATACACAGGCCCGTACAAAGTCGGAACCGTCGACGTTGAGATTCCCGTTGACGATCTCTCCTCCCCGAGCGTACCCCCCGACAACGCTGCCGACATCTCGACCATCCAGTTCCGTGTCTTCTACCCAGCCGTTGACGAGTCGTGCGAAAAGCGTATATGGTGGCTTCCGAACCCCCAGAGACACCATGTGTCGGCGTACACTAGGTTTGTCGGCGTTGGAAACACATTGGCTGAGGTTCTTTCGTGAGTTGCCTACGCCCTTCTCTGGCTTGATTGCTCCTGTTGACCTCATACGCCTATCAGTTTCTTCCCTCGCCATCTCAACTACACGTCGATTCCGGCCCATAAGAACGCGACGATGCGAGAACCAAACACTGAGAACCAGCGCTGGCCTACCATGATTTTCTCCCATGGCCTGGGAGGCTCGCGCAATTCATACTCATACATTGCCGGCTCGCTAGCGTCGCACGGCGTCGTCGTCGTATGCCCCGAGCACCGCGACGGCAGCGCTGTCACATCCTTCATCCGCACTCCCGGGAAGGACGTCTCGTCATGGCGCTCTTCTGTTGGGCCGCGTCGTATTGTATCCTACACGAAGATCTCGCATGATTTCTCCCCCGATATTTACGAGGCACGCGAAGCTCAGCTGCGCATCAGGCTCTGGGAGATGGGACTTGTGCACGAAGCTGTCCAGGCCATGGACCGTGGCACCGAGTTCCGCAACCTCAACGTGACCACCCCCAGCCTTGGCCAGTTTGCTAGCCGTTTGAATGTCCACGAGCCCGGGAGCATCATATTTGCCGGTCATAGCTTCGGCGCCGCCACCATAAACCAGTTCCTCAAAAGCACGTACTATGCCGACGATGCCGACGTAGCCAACATGGAGAAACCGCTTTTCGTTCCCGCCGAGGGATCCGAGATTCGTAGGCAGATCACCGCCAGGACGGTGACCATGCTTCTGGACATGTGGTGCATGCCCCTCATGGCGCCTAACTCGAAGCCCCTGTTCAACCTGCCGCTGCCCGCCTACGACGACGTGCCCTCGGCGGCCGGTGGTACCGCGCTGCTGCTGGTGGAGTCCGAATCTTTCTACAAGTGGTCCGACCACCTCCAGCTGTCGGCGCGGCTGCTCTCGCCCGACCCGAGCGCCGAGCGGGTACTCCCCATGGTGTACGAGCGCCCCAGTGGCGTCAAGCAGGCCGAGCCCAACTTCTTCTACGTCGTCAACTCCGCCCACTTGAGCCAGTCCGACTTTGGCATCCTCTTTCCCTGGCTGACTAAGAAGATATTTGACGCTGAGCAGCCTGACCGTGCTCTGCGCCTGAACCTTCGCGCCTAGCTGCAGCTCCTGCGCGTCAACGGCATCCCTGTCGCCCGCACCTACGCCGGTGACCTCGTCGACGGTACCCACTTCGATAAGCTCGAGCTGTCGAAGAAAGAAGAGGAAAATACCCACGCCGTTGACGGCCTCGACGATGACGAAGCCATCTTTGATCGCAGCGGCAGCAACATTGTCGACCACTGGCACTGGATCAACACCATCGGCCTCGGTCAGCCCACTGACGAGGAGGGCAATAACAAAGGCAAGTCGGTCGTCGAGGGCGCCGAAGACACGGAGTGGGAGATCAAGGGGGAGCTTGGGCCCAGCGACGATGCTGCGCAGACTACCTGTGAGGGTCACATTGCCAAATCTGTCTCTCCCGCTTCCCGGACTATCCAGTCAGTAGCCCAGACAGTTTGAGAAGGAACCAATGACTTGATATGTTCTGACAATCCGAACGATTTTGATGATGTATACGTTTCTGTTCGCTTTTCAGTTCTTTTGTACTATTTGTTTTCCTTTTTCAGACTTTTTTTTTTCTTTCCATGTTTTGTCCCATTCATTTGGCATCAACAGCATCTTTCATCCTTTCTCTTTGTTGTATCTTGGCGTCGATAGATATTTCGCTCTGGGTTTATAGAGGACGTTGGTTCTCGCCATGGGGGAACAAATTGAACTTGTTGATTTCATTGAAAAAAAAAAGCACTAATCATGTCCATAGATGAGACTTTTTTGTATTGCTTAATATTATCAACGTTGCTGTTTGATTGATATAGGGTGGAGATGACCTGGTGGCATGATTCATTTATTAGCGGGGCAGAGTTATTACTTACTCATTGGAAGGTCCCATATAAATCAAATCACGGGCACAAGATTACGTTATTTCCACTAGTGGTAAGGTGGCCGAGTGGTCTAAGGCGTGATGTTCAAGAAAATTGAATTCTTTCCTGTTCTAAATGGGAACCATCATATCGAGAGATGCAAGGGTTCGAATCCCTTTCTTACCAACAATTTTTTGTTCTTTTTTGCCCTTTCTATTACTATATATCAAGTTCCTTTGGCTCATTGGAGGACAATATTTTTCTCCTTCTTCTTATCCTTATAATATATAAATTGTCCTAGCGTTTCTAGGGTGTGACGCTGTAACAATGCCGGGGCACAGCACACGGGACTGCCATCATCCAGTCTGTTCCTAGTGATTGACCGACACACAATAGTTGCTGCCTCTTGTTTTACGTCTGGCTTGCTCTCATAGATTTAACCTCTTTGAACTTATTCACGGGAATGTGTTTCATAGAGGTTTCCATCGAATCTTTAGGTCACACTCATCCATCCTCCCATCCATCCATCCATCTCTTCTCTTATAGGAAAACTGTGAGCGCATAATGCATGTGCCGCTGCTGCAGCCTTGAGCTACATGATATGTGAGAATCGTGGATACCTAGATGTGGAATCCACCGACCGCAATAAGTATGAATCATGGGTAATCACCTTATTCCAAAAGCATTTCTCATGATCTTCAAGTCTCTCGCATAACTATAATCACAGTCTAGAGTAGACAGCCAATGTACATACTATACATTCGAGGCAGTGGCGAGCCAAATACCCTACAGTCAGTCACCCGATCGGACACTCCGCACTTGCCTCTAACCGGAATCGTTCGTTACAGGCCAGCGCGAACAATTCAATTCAATCCATTCCATCATCATCATCATCATCATCGATATCACCCAAAAGTCAACCAAAGGAAAGACAATGACGGGCCGAGAGCAGCAGTCGTACGCGCCGTTCTCATGCTTCGAGTGCAAATCTCGCAAGGTCAAATGCGACCGTATAACGCCCATATGTATCCGATGCACCAAAGATGGAGCTGAGTGTCGGTATCCCACCGAGAGGAGGCGTCCCGTTCAGCATCAGGCCAGAGTGTCGGCCAAGCCCAGGCTAAGGGAACTTGAAATTCGACTGCGTGAGCTGCATTCCACCTACCTGTCCATCCATCCATCCCTATATGCATATCTTGTAGATGACCTTTACACGCATCCTCGGCTGACAATGAGGGAATGCAGATGAACTAGAGGATGAGCTGAAACGAAAGGAGGGGAGGACACCAAGCACCGATGAATCGGCGTCGGGGTTTGGACTCATGCCCACAGGTCGTTTTGAGCAGCTCCCACCACAGGGTCTGGTCGATAAGCTGTGGGTTTCTTACTCCTCTCGATACGGGTGCAACAAAAAAGAAGAATGCACACATGGCGGATTTTACTGACACTGATACCAGGACAAATCTTTACTTTTCAACCCTGTGGCCCGAGAACCCCATGGTCCACCCGGGACGCTATCTTACCTCCCTGTATCAGCCTCCACATATGCGGCCGCCCATGTGTCTGCAGTACATCATCATGGCAGGTGCAGCCAATGTGTCGGTCGAGCACAAGAGCTTGGCCGAGCCGTTTTACCGCAGGTCCAGACGGTATATAGAAGCTGACGAGATGGGAGTTGGTGCACCCCCTCCCCTCCATTTTTGCTATTGCTTGCGTATATACATGAAGCTGATGATCAGCGGTATAGAACGATGGCTACCAAGTAACGGTCGCCCACTGTCAAACATGGGTGCTCATCGGCGAGTTCGAGGCGCAGAACCTATGGTTCTCGCGCGCCTCGATGAGCACGGCCCGCGCAGTCAGGCTGTCGCAGCTCCTCGGGCTTCACGTCGTGGATGCAGCGTCAGAGATGAACCGGGCCATCCCTATGCCGGTGGACTGGTGCCAGGCCGAAGAGCGGCGACGGACTTTTTGGGCGACCTTTTTGTTTGACAGGGGGGCCAGCATCACGGGCACGTGGCCGACGCTCATCAATGCCACCCGGGTAGGTCTCAAAACGCGCTTGCCGCATCATGAGTTCATTTCTAATGCTGATGACCGTGGTGAATTTAAAGATCCAAACCCGCCTCCCTAGCTCCAACGAAGCCTTTAAGAATGGCATCGAGGAACCGTCATTGATGCTAGACCAAGCGCTCAACGACCATTCTGGCAGACCCTGGCCCATATTCGCCTGTCGTGTGATAGCGATGCACCTCCTGAGCGAGTGTTTCGACGTCGGGGTGACGCAACGCATGAACCCCAACGCTGCCGTGGGTGACGAGCTGGAGAGCATGCTCTTCTGGAACCGATACGAAAGCCTGAGTAGCAGCCTCGAAGCTGCCTTCTCTTCGCTACCGTACAACATGAGGTGCCCCGAGAACGCTCACGACGCCAACGCCGTCTCTACAAGCATGCTCCTCCACACGGCCACCATATCCATCCATTTTGCGGGAGGTGCCCGGGCCCTGACCGAGGGGAAGGCATTGCCAGACTCCAGGAGGAAGGTTACCGAGGCTGCCCAGCAGATTGTCACAACTGTCGCGCTGGCCACGGATATTGACGCCCGTTTCCGCAACCCCTTCTTTGTCTTTGCCGCCTACACGGCTGCCACTGTCTTCCACAAGGACTATATACAGTTTCGGGAAGCACAGAGCTTGCAGAAGCTCACGGCGCTCTTTGATGTCATGATCTCAGCTGGAATGAAGAACCCTGGTTTCCCAGCCTTGCTCGTAGTCCAGCTGGCGCGTGAGCTGGAGACAACGGCGGTTGACCCCTTGGCCATGTCCAAGGTGAGTGTGGATGAAACAAGAGGAGGGGAAGGCACACAGCTAACAAGGATACTATCCAGGTCCGACCGATTATCGAATCAGGAGATATGAGTCAGCAGGCCCTGACTTTGGATGGCAATGATTCTCACACAGTCGTCATCTGTCCAGTGCGACACTATCTGGATAACAAGGACGGCAGTCTAATGGATGAAAGGACACCGAACGATGACGAGGATTTCAATGCCGAAGCAAATATCGCATGATCAAATACTGCGTTTATTCCTGTTTTAAAAGAAAGAAATAAAACAGAGTCTTGGCGTTCTCGTACACTCCTATTCGTCATGGTGGCATTGATCACCAGCCGTCAGCAATTGCTCATCGGAGACTGGTTCGGAAACTTTTGGTCTCACCAAGGAAAAAAAAGTCTCCGGGAACATTGTCGAGTATAAGACGGATCATGACCGCCCTCCAGACGGACAAACAACCAAAATGTGCAAAAAAAATCAAGACTCCTACACAATATAGCAATAGGTCTCATTCTTTTTTCTACTTCTTTTTTTTATATACTCTTGGTATTACACAGACGCTACCATGGCTCACCACCATCATCACCACCACCACGTCACGATCAGCCAGCTGGGCGAAGAAAACGCGAAGCACTTTGAGTATGAAAGCCTTTGTTCCGATTAAAGAATACTTACAAATCTGACATTGTGTGCAGCCATGTTGGCATAGACATGTACTCTGAGCCGTGGGTTCGTGTGGTAACGGACCAGATCTTTGAAGAGATACGCTCTGAAGCCGGGTGGATCGGCGTGGGCAAGGAGGAGTCCAAGCTGAGCAGCTCGGTCAAGGTGTTTGACTATGCATGCGGCAATGGAGTCGTATCTCGAGTAAGTCCACCCCGACATCGATTTCAAATACACACATCTCAGCACAGGATCAGCTGACGGGCAATCAGTCCCTGGGACCCTTCGTGTCTATCACCCGTGGCATGGACGTCTCCTCAAGCATGGTAGAGCAGTACAACATCAAGGCGCGCGAGGACGGCTACACCGAGGCCCAGATGCACGCCGTCAGGGGCGACCTGGTTGCCGACGCCCAAGCCTTCCCCGACATGACCGGCTTCGACCTCATCGTCATGTCCACGGCGCTGCACCACGTCGAGGACCCCCAGGGTATGATCCGCACTCTGGCCGATAGGATGGCACCCGGTGGCGCTCTGATCATTATTGACGGGGTCGCTCCATCCGAGGGGGGCGGTGCTAGGGTAGGGGACCACCCGGCTCGCAAGGTGGTGACGCGGCAGGGCTTCGAGAGGCACGAGCTCGAGGGGTGGTTTGGGAATGCCGGGCTGGAAGAGGTCGAATGGAAACTGTTCTCTAAGTCGACACAGGTTCCAGAGACGATGGGGGGGCTGTCACGCATGTTCTTCGCCAGGGGAGTCAAGGCCAGCAACTAGGTGGGGAGAGAGAGAGTATCTTGAATGGTACACGCACGAACATGTGAAGATACTTTTTTCTCGTCTATCCTGTCAACTATAAGATTCTATGATTGTGACATCGCACCGTGAGATGAAACCATCCATCGTCCATCTATCTCTTTCCCCAAGAGGCGTTTATAATAATCCTTCTAGATGCAATCCATTGGCAGAACGAAACCCGAAGCACAGGTGGCTGCCCTGTCGGCGTTTAGACAATGTCGTCGTCGGCGTTTAGACAATGTCGTCGTCGGCGTTTACCTGAATAGATCGGCGATAGCCACCATGTAATACATGCATGCTGGGATGCATTCCGCCCTTCGTCGTACCCCGAATGTAGCTATCTCCGGATTACAGAGCATCTCATGATTTCCATTCCGCAACTCCAAGCGGAACTCGTACTCACCAAGGCCGCCTCTCGTTGTGGTCATGCTAAGACCTAAATCCGGGGGCACCATCTGGGATACCATCTGGGATATAAAAAGGGTCTCTCCCTCCCCCTCTCAAGTAGTCAGTTCAGACAAGACTCACTTCAAGAAATATATCAGCTCTACACCCAATCTCACCCATCATGTCTCTAGTGTGGTTCATCACCGGCGCCTCTAATGGTTTGGGCCTCTCTATGGCCCTACAGGCCCTCCAGGCTGGACACAAGGTTATCGCGGCCATGCGCAACCCCGAGCGCTCGGCCGCGGCGTCCCGGACCATCGAGGAAGCGGGCGGCAGCGTGTTCCAGCTCGACACGACCGAGTCCCAGGAGGCCATCGTGTCCAAGATGGAGCGGGCCGAGGCCGTCTACGGCCAGATCGACGTTCTGGTCAACAACGCCGGGTATTCTGTCCTCGGAGCCTGTGAGGATTTCAGGTAACAAACCCCAACCAAACCCAACCCAACCCAACCCAACCCAACCTGACCCCAAACCCCCGGACCCTGTGCCCTATGATGGACTGACGGATGATGATTGAAGTGAGGAGGAAATCACGACGCTGTTCAGGACCAACGTGTTCGGCCCTATGTTCATCACCCAGGGTGTCCTGCCGGGGATGCGAGCCCGCCGCACGGGCACCATCGTCAACCTCTCGAGCGTGGCGGGCCAGGACGGCTCCCCCGCGTGCGGGCTGTACTCGGCCAGCAAGTTCGGCCTGGAGGGCTACTCGGAGTCTCTGTCCAGGGAGGTCGGCGAGTTCGGCATCTCGGTCCTCATCGTGGAGCCGGGTGCCTTCCGCACCAACTTCCTGGCTGCCATGCAGGTCACCGGGAGAGGCGTCGGCGGGTCCTTCAGAGGCGGCGGATCGGTCGTCGCCCAGGCCCTGGACATGTACCGGGCCGCCAACGGCAAGCAGGTCGGCGACCCGGAGAAGGCGGTGGCGCGCATCGTCGACGTCGTGACCGGCCGCGGGGACGCGGGCGAGCTCAAGGGCAAGGTGCTCAGGCTGGTGCTCGGCAGGGACGCCCATACGCGCATCGTCAACAAGACGGATAAGCTGCGTGAGGACCTGGAGGCTTCCAAGCTGGTTGCTTACAGCACCGATATGTGAACGATGGCGTGCTTTACTTGAATATGTGGACTCTCGTACATACCTGTACACGGATCTCTTATTCCCGCCCACGCAATGTCCTGGTTATCACCGACGAGAAAGCAACCCCAAACCCACATGACCGTTACGGTAGTCCGTCCACTCCGATCTTCTGTTTAAGGAACTCCAGATCCTCCGGAATATATTACAAAAGCGGGTCCATTATTTCGCGGGGAACATGTCTGTCTTGCTGGATCAGTGGGAAATAGCAAGGATTTGAAATTGCCATCATTTTTCTTTCTCTTTAATGAACAAAATGTTCCGATGAATCTATGTAAAATCGCTCAACCCCGTGGTGACTCCCCTAAAGAGTAAACAGACACTTCCTTGTCCCGGAAAGATGTACATTGTTGTTGTTGTTCCGGTGCCGTCCTTCGTATCGGTCCTGATGTCATCCATCGCCTGGCATGTAAGCCGTGGCCGGGTGTCAACAAGCCTCTCATGATATCATATAATAGTCACCAGTTCCTCTTGGGATTCCGTAGGGCATTGGAGTATCATAGTCCGTTGAATCTACTTACCAGTTTTACATATAATCCCCCGATTATACCAAGATATCTTTTCCGTCCTTCCGTTCGACTGCAAATCGTCAACAGCCCGTATGGTTTGATATGTGTACTTCAATTCATCCTTGCCCCACTATCTTTCTCGGAACCCTGACAAATCCATCCAAACGAGAAGACAAAAAAATCTCACACCGTCTCTAGAACCATTTTCTCTTCTTTTATTTATTTATTTCCTTCTGGTTTATCCATTCTTGCATCATCATCATCATCGTTCTTCGTTTTCGTTTTCGTCATCTCATCAGATACCCATGTCAGCGCGCGAATGCAAATGTCATGATCCCCTCAGCATAGAACCATGTTCAGCACCTTTCGCAGCATCGCCTCCGAACCGGTCCAGGGCTCCACGCACACGGCACCCCGCAAAAGAGCCCAGGTACGCCGCGCCTGCGACGCATGCCGCCTCGCCAGGGTGAAGTGCGACCTCACCAGACCGTGCAGGAACTGCCTGCACTCGGGTAGAGAGTGCGTGTCGTCTGGGGTGGTCGAGTTCAAGAATGTTTCTTCTGCTACGAGGTACATCATCCCTCACCCTTCAACTCAGAATTGCCAAGTATCTCTAGTAACATGCACATAGGGAGGTCGAGAGGTTACGAGACAGGTTACGCGAGTTGGAATCCCTAAAGAGACCAGTCGGCCTAGGCCCGAGTCCAGCCTCAGCCTCCTCCTCCGAAGACGACAACCGAGGCGGTCGGACCGTCGCGGCCCCCGTGACAGCAGAGTGGAAATGGAAGGGCATGGTGGTGGACGGACTACGGTACGGCCCCCTCTCGCTCCAATACTTCATCCACCGGGCATCGTCGTACATGGGCTGCGACATCGGGGCCCCCCCGCCGCCCATCAACGTCCTGAGCGCGCGCAACGTCGACCTCCGAGGGTGCGACCTGACGCGCCAGCAGCAGGACTACTTTGTCGATCTGTTCTGGACGGCGTACCACGTGTCGTACCCTGTCGTGGACGCCGACGACTTCAAACCGCTGTACGACTCTCTCTGGGACGTCGGGGGCCTGAGCCGCCGGCCTGACCCGCTCGTCGACATCGTCCTCGCCATATCCATCCAATACGCCTTCTCGCTCATGGGCATCCACGACCCGGCCACACGGTCCGAGGCCGAGCAGGCTGACCAGACCGAGCGCCCGGAGCTGGCCGTCGCGGGGAGCCCCTTCTTCCACCGATGTCAGGACGGGCTGGACCACCTGATGGAGTCGCCGGATGTCAAGACGGTGCAGTGCATGTTCCTGAGCGCTACGTACCTGTCATACGCGCGGTGCTACAATGCGGCCCATACGACCGTCAAGACGGCCCGGCACGTCGCGTCCGCACTGGGCGTTGGCGACAGCTTCTACTCCACCGACAAGTGTGTGCTGACCCGGACGGCCCGGTGCCTGCGCGTCCTCGACTCGCGCATCTCCATGCGCCTGGGCCGCGTGGCCCAGACCTGCAGCGCCGTGGCCCTCCGCGACCCGTCGTACGTCGCGCCCAGCCACGCCTCGGCCGTCTTCCATGACCAGCTGCTCCTGCTGTGCGAGCTGGCAGAGGACGTATACCGGTGCTTCATGGACCAGGCCAACCACCTGTTCGGGCCCGGCCGCGACAACATGTACTCCGACGTGACCATGCGCAACGAGGCCGGCCTCATCATGACGGAGCAGATGAAACGGCTACACGAATGGACGAAGCAGGTCCCCCCCTCCCTGAGACTGGAGAGGCAAGGAGAGGGGGGCAGCCCCTTTTCCACGCACCGCTCCCCCATCCGCTGCTCGGACCAGGACCTCCCATGCCTGCAGCGCCACCGCATCACCCTGGAATGCCACTATCACGACGTGTGCTTGACTCTGCTACGAATATTCATCTGCTTCTCTCCCATCCCCGTCGTGGGCGCCTGTGACGCCGACAAGCTGTGCGTGCGCTGCGTCGACCACGCCTTCACCCTCACCACCATCATATCCCAGGCCTCGCGCGAGACAGATATAATAAAGGGGTGCTTCCAGGCCTTTGAGTGGCAGGAGAATGCCACATACGCCCTCGCCGGCTTCGCAATAGCTTACCCGGCGTGTCAGACCACCCTGACCGCCAGGAGGTCCCTTGCTACTGCCAGCCGCATGTTTGAGCAGTCTGGGTCCGGGACTCCTGCGTCTGTCAGGATGCGTCGCCTGTGTTCTCTTCTCGATGCCGAGATTTCGAATAGTGTTGTTAGGCTGCGCGAGTCGATTCCTGCTGTTATACCTACACCACCGGGCACTGATACTTCTGTCGTACTCTCGTCCGGCGCCATTACCGCTGGTGTATCTCAAACCCCAGAGCATCAGGACCGGATGAGACAGAATATCGACACATGCCCGCTGCTATATCCTTCTCCCGACTGGGACTCGATACAAGCTGATTTCTTGAACAGCGAAGACTTCACCGTCTGATAAGAGCTTGACCAAGTATATGAGGCATTGTTGATTTCCGGTTTGTTCCTTTTCCAATTCCTTTGTTTTTCTTCTAGAGGTCTTTCGCTCGTACCATCGGAGCGGCGTTATTTAATTGCTCGTCCATCTCACTTGTACTGTACCCTGAAAACCCAACAAATGCTATCCCTTTCAACAATGTCGTTGGAAACTTCGATCCAGAAGGAACCGCCATCGTCAAGGCCCCATTCCATATCCACCTCTCCATCCATGGTAAGGGCGGCAACCCGATCTCCTTTCTGCGCAGGCACAGGGGCCTCGACGACAAGACGTCCCGGTACCGGCCGGTCAAGGCTTAAGAGGTAGAACGCGTCGTTGGTTTGCGTGAAGCGGATGGATCGCTCTTCAGGAGTAGGATACCAGTATGTCGTATTGAAGATAGCCTCGTCGTGGGCATGGAGCCAGGAGCCAGCCTCGCGGAGACTGCTGATCATGGCCTCGTGGATGGAGCCATCGGCACGCGGGCCGATGTTGAGGAGTAGGTTGCCATTCTTGCTGGCCATGTCTACGAGGTTGTGTATCAGTGTGGTGGCGTTCATGTACTCATCCGCAGCCGTCGCACGATTATACCCGTAGCTGTAAGGATCCATGCCCTGGTTGCTCTCCCACTTGCGGCGCTGGGCAACGCTGAATGTTTCGTACTCGGGGGTGTCGAAGTCGGCGGACCAGGTGCTGCCGCAACGGTCATTGATGGCGACCTGGCGGCCCTGGTCGCGGGCCCAGTTGAACCAGCGGGCGGCAAAGGCATCGGTGCCGTTGGCCGCTCCCGCGTCGCACCACATGATGTCGGTATTGTACTGGTAGGCGAGGATGTCCATCTGAGGAACCATCAGGTCATCGATGAAGTCTTCGGCCGGAACCCGCCCTGTATACGGCTCAATATTTCCAGTGTAGGGGTTCCGAGCAATGATTCCTGGGAAGGATGTGGAGCTGGGCTTGTCGAACTGCGTGAAGCCATACTTTCCCCAGTCTGGATTGAACCACTCTGGAAGCGAGAAGTATGTGCCGCGCTTGAGATGCGGCTGGTACGTCTCAGCAGCGTCGAAGAGCTCGCGCAAAATGTCACGGCGTGGGCCGAGATGGAGAGAAGAGCGGTTCGAGGTGGCGCCAGTGTCGAAATTGGCGAAGCCGTCGTGGTGCTTGGTGGTGAAGACAAAGTACTGCGCTCCAGCATCTGCAAACAGGTCCACCCATGCCTTAGGGTCAAATACAGACGCGGTGAAGTTGGCAAAGAAGTCGTCATAGGCGAGATCCGGGCCAAACGTCCGGAGGCGGTAAGCATTGACGCCACACCGGTCCGCGACAGCCTGCTCGTTGATGCGAGTTGAGTACCACCAGAACCACTCGGAGTAGCACTCGTTCGGGGTGGAATTGCCCCAGCCGGGAACAGCATAGGGACCCCAGTGGATGAATATGCCAAACTTGGCACCGTCATACCACTGCGGAGGCTCGTGCTCAACCAGGCTATCGGCATCGGGGGTCCACTTCCGGAGGCCCACTGCGACGTCCGGGAAGGTCACCCTGACCGGCCGGCGGTGAGGCACCGTGACAGTAACCGTAGCAGTACCATTGCTGCGGCCCTCAACGGGGACAAGTATATATTTCTGGTCTCCCGGGCAAAACCTTTTGACGAGAGTTGGCTCCGGGGTGTAGACTTGCGGGGCATCGACGAATACTTTCATTCCGGAGACGCACTCTGCACCATGGTGATTGACAATAGCCTCGACGACTTGTCGGCCATGCCCATCCCAGTTTTGCGTAGGCCGCACAGTTTGGACGCTGATTCCCGCGTCCCCCGCATCCCACAGCGATAGTGAAAAGAGATGGAGACGACCGGAGGTTGAATTGGTAGTGTCGGGCAGAACGATGGCGCGGAGATCCTTGCCGCTCTCGACAGGCGCATGGGTCTCGTAAATCTCAGAGGCATTGCCATTGGTGCCGTTGTTGGTGAAGAAGAAAGGCAGAGTTATTTGTCCGCGGCGGAGGGTGAGGAACCACCAGAAGGCGGGAGCGCGTACTTCGGTTGTTGAGGTTGTGTTATCCGAGTAGACTAGGGTGATGCTATCCGAGACGGTCGACGACATCACATCTGAGACCAGGAGGAATGAGGCAGCGAAGTAACTGGACGAGGGTGGCACTGTGATGGTCTGACCTGCGCAGATGACATTGTCCTGCGCATCAGCATCGGGGTTGTATCCGGGGAACAAGTACGAGACCCCCGTGGACGTAGATGTGTAGATGCCATCTTGTCCAACAGGGGCAGCTGGGAGGGATTCATTGAGAGTGCTGAGGGCAGCTTCGCCCGGGTATGATCCAAATCCCTTGTTGTTGAAATACTGGTCAAGAGGAATCTCGAGAGAATGCGAATGGACAGAGCCACCTAGGGCTAATGGCAGGGAGGACAGCGCTGAGCTCACTATGGATTTCAGCTTCATGGCGTCGTTCCTGGGATATAGGGAAAAGCGGCAAAGAAGACGGGGTCATTCAACCAAGCCCCATGGCTAAGCCCGTCGTCTCTTTAAAAGTGGTGCATTCTCGCACCGTTATCCGGCCTGCTTTGCCCGGCTGGCAGAGAAATGATTGACCCCGCTCACTATCGCCATGGCAGAGGCGAGCTTCCCAACGATAAGGTGAAGTCCCTTGCTCGATGACATGCTCATGTAGGGATGCTATCGTGTCGGACGAATCTCTTTGGGCAATGATGGGGCGCAGTGTGGAGCGTGCAGACTCCAATGGCACGTTACTTGTTTCCCTCTCCGTGTGGCTGATAATGCGGAGCAGTCCGAGCAGGCCGTATGACGGAGAAGGAGACGGCGGATAAAAGGTGCGAGACTGGGGGCAGATAAAGAGGTGTTATTATTTGATATACACGGACCTAGGGCTAATGCCGGTGGCGGTCTGGTCTGGTGAACAGGAATGTCAGCAGGACGTATGTATCCATACTTGTATGTGTGTATGTGTGTATCTGTAGCAACGCCAGTACTGATTTTACTACTCGTAGACATGACGCATGCAGAGGAGAGGCAAGTGGGGTGTCACATGTAAACGGAGAGAAAGAATAATCGTCGCCATAGGGACATGTGGAATTTGTGTGTCGGAGTGAGATGCTGGAAGATGAAACGAAATGGACGATGATGATTGCATTTTCATTTTTCTCTGTCTCCTTCCTTCCCAATACCGTGGTGCTGTTACTAATTCTTCATTGTGAATGAAAACATCCGGAAGGAGCGGACGCTTTGCAACTGCCGTCTTTGCATTTTAAACTTTCCCCGGAAAAGAGAGAGTCCTGGATCGGCGGGGAAGGCGCTAGGCACACTTCTCCGCATGGCATGACTAATGTCCCATGGAGAAAGAAGCCTCGGCGGTGACGATTGATCATAACGCCTGTGCTGGCGCTGTTATTTGTTCTCTCCTTTTTTTTTTGTTTCCTTTCTCCTCTGCTTTGCTGCTTGGCTGGTCCTCTTCTCCCACTCTGAGATCTCTGCACCCGCATTCACATTGTGGCCGTTCAAAAGGGAGGATAAAGGGAGAAGAACACGCTCTCCGTCATGGATTCTGCACCCCAAGAGATATACCCAGTGTATACGCCGTTCTGGAAAGACAGAGAGTCGTACGGCGGTTACGTAGCCGTGTTCGCATCACCGCCGCCACGGCCAGCAACAAGTTACGGCCAGCAAAAACAATCCAACAGCAGCCCTGCCACACGCAGCTATTCCTTCGGTCAACACTCCCCAGCTTCGAGCCCTGAATACAATGCGACCAGCCCAACGGTCCTTGTCGACGAGAGAGCATTCACACCTAGAGTCGGAGACGGACAGGGTACGCGCGTCGGGTCGACCTCCGGGAGCGCCGAATACGACAGTGCCGCAGTACTCACACCACCGTCGTCAGCGAACGTCTCGGAATGGACAAGACGTGATCCAGCCTACCGCGAGAAACTCGTCGAGGGTTTCAGAACAACAGAAGAGGAGAAACAGTTTCTGATTGAGAAGGTGGCGGAGAAGCAGGAGGAGGGGCAGCCTACGGATCTGTCGGATGGTATCGGACAAGAATCTACGGGCGTCGTTGGAAAGTCTCCTGAGCTCAGCCTGCAAGAACTGGAGAATGCGGTTTGGAGTTCGTTTGATACTTTTGTGTATTGCGCGTTTGGCGGTGCCAAGGTTCAGGTATGATTGATGACTGTTCTGGCGGGAAGGGAACTACGAAACTACGATGTGGTGATCAAACAGTGGATGTGCCTAGAATACAGATTACACAAAGATTTGCCGCCACGATAGAGTATCTAGGATCATCACAGGTAACACCGTGTACGAGTAAGATGCGTCATGGCGGGATTTGGCATCAGGACGGAGTGTGACGGAGGGGCTCGTTCGATTCGCTGGCAATGAATCCCGACCCATAATTAGAAGCGAGTCCAAGGGGCGGCGATCCACGCTTCCACATGCAGATTGAAGTCCGATCAGTATTTCAGCTCCCTGGAGGACATGGGGCCGTTGTTCGCCATATGACTCGGGAGTATTTATGAATTATGCTTATCCGTACCTGTACCTGTACCTGTACCTCTCAGTATAGATTACCTATCCCTCTGTTTGCGGGAAGGCGTGTCACCTTGGTCACCGTCTCCCCACCGGCAGATACTCGTACGTATCCGGCGACCTCGGGTGAAGGATAGATAGCCTCAGCGATATATCGAGATATTCGAATATTCGATGCAATGATTTGTACCAGGTTCACGCAGTGATACGCATAGGAGCAATGATGCTGAGCACCTCGATCCTCAGCCTACATTACCGGTTCAACCCCGTGAAAGATAACCTTGGTGGCACCTCACCGCAATCAAAGGGATACTACTCCGTACTCCGTACAAGTACTCGTACCCGTACTACGGAAATAGACATGAGTATTAACCTGTACTCCGTACATGTTCACTCTGACATAGCAATGGGTGATCCAAAAAAAGTGCCAAGACGACAGACAGACAAAGGCTCCGGCGCACGATCCCCAAAATCAAACCCCTTGCACCAAAAACGGAACCGCCGGTTGTCCCGTTGGGCTTCCGTCGGTCTTTATGTGCGGGATTCGACGCCGATGGCGCGCAAGTAGCTTCAACCTTTCAGGTAAACAGTTGATTGAATGGGATAGGTGAGCAAGGGGATAGATTCGTTACTACCTAGCAATACATTACGTATATATGCACGTAATAATACTCCGTAGCCAATGCCTCATCAGAAGAACACGCAGACACACACACACACACACGGCCAGCTTATATGCACACTCTAATGCATGTAACTCCAAGTTCCTGACCGGCGCATGTGCCCAACACCTAATGCCGTGGTATTAGTATCAGCATTCTCAAACCCGTGACGGCCAATCTTACCCAAAGAGGAAACAAGTTGCCGGTCCCCTCTATGGAGTATTATTGATACAGGTACTCGAGGTCTCAAAACATCTCCACTTAGGCATGGCGCAAGAGAGAAAGAGAGAGAGAAAAAAGAGAAAGAGAGAGAGAGAGAGAGAGAGGTGTACGAGTATTACGGAGTACGAGCAATTGTCCATCATACAGATACAGAGCGACAAGGTATTTAAGCCGTTAGGGGCCCCTCCCTTTCCGCCATCTGCCCGACTCCCTTTTAAGGAGAAAAAAAACGAGCCTCGGTACATGGCTCTCTCACAGCTTCCTTTTTTTGCCTACCTACAATATATAGCCATAGGATCCGAAACTCGCATTGTCAAACTAAATCAACGACAACAACAATATTGTCTCAGTTGAAATCTGGCCAGGTCGTTGTTTTCTTCTTCTTTTCTTCTTCTTCTTCTTAAACGAGAACAACAACCGCTTTTCAGCTCGTACGACAACTCCTTTCTTTCCCTATTCCCGACCCCTACATACACGACAGCTTCGACTCGAGGAAAGAAAAGAGGAGTGCGAGCATTGCGTCGATCGAATCATGGCCTCAGACCTAGATTACGATGTCATCATCGTGGGCGCCGGTATCTCCGGCGTCAACTTTGCCTACAGGCTGCAAGAGAACCATCCCAACATGACATTTTGCATTGTCGAGAGCCGTCATGAGATGGGAGGGACTTGGAGTCTATTCAAATACCCAGGTAACGCTCCTCTTCCTCCCCCCTCCCCCCCCTGGACGCCTGGACGTATCCGCAACATACACACACACACATACGCTGACGCTCCAAAAAGGTATCCGCTCCGACTCGGATCTCTACACATTCGGCTTCCAATGGAACCCCTGGCTCCAAAAGGAGGCCATCGCCTCCGGTCCCCACATCCTATCCTACCTGAACGAGTCGGCGCGCAAGGCCGGTCTAGACGACAAGATCAAGTACAACCACCAAGTCACCCAGATGAGCTGGGACACGCCCTCGGCGACGTGGACCTTGGACGTATCCGTCGGTGGCGGCGGCAACGACCCCGCCACCCGCCAGACCATCCTCCTCCGCAGCCGCTTCGTCCTCATGGGCACGGGCTACTACGACTTCAAGGAGCCGCTCAAGACGGAGATCCCCGGCATCGACAGCTTCGGCGGCGACGTCATCCACCCGCAGTTCTGGCCGGAGGACTACTCGTACAAGGGCAAGAACGTCGTCATCATCGGGTCGGGAGCCACGGCCGTCACGCTCCTCCCGAGCATGGCCGAGGAGGCCGGTCACGTCACCATGCTGCAGCGCTCGCCCACCTACATCATCTCCCGCGTGGGACAGAGCCCCATCGAGAGGCTCGCGCGCGCCTGGCTGCCCCCCTGGATGGCCTACCACGTCATCCGTGCCAAGTGCATCCTCTTCAGCATCTTCATGGTCACCTACGCCGACTGGTTCCCCGCACGCGCCAATAGGCTCGCCCTCGGCGCCACCGCCAAGCAGCTTCCCGAAGGCGCCTCCCTCGAGCGTGACTTCACTCCTTCCTACAACCTGTGGGAGCAGCGCGTCTGCCTCAGCCCGGACGGCGACTTCTACCAGAGCCTCCGCCAAGGAAAGGCTAGCGTCAAGACCGACCACATCGACACCGTCACCCGTAACTCCATCAAGCTCAAGTCCGGCGCGGAGCTCCACCCGGACGTCATCGTCACTGCCACCGGCCTCAAGCTCCGCATGGCCGGCGGCATAGACATCGTTGTCGACGGCAAACCCTACGACATGTCCGCCCATTTCGCCTGGAATAACTCCATGCTCGACGACCTCCCCAATGTCATGCTCGCCTGGGGCTACGTCAACGCCAGCTGGACCCTCGGCGCAGATACCACCTCCCTCCTCTTCTGCCGCCTCATCACCGCCATGAACAAGAAGGGTGCCAAGGCCATAGTTGCCCGTCGCAGGACAGCGGGGGAGATTAACATGTCCAAAGTTCCCATCCTCAACCTCAATTCTACATATGTCCGCAAGGGAGTCGGTAACATTCCCAGCTGTGGTGATCAGCCGCAATGGCTGCCGCGCACCAACTACATCAAGGACCTAGCTAGGGCCACCCTCGGTGACGTGGAAAGTGGGCTCGAATGGATAAAATGAACGTCCTCTTTACCGCGTGGTGATACGCAATGGTATAAAATGGTAGATAATATGAGAATGTCTGCTGAATTTCTTATCTCCTGTGCCTGTGTCGTTGTCTTGGGGCTATGGAAAAGGGATGCATCTGGAATATCCCAAACAGTCATGAATAAGCATGCTAATGAATCTTCGTTTGTCTTGTACTCGGTGAGCTACGGGGTACGTATCTGATCACATTACTCTGAAGATAGGGTACTCGTCCCCCTTCTCTACAGGAATAATATTAAACGTGACGTAGGAATCAATGCCTTCTGGCTCCAGAGCCACCATGGCCAGACCTGCGTTCTTCTGTCGTGTGCTGACCAGGAAACTGCCTGCGGGTAGCCTGACGTGGCGCTCAGCTGCCGTTGTTGTGGTAGTCGTGAGGACAGAGCCCTCGTAATAGGATGTGTCGAGAATGGCTGACTCAATAGTCAAGGCCTCGACAGTGCCCTCCCAGGGCTGCTTGAGGTTCTCAACCTCGACACCAGACGCATGCAGACGCTTGGCGATATCATCCCAAGCGATTGGGATGAGATAGGCTTCGGGCCGGGTGCGGGTAAGGTTGGCAATGGTCGGAGTTGTCGACTCGAATCGCACAGGCATCTTGACGACTGTGCCATTGTTCTTGTCAACCATGGTAAAGGGGCGAGTGTCGACGGTTCCGTGATCCGTCACCACGATGGGGTTGCTCGAGTTCACAAAGGCGTCAATTCCAGCCTCAATCGTTTCCAGGACGCGATCGGCATTGTCCACAGCCGTCTGTATGATGCTCCCGCACATGGTGAATCCCGAAGCAGTACGGCGCCCATACTCTTGGTCTGCGAGCCCGATACCGCGCGTCTCAAGCAGGAAGGATACGGTCTGCGTCAGTCCCATTGCGTTGCGGCCGATCCTGGCATCACTGCCGGCCTCGGAAAACTCAGCCACGTACCCCACATCTTGGTATGAGGACGATCTACCTGTCACGTAGGGCTCCGTGCGCAGGCCAGCCGCCTCCATATCCCGTGCAATATTCTTGGCAAATAATTCTTCCGACAGGTTGCGGATTTCCCCTCGAATGTTGAGGTTTTTGGCGGCGGCGAACAGGCCATCGGACCCGTGGACATATGCACCATCTCCAAACTCGGTAAATGCTGAGTATTCGTGCATGTCGATGGCGATGTGGGGGTTGAAGTCGCTAAACAGCTGCTTGATGTCGCGCGACACCTGTCTCTCGAGCTTGGTATGATCGCGACTGCTTGTTATTAGCTCATCACACACTAACAAGACTTCGAGTTGTTCCAGTTTATCTGTCTCGGAGCGGCCATGGTTAGTCAACTTACTTTGGGTCCAAGTTGGTAGCCAGTGCTCGCTGGAAGTAAAAGACCCCGTCGGGGTTGTAGCGCGGCAGAAAAAAGAGCTCAACCTTGTCAAGAACAGAGTCAGCCCACGTCTTGTTGGTGGACAGCTTGCCGAGGATCGCCATCGCTGCTTCCTCTCCTGCAGGCTCGTTTCCATGCACAGAAGCCTGAATCCAGATGCGTATCTTTGGGCTGGTAGCATTTGCTTTCGACACATGAACATAGGGGTACCCTTGGCGCTCTTCTGATCTGAAGTTGGCGTTGCCGAACTTCATGTTCTTGTCCGGGGAAGCCAGAGATTGAATAAAGCTATCTGTCGTGTTGCTTTGGTATGAGCAGCTGCAATGACAAGAGAGACAAAGAGAGGGATGGATTACACATATGGAACCATGATGTAGGACCCTGTGTGCCGTTTGAGAAGCCAGGCTGCCTGCGGTCGGGGTGCATAAAATCTGGCGAGACGATATCAAAGTTGACGTCAGGAAAGGCTCCTTCGACTACCTTGTCCGAGTCCCTGATCACAGTGACGTGGTTGTATCCATACTTGGAGGCACTGGCCACGGAGATGAGGCCCGCGAGAGGACTGAGAAGGAGGCCTGTGATGAGTCTCATGTTGGATATTGATACTTCTTAGTAGGTTGAGAAAGGGATTTTTAGACCAGAAGATCGACTCCAAAATTAGGATAACTGTACCGTTATATACTGGACCACGCACCCCTATACCTTGACAGCAGGAACCCTCGGGTCGTTGCTTCCTTATCTACATCATGACGACTGAAAGGCCTCATGTGGAGGAAGTATTAACCCTAGTGCTACGTTGCAGCTTCCTCATTGAGTCAAAGAGACAAACTCCCCCCACCAGAACCCCAAATCGCACTCCACTTCGGAAAGGGCCGAAGCCATGATATTATGCTTAAATGGCATACTCTCTGATTGCGTTGAGGAACGGGGTGGGGCTAAAAAGAGAAGTTTGGGCGGAGTGATTGTGATATCAGTAATAAGAACTGGCGATGATAAGAATAAAGAGGGGAAAGCTCAATATATGTGAAATTGGCTAGATCTCTTATGATTCCGCATAGGGGTCCTATAATAACCGATAGGCGTAGTAATATAGCATAAAAGTCTACTTCCTAGTAAAAGGGCGGAACTTGGTAGCACTCCTACATACGTGACGGAGGGCCATCATCGCGAGGATGTGAATACAGTAGTTATCGGTGCGAGTGTTGGTCTGATTTATGTTCAATGCATATATTACCGTGTAATTGAGATAACTCATAACAAGAAACAAAAAGTACAACACCATAAATAACCGTCTAGTAAGTACTCCGCTTCTCTTTTTGTGTACCTCATCATTGAGGTATTTTTAGTCCTCGGCCTCACCAAGCTCCAGACAATGCCCCCCTTCTTGTATGCATCTCACCCTGGCATTCTAAGAATGAAGTTCCATAGTAGGGATCATCAATGTGCACCTATCCAAGACTCGTTTCATTTGGGGCATATCGTCTTCCCAGCCCCGCAGTGAATATACCCTACAGCGGGGGAAGATTGGCAGGCTTGGCTCTTTGATACCCTTCCACCTCCGGCGTTTCCTTGAACATCAATGCAGGGCGCCGCAAAAGTGTTTGTCTTAACTGAGTTCTCTCGTTCACACACAGAGAGAACTATGACGACTTTGCAGCGTCCCCATCTTCGGCTTTGGTGTCGTCATCTTTGATGTCGACCGACGCGACGGCATCCTTCAGTCCCTCCTCCTGGTTCTTGTCCTCCATGCCCTTTGTCTGAGAGAGGAAATAGTTGGCCACATCAGTGTGGTGGTTGAAGTAGGCCAGGTCCAACGGCACATAGTTGCGCTCGTTGGCGAGAGCGGGCAGCGCACCGTTGGCCATGAGCAGCTTGACCATGTCGAGATGGCCGCCCAGAGCAGCCCAATGAAGACCAGTGTTTCCATGCTCGTTGACGTCGTCCAGAAAGGCCTGTTTCTCCCCTTTGGGTCTCTCTTCAAAGTATCCCGTCAGCTTGCGCACCGTCTCTGTGTGAGCTTGGTTAGCACCATCCGAAAGTTTACGTCAAATATCCACGCCAGAGGAAGAATGAAGTAAATTGAAAGGGACATGGAGAGAGGGATAGTATGTGTACATCGTACTCACCCAAGTGTCCATTGCCCGCTGCCATGTGTAGCGTAGTCGACTTGTTGCCCTGATCCTTGGCAGCCACCAAGATCTCAGCCACCGTCACCTTCTCTCGCTCCGCTAGCGCCGTCAGTTCCTGAACTAACTCATCATTCTCCCCGGTACGCGACAGGTAAATGAGATCGTCAATCTCATCTTCTGATAGTTGAGGTGCCATGGTGTTTATGTGGCACGTGTGTCCTGTGTTCTGACGGGGGTTGCGAGAGCATCTAAAAATTTCGTCACCCCACAAGGGTCCGTCTTGTGAATGAGGGGACTGTGCGAATTTATTTTACCCCGCCAATTCCACACGTTAACTGTCCCCAAGATCGCCGTAATCGTACAGTTTCAGTACAGTGTAAGTTGTTTTACTAGTAGCCAATGTACCCGCCAGATGAGTCAGCGTGTTAGAAGGGTGCGACATCATCACAGCCATATGCCGTATTCTTTGCTAAATTGCTTTCTTCCATTTTATCAGTCTCACCATCATCTTCAGGGGTCTTACAAGTACCTCATGCAAGACATGCCAAAAAAAAAAAAATCACGATCCCCCTTTGCACACCCTCGCTCATCGATGACTACCATTGACTCAATGCATCAGATATCTCGTGCTCTAGCCATTTTGCAATGCTTCCAGATTCATCCAGCCATTGTATTTCCGCCTTGACACCAAGGCAGAGTATTATCTGCAACTCGCGTCTCAGCTCCAATGCCTCTGTATCTTGAGCATGAAACATGGACAACCTCTTTAACATGCTATATGCCAGCCGACGATCCCGTTCAGTCAAGTGCGTAACTGGGCCTCTGCAGGCCAAGGATGACATGGAGTATGGTAAGTTGCTGCTGATAGCCTGAGAACACTCGTTCTCGTACTCTGCACTGCTATATGCTGGATCAGAGCTGTGAGAAGAAAGCCTAGCGCCGAGATGAAGCGTCTGCTCCGTTTTGATGCCTAGCCAATTTACCCCCGCGTTACCGTTCGAGTTCCATCGAGTCGACCCGAATCGGTAGCATTGAAAGATGTTGAGCCCATCTGGGTCATAATCCACGAGTACCAGAATCGGCAGAAGTGCATCGTGCTCGTTAATCAGCTGCAGGAACGAACGGGTCGAGTCATCCGGGTAGCCTTTGGCCTTAAGCAATGGTCAGTGTCAGGGACAACAACACAACGCTGGGACTACCAACCGTGACACCGAGACCCGGCCCGAAAGACGAATTTCCCCAAAAGTTGGAAGAGCACAGAGAACGAAAAACTGCCTGCATAGGGTAGGTAAGTTTTCGAGCTAAAATGCGGGGGAGACTCGAGCTGAACTTACATCCTTCTCCACAACTAGCACCCACTTGATCTGGGAAGTGTCGATGCTTCTTATGGACATCGATACGGGGATTACGGTGCCCTGCACAGTCACAGCCAGCCGGGGACGTCAGCTGGAAAGGCGAGTAGGTGCGGATACGTTCTTACACTCTCGGCCCATGATCCATTCACGAATGAACTGTCCCGAAGTCGGAGGGTAATTGGCCCGCTAAAGAGTCCCTTGGAAGATGCGACCTAACAATGTCAGGCCCTCGTGCAAAACATTAGATGGACGCTTAACGACGCACGATATTCAGCTCTTCCCGACAAGTTCCGAGAGTAAGAGCCAGACACTCGACCAATATATCGACACAGGACTGCTTTCCGAACAAAGCCTGGTTCTGATAGAATATGTGCCTAATGTGTGTGAGCGAGTATCTGTACCGGACCAAAGAAGTTGACAGGAATACCTCTTTGTGAGTATCTCATCGGCCACAAGAGCATCATGGCATAATTGCAATATGAAAAGCACCCGTGCTACAGCATGTGAAAGATAACTGTTAGCCTCCCGGTGGTTGATCATTATTAAAACTCGAAGCAGCATGACGCTCACCAAATTTGACTGCCTCTTTGTCGGTCCGCCCAGGGAATCGGAGTACCTCCTATTTTAACCCGCCTTCCCCATGCTGATACCTTGGACTAGAGATAAAGTCAATTGTGAGCTCACGATCTGCAGTGACATCATCCAGTATGGACTCGATGATACCCTCGATCTGGATAATGAGGGCTCCAGTGTGAGATCCTGCAGGACGCACATTAGCAATACTCTTAGCATGTGACGACGCCAAGACGTTGTGTTGATCCATGGCTCTGGTCTGAAAAAGAAAAAAAGAAAGAAGGGGATGCGAAACACGGGTAGGAAGAAGCGTGAAAGAGACGAATGCGAGCACTCGGAAAATCACCTCTAATGGAAACTAGATAGGAAATGGGATGTGTTTACAATCAGGCCATTGTTTCGTCATTAACAAGAAATCAATGTTACATGGAGGTGTCCGAGGGACAGGAAAAACATGCAGGCACGATGTGGTCAATGCGGGGCTCCTGCCATTGTTTGTTCCCAGCTGTAACAATCGGACGCGGAAGGTGCATAGGGTCCGTCGGTCGATTTTAAGCCGCTGAACTCCTACCTAAATATACTTAGTGTAGCGGTTGACGCTCGCTGAGAATCTCGGTTGGCGACTTAAGACTCCCCATTTATGTCGCACTGGACCTCGCCTGTAAACTGCCGGTACTGGGGCGCTGTACAGAGGTCCGGCCTATAATAGGGGTGCTATGCCGCCCAGACACCGGGCACACACCTGTAATAGCATGAATGGATGCTAGTTATTTGTCCTCACCGATGTTCCTCTCCCCATCTCGACCACTTACCACTGCATCGTCACATGGTGCAGTAGATACATGGCCTCTAGGTTCCTGACAAGACAAAGCTTCACCTGAGTCAACATCTCGCCGCTACCATGACTACCAGGACGAGCAACCACACCAATGGCCAAGGCTCTCCCGAGATGCCCAAGCTGCGAGACAAACTCGACCCTGAGCGATGGAGAATCAAGGACGAAGACAGCTGCCACACCTGGCACTACTTGGAGGACGACGAGGCTGTCAAGGAATGGCCACAAAGTTATGCCGAAAAATACTTTCTCAACCTTCCCTTGGTATGTTTGCCCGTTCTCACTTTGTGATCGCGACCAACGTCTGATGTTGTCTTCTTACAGGGCCTGCCTGATCTCGACGCCCCCGAAACCCCACTAGATGCCGCTGCGAATGGCCTCAACTTCTTCTCCAAGCTCCAAATGCCTTCGGGCCACTGGGCCTGCGAATACGGTGGCCCAATGTTTCTCCTGCCAGGCGTTGTCGCCACCTGGTATGCGACCAAGACACCAATCCCCTCGGCGCACGCAACCGAGATCAAGAACTACCTCTTTGCGCGCGCCCACCCCGAGGATGGAGGCTGGGGTCTACATATAGAAGGCGAGAGCACAGTGTTTGGCACTTCGCTGAACTACACCACCCTTCGACTGCTCGGCGTCGACCCTGAGCACCCAGTCATGGTGAAGGCCCGCGGCACGCTGCACAAGCTTGGTGGCGCCACCAATGCGCCGCACTGGGCTAAATTCTGGCTTGCCGTCCTCGGTGTCGTTTCTTGGGATATTGTCAACCCTGTGCCTCCCGAGCTTTGGCTTCTGCCTGACTGGACCCCCGTCTCTCCTTGGAGGTGGTGGATCCACATCCGTCAAGTCTTCTTGCCCATGGGCTACATGTACTCTAAGAGGTGGAGCTGCGAAGAGACGGACATCATCAGGGGCCTGAGGGAGGAGCTATTTGTGCAGCCATGGGCTGAGATCAGCTGGTCGGATCACAGGAACAGCATCCACCCTGGTGACAACTACCATCCCAAGTCAACATTCATGAACCTGGTCAACTGGATCATTGTTAACATCTGGAACGTCTACCTGCGCGCCGACTGGATCAGAGACAAGGCTGAGGCCTGGGTGAGCGAGCTTGTCGACATGGAGGATGCCAACACCGAGTACGCCGATCTTGCACCTGTCAACGCCCCCATGAACACCCTGGTATGCTATATCCGCGATGGGCCAGGTTCATACAGTGTCAGGCGGCACATTGAGCGCATGGAAGAATTTCTTTGGGTTAAGGATGAGGGTATGCTCTGCAATGGCACTAATGGCGTTCAGTGTTGGGACACGGCCTTCCTCATCCAAGCCGTGTTTGATGCCAACCTGCAGGAGAACAAGAAGAATTACGGCATGCTCCTCAGGTCGCTGAATTACCTAGAGCGTCAGCAGATCCGTGACAACTGCAAGGATCAAGAGAAGTGCTACCGACAGACTCGTAAAGGCGGATGGCCGTTCAGCAACCGAGTCCAGGGCTACGGTGTCAGCGACTGCATCTCCGAAGCCCTGAAGTCCATTATTCTACTGCAAAAGGTTGGTGGATTCCCAGCGGTTCTCGATGACCAGCGCATCTTCGACGCCGTTGATACGGTCCTCATGTACCAAAACAGCAACGGTGCGCTGTCGTCATACGAGGCCCGCCGAGCCGGCGAGTATATGGAAATGTTTAACGTGGCCGAGGTATTTGGCCGCATCATGATCGAGTACGACTACCCAGAATGCACTACCGCATGCGTCACGGCTCTCTCTCTTTTCCATCGCCACTGGCCCAATTACCGCCCAGATGATATCACCACTTTTATCAAGCGGGCCACGAGCTGGATCAAGACGAACCAGAGACCCGATGGGAGCTGGTACGGGAGCTGGGGTATCTGCTTCACCTACGCCACCATGTTTGCTCTCGAAAGCATGGCCAGTATCGGGGAGACGTACAAGACCAGCTCCGTATCCAAGAGGGGATGCGACTTCTTGGTGTCGAAGCAGAGAGAAGATGGCGGCTGGTCCGAAAGTTATAAGGTCTGTTTTTGCTTGATCACAGGATGCGAATAGAGAGTGCCATGCTGACCAAACTTTCAACTCAGGCATGCGAAACGATGGAGTACCACGAGCACCCATCGGGATCCCTGGTGGTACAGACAGCGTGGGCCTTGATTGGTCTTATGGAGGCTGGGTACCCCCACAGGGAGCCGCTAAGGAAGGGAATCAAGTTCATCATGGGGAGACAGCAGCCCAACGGAGAGTGGCTCCAGGAGGCCATCGAGGGCGTCTTCAACAAGTCGTGCATGATCTCGTACCCGAACTACAAGTTTACTTTCCCCATCAAGGCGCTGGGCAAGTTTTCTCAGAAATACCCGGGCGAGAAGGTTTGATGTGAAAAGAGTATGCAGATATTGCCATTTTGTATCATGATAGAAAAAAATAATGAACATCCAAATGGACCGGCAACAATGAAACCTGTTTGTTGTTAGTTTGTTCCGGTTGGTAGTGAATAACCATCTTGTGGGTGGTGAAGCTAACGTATTGAAGAGCTGTGGCGGAAGGAACCTTCCAGAGGATCGACTACCTAAAATGGTCAGTGCTGGACCCTGGTGCCTCACTTCGACGTCAGTAGCTCCATACTTTCTCTCATTCATCATCACCCAACAACTTTACTATTTTCACACAAACTATCAACTTCTGTAAATGTCGTCAGCCTTTCAGCGTCAGTGGTTTTCACGGAAAGGAAAAGGACAGAAAAAGACATGGCGTACGTCAAAGCAGCCTACCGCGGGCTAGACCTGGTAGCAGAAAAGGACTTTGCAGGTGCCATCCCGCTACTCAGCCAGGCACTCAAGGAATCCCCTAACCCAGCATGGATCATCGCCCGGTCCAAGGCTCTGGTAGGTGTAGGCCGTTTCCGAGAAGCCCTCGATGATGCCGAGCAGGCATGGCACGTCGCCGTCGCGCGCAGCAAGCGCGAGCTCATCATCGACGCCCAGCACCGTCGGGCTGTGGCACACTACCGCCTGGGCGAGCTGGCCAACGCTGATTGCTGCTGCGTGTACGCTATGAGCATGCTCAAGGGAGGAAAGTATGTCGACCAGCCGGCCAACGATCCGGCCAAGGGGATGATTGACGACCAGGGCTTCTGGACGCAGACTATCTTCGATGCTCAGGAACAGAACAGGCTGGAGAGTGAGCTGGAGGAGAGCCTCAGTATGCCGAAGCGTGGGACAGACCAGAGCACTGAGAAGATGAGGCTCTGGCGTCTGCTCAGTGCGCTGCGCGTGCAGATCCTCAATTCGATGCAAGCACTTGCCGCCGACGATGAGAAGCGCAAGTGTACAGTCTCTCAGAAGCCGCCGCAGCGAGAGCTAGCAACTCTCGATGCAAAGGAGCCTGCTGTCTCTACTACTACATCGACTTCCTCCGCTACTCCTGTCTCTTCTCCTCCTACTGCTCCCGTATCGGTCTCCCAGAATGGAGAGGTCAAGCTGCAAGAGTACCAGACAAACGACACCATGAACGTCACGGTGCTGTCCAAGGGCGTCGACAAGACCAAGCTTAAGGTCGACTTCCAGGCTTCTGTCGTTACGTTTGACCCTATCGTCTACCCCGATGGCCGTGAGGGCAAGTACACATTGTATCCGTGGGCCGACATCGACCCCACGGCATGTACATACACGGTCACGCCCAGAAAGATCGAGGTCAAGCTCAAGAAGGCTTTGCCAGGCAAGTGGGCATATATTGTGCGGGATGGAGCTACCAAAACGGCGGAGTAAGTTTATTCCCAGATGTCCATCTTTGGACATCCTTACTAAATATGCATCACAGGGCATCCTCGGCTCCCAAGACGACGGCTGTCCCGACTAGCACCACCGTCGACGCCCCTTCCCAGAAGACAGCGCCCAAACCGGCCAAGAACTGGGACGCCATCGAATACGACGAGGAAGAAGACGAGAGCGACGTGAATGGCTTCTTCAAGAAGCTGTACAAGGGTGCGACGCCCGAGCAGCAGCGTGCCATGATGAAGAGCTTCACGGAGAGCAGTGGTACCAGCCTCAGTACCGACTGGGATGATGTGAGTAAGCGGACTGTCGAGGCCGTTCCACCGGACGGTGTCGAAGCCAAAAAGTGGGCCAAGTAGTCGAAGAGGGTCTTGGTAGCTATCAATATGCGGTGGAAACAAAGGGTCACGGTGACGGCGTTACGATAGGACTGATAATAACATGCAAAAAAAAAAAAATTTGATTCATGGATGCTCCTTGAAAATTGCGGCTACGAAGGATTTTGACATTTGAGTAGACGTCCCTTTAACTCCAAGCAAAGGGGCGATTCCAACAGCTCCCTATTTGACTCATCTGGATCCCACCAGGTATGCGGATTGTCGACGGGTGCGGCATGGGTTTCCGGGGCGTGCATGGCAGTACTGAGAAAGTCCTCGCGGGAGATGTACGTGCCTCGCAGCCAGCGCGAGCCACCTTCGGCGTCGAAGGCACGCCGGCCGTGCAGCACGCGCAGGTTGTTGAACAGGACACAGTCACCCGGCTCCATGCGGGTCTGATACACTGCCCCTGGGCTGTTGACGGCGTCCTCAAAGACGCGGGCGGCGGGGATCCATTCCGCCATGTCGGGGGCAGGGATCGTCATCTCTGCCTGGAAGGGCGGACTCCAGTAGACGTTCTCGTACAGCTTCGCGTCGCGCAAGGCGAGATTGAGCAGCTTCCTCCGCTGGTGGTACCAGTTCCCGTCGCGACGGTAACCGTAAGGGATGGGGACGCTGGCCAGGCACTGCACGGGGGCGGGGTAGTCGTCCTGCAGGGCGGCCAGCAGCCTCCCGACGCGGTCGGCATCGCTGAAGAGGGACTCGCCGCCGGCGCAGGAGTTGTCCATGCAGTGCAGGATCTGGATGAAGGGCGGGGGGTCGAGGTACAGCAGGTCCTGATGCAGGCCGAGGTAGCCGCTGGTATAGGCAATATTCTCGGCGTTGGGCTTGGCGCGCACGTCAAAGGTGTGTCCGTAGAAGGTCTCGCGCACGTTGGCGACGCGGTTGGCGATGCGGGCTACGGAGTCCTCGTCGCGGGGCACGCCAGTGAGCACCACGATTCCCAGGCGCATCAAGTTGCCCACCACGTCCCAGAACGGTACATTATCAGGCGACGACGGCGACGACGCCTCCTGCATGAAGGACGCGTAGTCTACGCGCCTGATCCGACGAGACAGCGACTCCCCATCCCAGTGCTCCGGCTTATAGCGGCGGGGCAGACGGAGCTGCAGCGGCGGCTGCTTCCTGCCCTTGGAGTCCAGGCCGACCTGCGACAGCAGCCACCACGGCGACAGCTGGATGTCGTGGCCCCCCTGACCCCCGTGCGTGTCCATATCCACGTCCACCGTCACCGTCAGCCCGCCCTCGGACGTCGGCCGCACGTCGACGATGTTCATGTCCGAGCGTACCTGCGTCGTCCCGAAGCTCTTCTGCCCGGAGCTCACATCACGGCAGGCCGGGCACGAGCACGAATCGCGCAGCTGCTCGGGAAGGTAGGCCACACGAGACGGCGTCCCCAGCTTACTGGGGAAGGCCAGGCCCCGTGCTGTCCATGAGATGGCCAGGGTATCGCCTGCCGTGGTCGTGGCTGACAGCTTCAACGCCCCGCTGTCGGTGCCGAGTAAAGGAGTGTCTTGTTTCCTTGGCTTCGACTTCGGCTTTGGCTTCGGCCTTAGCTTCGGCCTTGACCCTGATTTTGGCTGCTTCGCCTTGACCTCGTCTTTGTATGCTATGCCTCTGACCCCTGCGGTGATACGTCGCCCGATGAGATTCGTCTTTGTCGTCGTCGTCAACACCGCGGATGGCCGGGCAAGACGCGACAAGGCCAGCATGACGCTCCTAGGTGTAAGGCCACACAAGACAGAGGATAAAGGTTCAGAGTATTCATGCGAGGCAAAAAAAAGAATTGGGGGAAAAAAAGCAGAGAATAAAGACAGCGGAAAATAAACAAGACAAAGTCACATGCAGAGGGTGAACCGTAAGTGAGCCGATGTTTGATGCAGCGTCAATTATCAACACATGAACTCTGGGCAGGATTTGTTTCGAGTTTATACCCCGGACCTCGGTTGAGCGGAAAGGGAAAGCAGAGCCCCCTCCCCACGGGCAAAGGTGTGGAGTCAAGAGGAAAAGTAGTTACGATGATACGCATACAAATAAATAAATGTACGCGATAATTGACACAAAAATAAAATACAGCTAACATAACAATCATAGTACAATTCATGATACACGTTGCACAAGAAAAGAAAAACAAGGCCTGCTCGTCTTCTCCAGGTCTTTCTTTTTCTTTTCAAGAAAAAAAGATGATCGCACAATCAACGATTCCGGTTGCTGGACCATCGCTTAACCATCATCTCTCGCACTCTGTAGAGTCTGAGGGCATGTGCGAGACCACCGCTGTCCAGGGCAGCCTCTAGCTTGGCTCGTGGCGGCACATCGACGTAGACGAGGACGAGACTCTTCATGACCTGCGACAGGACGCGGATGACGCTGTGCAGGCCGTGCCACGTCTGGGGCGTCTTGTTCTTCCTGCTACTGATGCCTGAGGCGGTGGACCAGAGCGGGTCCGAGTAAGAGGGCACGACGACGAGGCCGAACTCTGCATGGTCAAAGACCGGGCCGCGCGTGTATAGGAGCCAGTCGACGCCGAACTTGATACCCGCGCGGGGTACCCAGCCCAGAGACCGGAAGTGGTGGTACACGGCGTAGTGCACGAGGAAATCGTCGTCTGGCTGCAGGTCCGGGTCGTCGGGTCCCGTGCGCGGCGGGAAGTAGCTGTGCTGCCGGAACAGGGTCAGCAGGTCCCGGTTGGACAGGGGCTGGCCTGATGACGGGTCCTTGACCGTCAGGGCGCCCAGGCCAAAGCTCAGCCAGAGTGCCTCCTCCGGCATGAGCTGTAGGTGTTCCTTATTGACAAGGGTCGCGACGGGGTCATGCCCCTTGCCCGACTCCTGCTTCTGTCCACTACCAGTCCGGTCAGGGCTCGGGGGGTCCGACACCTTGAACGAGGTTGACTCCACCTCGGGGGAGAACCGGACACTCTTCTGGGCCTTGAGCTTGTGCAGCCCGGGGATTACGGTGGGGATAGGAGCAGAGCCATTGGCAGTGACGCGGACGACAGTGTCGTCATCGCCGACGACGTCCTTGACCAACTTCTCGGCGGAACCGTTGAGATAGACACTGGTGCTACCGTTGCTGGTGCCACCGTTGGGATGGAGATCGGCGCTGCCATTGGTGTGAATGCCGAGGCCGCCGCCATGGACGGGCACATCAATCCCGTCAACCTCAATCTCATCCTCAACGGGCTCGATGCTCGGATGCACCAGATCAGCGACCGAGTTAGGCAGAGCCAAAAGTTCCGCTGGACCCGTTGGTGGCGCTGGCGCCAAGGGAGGAGGCATATGCAACAGCTCAAGCTCCGCGACCGAGTTCGGTAAAGCCAACAACTCCATTGGTCCGATTGGCGGCGCTGGGGTCGGGGTCAACCGTGTCGGCTGTGAAGGAGGGGGGGAAATCTGCAACAGCTCGACCAGCGAGTTGGGCAGCGCCAGCAGCTGGATCGGTCCTGTTGGTGCCGCGGGCATTGACGGGAAAGTGTAATGTTCCTTCGGTCGTGCCTCGCGGGTAAGCTTGCGGGCAAGCTTGGGGGTAGCCTTTGGTATAACCTTTGGTATAGGTATCGGATTGGGGATGATGGGCTTGGAAGTATTCTGTGCACTGCGTCTCCTCTCCGCCTCCAATGCTTCCGCCTCTCTGGTCTGACGAATGACCTCTTGCTCCAGTCTCGCGCGTTCCCACTTGGCACGCAGGCGCTCCTCTCGCCTCTGGACCGTCAGGATCTCACTGACATGGGTCTCCCCGTGTCCGCGGCGGACCTGCTCGCGCTTCAGCCAGTTGGGCTCGCTACGACTAAGGCTTCCCTTCCCGTAGAAGCCCTGCTCCCACAGGGCCCTGACCGACTTGTCGTCCGTGATGTGCACGGAGCAGGTGGCCTCTGACCAGGTCCCCTCGTGGACCACGGCCGGCTCCGCGGGCGGCGGCCTCAGGAGCTGGCCGAGCCACGCATAGGCGACGTAGAAGAGGGAGACGGGGTTGTTGGGGTAGAAGGTCGGAAGTGGGAAAGTCCTGATGGGTGCCGGGAGGGCATATATCTGGTTAAGAGGTGGAGATGACCTCTTCTGAGCATTTGGGCGGTTCGGCGTAGACGTGCTGGTGGCCTTGGTGGTGCTCGCCATTGTGGTTGTTGCGGTGGCGGTAGTAGCAGAGGCAGGAGGGGACGGCTTAGCCATTTTGCCTCGAAGTCATTTTGGCCTGTTTTTGTTTGAGAAACTGTGTCAGCAGACGTTCCTAGAAGCAGTTCTTCTCGTATGTATGCATGTATAGGAACAATGGTTGTTCACGAAGGCTGCAGATCAGATACCGTTGTAGTCTATGATCAATGGGCAATCACAGGGCTCCAAGTGAATGGATTATTCCCTTTGCACAAGTGATATATGTCATCATAGCAGCTGAATCAGCCACGCAGTGTGCGTGAACTGATTTAGGTGTTGGTAGGGTAGAAAGGGAAGAGAGGTAGAGGTTATCGAGGGGAAGGGAAGTAGGAGGGGGAACTCACTCGTCTAGGACAATGCCTAGAAACTGTATCCGCTGTTTGGATACAGACGATAACCTAGAATCCCGATTGATTCAAGGGATACAAGTGGAAGATTGTCCTGTCTTTGTTGCTGAGGGGGACCTGAGGGACTTTATGTGTGTGTGTGTGTGTGTGCGTGTGTGTATGAAGGAAAGATACGGAGGGAGAAAAGAAAATTTCAATGGCCGAGGGGAAAAAAATGTCGAACTAATAAGTCACGGGTGCGGCTCTAGGGTATCCACTTTTGTACCGTCGTCCAGTCCACCTTGAGAGAGGGAAACACCAATTGTCCATTCATCTGTTCGTACTCGGTACATGCAGGTCTGCATTTCTGCTGATGACCATCGACGAGGGAAATTTATTTTTCATTAGTGGAGATGAGCACTATTATTATTCCCAGCGCTCAACGGACTTTTCCTCTGATTCCGCTCAGTGAGAACTGCGAGGTTCCACTCGGACCCGTCTGTGCCGGATGGAGTTTCTCTCCGAATGATCACCACCTTTTTTTCCCCTAAATCTCCGGACTTCAATCCACTATTGTAACTCTTTTTTTTTAAGTCCTTGTTATGGTCATACCGTAGGTAGGATAAAAACAGAGGCTGACACTCTTGTGTGTCCGACGACATGTATTCACTAGTCGAGATTGCCGCGGTAGTCTGTCTAGTCTGGAGCTTCTTCATCATCGTTATCGAGGCCATAGGCATCACCGCCATGTACGTTTATTTCCTCCTACATTTTTCTCTCTTTCCCCATTGTGTTTGTTCCCGCACAGAAGGCTGATACCCGGGACTTTGTTTCTATAACTGCAGCTTCAAGAATTTCTCCCGTCCTCCCCGCGCGGGTATATCCCCCACCCTCGGTCAAGATGCTCCCCTCGTGACGATAATCCGACCGGTCAAGGACCTCGAGCCGGGACTGTACGAGTGCATCGCTTCGTCCTTCCGCCAGACGTACCCTCCCTCCCGACTGTCCATCAGGCTGTGCGTCGAGGACCGCAGCGACCCCGCCTACCCCGTCCTGGAACGGCTGGTGGCCGACTTCCCCCACGTGGACGCGCGCGTCATGGTCGAGACGGACAGCTCGGCAACGCAGGTGCAGAACCTGGGGCCCAACCCCAAGATCCGCAACATCAGCCGCGCCTATGCCGAGGCCAGGGGCGACATCATATGGGTCATGGACTGCAATGTCTGGGCCGCGCCCGGCGTGCTGGGCCGCATGGTTGACAAGCTGGTGGGGTACAGCGGCAGCAACGGCGCCGTCACGCCCTACAAGTTAGTCCACCAACTGCCCATCGTCGTCGACGTGCCGGGCACGTCGCGGCCGTCGACGCCGTGCCTGGAACACCAGTCTCTGCTGTCGTCCCCGCTGGCCTCGTCGCCGCGCGGCACCTCGCCGTCCGTCCTCACCAGGGGCGGCGGCCGCCTGGACGAGATGTTCATGGCGACGACGCACGCCAAGTTCTACGGGGCCATCAACATCGTCAGCGTGGCCCCCTGCATCGTGGGCAAGAGCAACATGTTTCGCAAGTCGCATCTGGACCGCGCCACCGACCCGGAGCAGAACCCGGCACTGCCCAAGAATGACTACCTCAGTCGCCCCAAGGGGGTGGACTACTTCTCCCACAACATCTGCGAGGACCACTCCATCGGCGAGCTGCTCTGGCACACGGCCATCCCCGGCCACGCCAATCACGGCCTCGTGTGGGGCGACCTGGCCGTCCAGCCCGTGTCTGGCGTCCCCGTGCCGGCCTACGTGGCCCGCCGCGTGCGCTGGCTGCGCGCCCGCAAGTTCACCGTCCTGGCTGCCACGCTGGTCGAGCCCGGCATCGAGTCGCTCCTGTGTGGCGTGTACGCCTCGTTCGGGCTCACCACCGTGCCCCTGGTCGGCGAGCTCACGTCCATCCCGCGCACCTGGTCTGCCATGGCCGTCGTGTGGCTCGTCTTCGTCACGTCCTGGATGCTGGCCGACTGGGCCGTCTTCTGCCGGCTGCACGCCCTCGAGTCCAACACCGACGTCGAGGACGAGAACACCCCGACCTTTGTCAGGCGCGGCACCACCACCGCCCGCTCCTTTGCCGAGTGGCTCCCCGTCTGGATCGGCCGCGAGGTCCTCGCCCTGCCCATCTGGACTTGGGCCGTTCTGCTCGGCGGGACGATCAACTGGCGTGGCAAGACTTTCAAGGTGCGTTTCGACACCACTGTCAAGGAGGTGCCTGCTTCGTCTGAGTCCTTGGTGAATGGGCATCAGAATGGCAACAAGAACAGGGTGGACTAGGCTTGTATTATTGGTCCTTTGGGATTCTTTCTTCTTTTCTTCTTCTTCATGATACACATGTGTTCCCGAGCACGGACTTTTTTTTTGTTTTTTTAGATGAGATACTTTGTATTTGGTTTACGTTCATGGCCCGAAAAAGAAGTGTGATGAACTACTTTATGTACATTTCTCGTCTTGGTATCTGATGGGTTTTCTGGCTGGCAAGGTCTCTTTCGCCGCCTCTTGAGTAGTGCGCAGCAGCAGCATTGCAGAGCATTGTCCCCTTCATCCTTGTTTTTATCTTCTCCCGTGGTATTGAAACGCCGTAAAAGACAGCAAGGACAAAGTACATGGCTGGAGAAGAGATAAATAGACAATGCGGTATATCGAGGTAGAATGGAAGCGATTGTCTCAGCCCAAAAGTTGGTGAGGGAGGTTTACTACTACGCTCTCTCTCTTTTCTTTTCCCCCCCTCGTTTTGTCGTACGCATGCGTTGCGTGTATTGTATGTCGTATGTTGTCTCGTGTCGCGTGAATCCGTCCAAGCATTATAGACCTTGGAGAAGTTTAACCCGACGAGAAGAGAGCGTCCTCATCACGCAGGTACTCTCCACAGTCAGCCTGGCGGAAGCACACGATACCGGTGGGATCCAGACGGCGCGAGTCGGCAGTGCTGCGGGCAGTCACGCCAAAACCCAGGGGGACGTCCTCCATGCTGTAGACGATGACGCCCTGATGCTCCGGGCAGTCCTCCGAGAAGCGGCCGATGTGAGCCTTGACGATGTTGGAGCCGTACAGGAAGGGCATGACGCCGTTGGGGCGGATCCAGATCTTATGACGGGCGTGGGGGGCGATGACGGGCAGGGCCGTGATGTGCATGCGAAATTTTCCCGTCTTGGTGAACTTTCCGATGCAGACTCCGAGGGACAGCAGCTTGTCACGAGAGATGGACGTGGCGATGTTGGCAATGGACAGGAGGACGTAGTAAACACGGTTCTGGCCCGAGAGGCGGAAGACGTAGCGGTCCGAGTCGGGCGACGAGTCGAGAGGGGCGATGAGGTTCTTGAGCGACGGACCCGTGTAGTCCGCTAGTTTCTTGAAGAGAGTCTGCGTCTCTTGCTCGGTGAGAGGACGCATCTTGGCGGTTTCAATGTGTATATGTGTATTGTGTAGTCGGATGGTTCTTTTTTTTTAGAGGAATAGGTATAAAAAAAAAGTCCAGAGGAAAAAAGAGAAAGAAAAAAAATGTTTCCCCACTATCCCGCTGTGCGGAATTAATGCCGCACTTGACTTTTTTTCGTCTAAAGTGAGCATCAACGAGACATGAACGTAATTCAGAATTCTGTTTTTCTTCTCATGTCGAAAATAAGAATAAAAACCATCAGCTTATATATGTATACGTAAAAGAGATCAGATCAATATATGCCAATACTCATAGGAATAATCTCATCTGATACTGTAAAAGGTCAGCGACGTTGGCCCCAACTCTCCTGGCAATTCCATCACCCAACTCCTTCGGAAACAGACTAGGCACACTCCACTTCTTGCCTACGAACCGTCCCATCATGGCCTCGACCAGTCTCGTCGCCTCCCCTTGCCCTCTCCAGTCTGGCTCGACTATCAGAGAGGCCAGCTTGACTTCATACTCGGACTGGTCTTCGGGGTCAGACACCGCACACCACGCGTGACCCGGTCTGAAGGCCCGTTCAGAGTGGGACATGCTGCTCACGAGGGCGGACTGCCATGCTAAGTCGTCGGCACCATGCTTCCCCACCAGCGCATCTACCTGCTCGACGCTCACCTCCTGCAGCTCTGCTTCTGTCCCGGTCTTCCCAGCCTCGGGTTCTTCGGCAGATCCATCCCCGCCCGCATCCACCTCCCAGCCCGCCAACTCCCTGACCTGCTCGAACCCGGCCTTCCTGTACATGGACAGCGCCGGCGTGTTGGACTGCATGCACTCCAGCTCGACAATCTCGGTGCCCCTTTCCCTCTCCATCTGCAGGACCGTCTCCAGGACCTTGGGTCCCATACCCTTTCCCTGCGCCGCCCGGACCACGCCCATGGCCTCCAGGCGCGTGTGGTGCGGCTTGTCCCCCTGCCTCACGGCCATGAGACCGAACGCGACGGCTCCATCGTACTCGTCGCTGACGGCCCGGTCAAAGAAGATGTAGCTGCGGTCTAGGGGGACCAAGTTCCGGTCGCACCATACCGTGACGGACTCGGATGCCAAGTTGACGGCGATGCCAGAGTAGCTTGTGAATGCGTCGTTGAAGACGAGTCCCAGCTGCACTGGCGGCAGTGACGATGCCGGTCTGCACCCCATCGTGGGAGAGAGGGGGAGTGATGTTGATGGCGAGCGCGGTACGTTGTTGATCATGATGTGACTCGTATTGAACGGTAGACGGTTCGCACACATTATCCAATGGTTACGCACCATCCATCCTACGTCATGTATGAGTTACGTCGTAGCAGACGGTATCAAATATGCATTACTGGCGAGTGATACTATTGTTCATACTCGGAATCATGCGCTGAAGGCAGCTTCGATGTTTGTACGAGTATATAGATGGATCCATCCAAGAGATACTTTACCTCTTTACCGCTTTTCTGTTATCTCTATTTCTTTTTTTCCCCTTTTTTTCATCTACCTCGGTCGTACTATTTTCAAGCCCATCTCAGACTAAAGACGGTAGACCCAGCCCTTGAAATACCGACCTCGACATCCCCGCTCTTGATGCTGGTCGGGATCGTCTCGCCCTTCCTTTCGAGGATGATCCTGGATCCATCAGCCTTGGTGACCTCGGGAAGCTTGTAGAACTTCCGAGCATGATTGCTCAGGAAACCCTCGAGCTTCTCCTGCGTGACGTCCGCCTCGGAGATGATGCCCTTCTCGGTGGCCTCCTCGAGGGCGAGCAGGACAAGCTGCGTGGCGTAGGGCTGGGTGAAGACTCCGGCGGGGGGGGCCTTTTCGCCGCCCACGCTCTTGGACGAGAGCGAGTGAGGGGCGCTGTCGGTGCCGAAGAAGAACTTGGGGCTGCCGCTGCAAACGGTGCGGAGGAGGGCGTCGCGGTCCGCGGGGGTCTTGGGGATGGGCTTGCAGAAGGCCAGGGGGTCCACCTCGGCGTTTTCGCCGGTGAGGTAGAGGTGGTGAGCGGTGATGGAGGCTGTTCCGGGGATCAGTCTTTCATCCTCCCTCTCATCTTCACATCTTTGTAGTCGAAAGATATGACAATGAGATGTGCCAAAAAAAACCCACAAAAAAGGAGAGAGAGATGTAAAACTCACCACTGACGGTAGGACCACAAGCACGGACAGCCTCGACAGCAGCAGCAGTGGTGCAGTGCTCCAGGACGATGCGCAACTTGGGGAACTTGGCGTGGATGCTACCGAGAGTAGGGAGGAAGGCCTCCTCGTGCGTCTTGCCGTCGGGGACGACACCGGGCACCTCACCATGCAGGTTGAGGACCATGTCGTTCTTCTCCATGGCGGCAAAGGTGGCGTAGAAGTCGTCAAAGGAGGTGACACCCGCGTCGGAGTTGGTAGTGACGCCTAGGCGATAGCTATTAGTCTCATGGGGGAGTTTCCGATATCAGGAGACTTGGGGGGGGGGGGTTAATCTCTCACCCTGAGGATAGACCTTTACACCCGCGATGCCAGCAGCGGCAGCCTCATCAATGACGTCAGGAGTGATGGTGGGGTGAAGCTTTTTTTTTATTTTAAATTTTTTTCCCCCTGGTCAGATTTCTATTTCTTTTTTTTTTTCCGTTTTACCAAGGAAATAGATTCTGAGGAAGGATATCTGGGAGACATACATAGAGAGACATGAGGTATTTCACGTTAGGCTCCAGAGCCTCAAGCTCGGCCTTGACCTCGAGCGCGCGAGCCACGGTGGTGACGGGGGGCTGGAGGTTTGGCTACCGCATGTTCAATGTCAGCTACCATGATTCTTGCTGCGACGACTTTCGGGTCCAACCGCTTCTCTTCCCACTCTCTCCCTACTCCTCCCCCTCACATACGGACCATGACAAAGACGGTGTCGACGCCTCCGGAGCGGATGCTTGGCGTCACAAGCTTCATCATGTCACCCTGGCGGAGGTGGACGTGCATATCCGCCACGGGTGGCAACTCCAGGATGTGGACATTGCTTAATTGCATCTCGGCTGTGATTCTGGGTCGCCTATGACGATTCTATGCTGATCGGTCAGGTGGTAAGTTGAGGCGTCTCGTCGGCTTATATTTCTTTCGTTAGCCCCGCGATTGTGCGTTGTTAATTCCAATGAAGCAATTGGTGATGACGATGTGGTCACATGACCTTGACCCATTCTGATATCTACTAACAATACTGCTCTACTCCGTACATATATAATCCGTACTACGTCGAGGCTACCAGTCCCCGTGGCTTAGGGTTTTCCACTGCCATGCAAAGCAGTCGAGATGCAGAGGTCTCCTGCACCTGTTGAGAGGAAGGGAGACGATGTCAGTATTGAGCAGAGAACACGACTTGGTCAAGCGGCAGGGGACGCCGTCCCTGTCTTCCTTGAGAGACACACTCACCCTATAGCTAGCCGTAAGAATATGTGACGGGAACCGGCCAAATATTCCCCCATCCTCTTGGACGACGTCCTCACTCCTCTTCGCATTTTCTCATCTTCTCTTCTCAGTTGATTGAGGAAATTCTGATCACCGATCTTCAAAAGTGCAGCTGCATATTGTGCTGTGCTGTATTACAGGGCTTGCATGTAGAGCAACCCTTGGCAAGTCGTATGCACCAATCACAGCTTTGCCGATAATTTCCTACATGCACTCGTAATTACGAGGTTAATTCGGAACCGCGTTCCTTATTCGAACGACGCCGGGTCTACCGTAATCTGTATGGTGATGGATGAAAGGAGAATAATACAATAACACGCCATCAATACGAAATGCGACAACCGAGAGACAGCATAGAACAAAGGTCTTGCATCTTCACTCAATCCTTGGCCATAAAGGCCTAGACGGGGGAACACGCATGCACCTTGTCAATGGCCAGCTCCCCACACCAAACTCCCCACACCGACTCCACTGATAGTCTTAGCACTCGCTTCCCCGCACGCAAAGGCGGAGGTGGGGAGATGTGGAGGGCATTGACTTGTGTAGGATCCAGAACGACGTGGGACACTATTCTGTGCTCGGGTTGCATCAGAAAATGACAGCTGGTGCGGATGGAGGGTACAGTGTAAATATACAAAGCCGTGGGAGAGGGAGAACTTGCGAGTAATAATAGTACGGAGCACGAGCAGTGCAGTAGTAATAGAGTAATACTGGTATGTCTGGTGTTCCGACATTGCACGATACTTGCATACCCGTAGATCCCTTATCTCTCGGTCATTCTTCTCTTCCCCTCATTTTTCCTTAAGCGGCGAAAAAAAAAAGAAAAGGAAAAAAGGAAAAAAAAAACACCCTATGAAAGAAGCTTGATATCAAGTTTTTAAGCTCATCAATTAAGGTTAACGAGTACGAGTAATCTCAATGTAATCTGAATGCATCTATTTGACATGTTTGTATTCTCAATGGGTAGCACTATTGCTACTATTGCTACTATTACAATTGCTATTACTATCATTACTGCTACTACTACTACTGCTGCTGCTGCTACTGCTACTGCTACTACTACTGACTGCTATTACTATTACTACTATTGCAGTATTACTGTCATTACAGTATTACTATGACTACTATTATCATTACTGCTATTACTACTCTCACTACTATTACTCCCACTAATACTACTCGTATTACCACTAACTACCAGTCCGACGGATCACGTCGTATCGTCATTCGTCCCCAAGTCCTTTCCAGTCTTCTCCATTTTTAAATAATGAGAAGAAGAAGAACTTCTCCTCTCTCTCCCCGCCTCTCTTTTCCTTTTTCTTCCCAGGAGACCCCACGTCTTGGTCTTGGCGTGTTCAACCCCCCCCGCCCTCTCCCCCCGGCAAATGTAAGGAAAGGGGGAGGGGAGAGGGGGAAGAGGAGGGGGAGTTACGGTAATCATTTATGAAGAGAATGATTCGTCCACAACATGTATAGCGTTAATTGGGCGAAAAAAAAATCCCCCAGAAAATAAAAAAGGGAAGAGGGAAGGATTGAATGATACGGAGCACCTCAAGGCCGAAAAGTGGAAGTTGTAGACGAGGAACCAAGAAATTCATTTGTATTATTAACAGACAGAATAACAGAATCCATCCTTGTCCACGTTAGCCCTGGCCAAGACATTTTCTAATTCTCACGACGAGACTACTCGTACGACTTGTCCAAGTTATCTTGCCCCCGTAGTTTTCCCCGCCCCTCCATCTCTCTTGGCTCCTACCGCCCCCGCGCCATCCCCAAATCCCCAGTTTCCAAACCCCATGTTCAAGCTGTCCTTGTGACCAATCTCTTGGCTTGTCCTTCTTCTCGGTCATCTACCGATAAAGCAGACAGCAATCTTTGCTCCAGATTGTAGCCGATTTCTTCCTTCCCATCCCGGGTCTCTCCACACATTGTTCTGTCTGGTTCCTGTGGTTGCAGAGCTGAACCCCCCCCCAGATTCATCGGTCGCCTCTCTCTCTCTCATTCTCTCTCTCTCTCTCTCTCTCTGACTCTCTGACTCTCTCTCTCTTACTCTCTCCGATCTAATGGTTCCAATGGTTTAGACCATACTCGATGGGGAAAGGGATGTAGGCTCCGCAACTGAACCGTCACGCCATGCCCTGGGCCAACGCCAACATGGGGATTAGTCTGGTCACCTATCCCGCTTAATTCTCCTAGCCCCCCCCCCAGAGACGCCAGGAAAGAAGGGTGAAGGGTGACATAACATATGGCCCATGGGATGGGCTGGGTACATTGTATCGCCGATGACTCTCGTACCCGCACAGAGTACTCATGGGTTAAACCGGAATCCAACGCTTCCCAACCCCCCACAAAATCACATGTATTACATATCCCCTCTCCGTCGCAATGAGACATGCGCTCTCGTTGATTGCGACAAGTCGACCAGTTCTACTTACATGGGCTTGCATTGGCAGGATGCTAGCTGACCCCGGTTGACCCCAGTTCCCGGCCTCACCCCCGCTTCTTCCTCACCTCCCCCCTCCCCAAAAAGATGGAATGCTCCGTTTCCCCGCGGTTATATCTATGTAATAGGACGAATCTGTCCTCGAAGCTCTGCTTGCCAGCTGTATACAAAAAGGCCAACCCCCTCCCCGCAGTTCTTTCCTTTTCCCTCTCCATACGCAATCCCTTCATTCTCCTTGCCTCTCCCCCCTTCTCTCTCGCCCTTCCTCTCTATCCTGGTTCCGTGTCTTTCAGAGGGGTGCCGTAGCTCAGCTTGTCGACGAGAACGCGACCCATTGAAGCCGAGAGCTTGAACGGCCAACACACAAACCCATCATGACTGAATCAAGCCGGGCTGAGAATGCCTTCGCCACACCCCCAGGCACATACCCTGCCGACCCTCTGGCCAAGGGCGTCATCCCCACGGCTAAGCAGTCCCTGCATGACCTGTTCGTGTGGCGTCAGCGCGTCGTCTTGACCAACGACTACGGCGAGACGGTGTGCCTGTGGAAGGACCCGGACCCGATCCGCAACCCCATCAGCCTGATGGGCCAGCTGACGGCCAAGGGCTGGATCTTCTTCCTCTGTGGTCTGTCCGCGTGGACCGCCGACGCCTTTGACTTTCATGCCCTGTCCATCCAGACAAAGAAGTTCTCGGAGTACTACGACACCTCCAAGACGAACATCACCACAGCCATCACCCTGACGCTCCTGCTGCGCTCCCTCGGTGCGGCCGCCTTCGGTCTCGCCGGTGACAAGTACGGCCGCAAGTGGCCCATGGTGCTCAACATGATTGTCCTCGGCGTCCTGCAGATTGCTACGATCTACAGCTCGACCTTCTCCCAGTTCCTTGCCGTCAGGAGCCTGTTCGGCCTCTTTATGGGTGGTGTGTATGGCAATGCCATCGCCATGGCTCTCGAGGAGTGCCCGTGAGTTTCTGCTTACATCCCTCCCTCTCTCGAAAGATGAGTTTCGCCGACACGTCTGACATTGACTGACACTCACCTCCAGGCACGATGTTCGTGGTCTCATGTCTGGTATCCTACAGCAGGGTTACTCCCTGGGATACGTGTTTGCTGCGTGCGCCAACCTTGGCGTCGGTGGTGGCAAGGATAGTTGGAAGGTGGTGTTCTGGGTAGCCGGTAGGTCACTTCCATCCTTTGACGCTCAGGCGTCTGACCTCTTATCCCCGTCATCCTCTACAGAGACTGAGACTGACATGGTGGGACAGCCGGCATCTCCATCGGAGTCGGCTTCATTCGCGCCCTCTTCCCCGAGTCTAGGCAGTTCGTGGAGGCAAGGAGGCTCCGCAAGGCCCAGGGCACAAAGCCTGCGTCTGCCGGAGCCTTCTGGCGTGACGTCAAGGTGATGCTGGCCAAGGAGTGGAAGATGATCGTCTACTGCACCATCCTCATGACGTGGTTCAACTACTTCTCCCACACGTCGCAGGACTCCTACACCACCTTCATGTTGGTGCAGAAGGAGCTCGACAACTCGGGCGCGTCGCGTGCGTCCATCATCATGAAGGTGGGCGCGTGCGTGGGGGGCACCATCGTCGGCTACCTCAGCCAGTTTGTCGGGCGTCGACGCGCCATCATCGTCTCCGCCCTCGTCTCGGGTGTCCTGATCCCGGCGTGGATCCTGCCCAACTCTGAGGGGTCCCTGAGCGCCACCGGTTTCTTCATGCAGTTCTTTGTCCAGGGTGCGTGGGGTGTCGTGCCCATCCACCTCAACGAGCTGTCGCCCCCCGCCTTCCGCTCGTCGTTCCCGGGTGTCGCCTACCAGCTCGGCAACATGATCTCGTCACCGTCGGCCCAGATCGTCAACGCCGTTGCCGAGGACACCTTCATCACCAGGGGCGACGGGGAAAAGGTCGAGGCCTACGGCCCCACCATGGGCGTGGCCACAGCCATCATTGTCGTCGGCATAGTCGTCACCGCCATGTTCGGGCCCGAGCGTTGCGGCAAGGACTTTGGTGCCGCGGTTGCTGGAGAGGGAGATGTCAGCCAAGTGTCTCCGGAGAAAGCCAAGGAGGTGGATGAGGAGCTTGGCAGCATTCACCTGGAGGAGAGGAAGGACTCAGATGCAAAGGCCCCTGCATCTACGGAGAAGGTGTGATTTGACTTGGGAACCGTCTCATCCATCAGAATGACTGTCATTTCCCTCCCTCCCCCCCGCCCTTCTTTCCCCGTTCCCTGAAGGGTCTACTGAATTCTTGTATTAAGAACATACGAGCACTGTCTAATGAACTATACGAATGTCTCCTATTTCATCCATATTCTAGCTTGCCTTGGAGGAAGAACCTGTCCCGAGTCTGCGTATCCCCCGTCCACCCTCCTTTCTAGCCCGCCGTGACAGTATGCTCTATTCGGATCACTCGTATTAAAACGCGGTCACGGTAATAGAGGGGGGGGGGGGGAGGTTGGGTATGAAACTAGATGTTCCAACTGATCCTGTGAGAGCCAGGAGCTGCTCAGGAACTACTCAGGTTAAAGCGTCATCAGCTCAGGATACTGCATGGGGAAGAATTTTGTTTTCTCAAGTCGAGATAAGAATTGTGTATTCTGGTGTTTTTCCCGCTGCTTTCACACTCTCATGCCGGATCCATGGAAAGGAGATCATGACATGATAAACGTGAGATAGTGTCACGGCCAGTTTCCGCGGCCTGCACGTGCAATTCAAGGGATCCATGGCTTTCTACCAATTGCAGAGCGATCATTCACAACTCCATGATCGACTTCGTCCTTCGTGGCCAATGTGATAGTTGCGAGATCACCAGCATCACTGATTGTCTTTGGGTCTTTTGGACGATGCAGCCTCGTAGTTAGATTGATAGGCCTCGGTGGGGAGAAGAAGAACAAATATCTTCATACCTTTTTCAATCCATCTTCGTTCCTTCCTCTACTATGTCAGATTTGTTGTAGGTCATGTGACTAACCAACCATTCCCTTTGTTACTCACATCCCCCCTCCCAGCTCGCCGGTGTTTTACTCTATCATCATCTTCTCCTGGAGTAGGGGAGAATCAAAGCAATAATACAGACATACCAATATTAATTCTTTGTTGATCCCGCACCCCAGTCCATCCGTCCATCCCTCGTGGATTTCTTGCGTTCTGTGCACTAAGACTCTCTTACACCACCTTGCCAGCATGGCAAGTCAGAAGAGAATCGAGAAGCTGGAAGAGGCTTTGAGACGAGCAGAGAAACAAATTCAACCGACAACACTCGAAGAATACCTATCCTCTTTTCATACCCTCCTTTTCACCAAGTTCACAGTAGAGACGGACAAAACATTGACTACCAAGGGGCCTATCACACCAACCCGCGCAATAGATGGTGCCCTACAAACCTACGTCAACGGCCGGGGTTTCTCGACGAACAGAAATCTATCTACTCGACCCTCTTTTCCATCTTCCCCGCCGATAGGCGAGTCTTCCAGACGAAGGCTTTCCTCGCCGGCCTAGGTGATGTCTTCTCGGGGTGGAAGATAGCAGATGAAAAGAGGCTTGAATCCTTCTTGCATCTAAGAGTCGAAGAACCTGTTAGGAGAATCATCAACCAACTCAAGGACATGGAAGATGCTAAGAAAATGTTCAAGATAGGGGCTGGCGTCACCTTCGAAAATCATCCACATGCTATCAGCGATACCGCCAAAGAGGTGATAGATCGTGCTAACATTCCTTCATCACCTCTGCCGCCATCCATGCCTAGCCAGGCACGTGATCGGGGTCGTCGACTCCAGCCCGACCAAATCTGCATCTATAGATCCGAAGATGGGGAACCAAGGACGCGTACAATGGCGCACATCTACGAGTATAAGCCGCCGCATAAACTGACAGCACTACACATCCGACGAGGTCTACATCCAATGAACGTTCACCAGGACGTGGTCAACCGAATCACAATCCCGCCGACAGAGGACAGGGACGCAAGCTTTCAATACTCCGCTGAGAAGCTAACTACAAGCGCCATTACCCAGATATACCACTACATGATTGAGGGTGGGCTAGACTACGGACTTTTAACGACGGGTGAGACGATTGTTTTTCTAAAGATTGATTGGGAAGACCCTGAAACGCTCTTCTACCATGTGGCGGAACCGAAAGCCGAAGCGTTGGCCCACCCTGAACATTCTGACCTATGCACAGCTGTAGCCCAGTACCTGGCCTTCACCCTCATAGCCCTGAATTCGTTAGAGGGTCAGCACGGACAGGAAGAGCGTCAGAACGCTATGGGGATATTGGACACTTAATGTCAAGATTTTGAGACAGTGTTGCTCTCGTTACCAAAGAGCGACCGCGGCACACCCGATGGTGGTGACGATTACCAGGCGGAAGTATACAAGACCTTTGATAGATCACCCCATCTACTGCGGAGCAGTAAACGTCAACGAATTGGAGGTCATCCTACATGAGAGACTGTGCTCCCGAGGAACCCAGCAGACTCATCTAACAACGAGTCGGGAATTCTACCCTCGCCGTCCCCAACAGCACGACAGACTCGCCAGGGACAGTCGGGTAGCAGTGTAGCCACCCGCCGCAATCAGCAAAACGAAGCCAACAGGACCCATGTCACGAAAAGGTCAAGGCAGCGTGGTCTAGAATACCAGTACTGCACTCAGAAATGCTTATCGGGCCTTATAAACGACGGTCCCATCGACCACGATTGCCCCAACGCATCACTACATGGCCGGCAGCCGATCAACCATGCCACCTTCCTCGAGCTCCTTTGGAAGCAGCTGGAAGCATCGCTAGATGACGGTATCTGGCCGTTAGGGATAGGCGGTTCACGCGGGGTGCTCTTCAAGGTCACTCTCCTCGAGTTTGGCTACACGTTTGTCAGCAAGGGCACCGTGCGGGCGTTTGTGGTGGACCTAGAGCACGAGGCCGCCGTGTATGCACGCCTGAAGCCTTTGCAGGACACCTACGTGCCTGTGTTCCTCGGGGCCACAGACCTACAGTCTATGGGGAAGACCTACTACTACGACCATCGGGTGTATGTGGTTCATATGTCATTTATGTCCTGGGGCGGGACTCGACCGGACCCGCATGGGGGAGAGCGGCTGCGGGAGAAAGCGGCTCTATCACTACGGGCAATCCACAATAATGGGGTGATCCATGGGGACGTGAGGGGGGCCAACATGCTCTGCAGTGATGAGATGGACGGTATCATGGTGATCGACTTTGAGAGAGCATTGCTGGTGCCGTCGCCTCGGCCTCCGCTGAGCCCAGCGCGGTCGCCTATCAAGCGATTACGGACGGAGGATCCGGGCCAAGAGCGGAGCAGTTCCAAACGCGGTCTCCAGCACTTGTTGGCGTCAGACAGAGCTGCGGTATCGCACCTTTTCGAAGAATGAATCAGCGGGCTAGAGAAGGGAGAGGAAGATGACAGATGACAGATGCGCGGTGTCTTGTCTCGGATGGGAGGTTTACCTGATACCATGCTGTACTGATGATGATTCTCAGGTCTACTGGAAGCGGGGGATTCTCACATCTGTTCCTTTCGAAGGAGCTTTTCCTCCTGGTCGCTATCTCGGTGTCCCCGCGGATTAGTCAACCAAAGCAGTGATATCGTATGATGATGGGTATGAATGGCAGAAGGGACCACACGGAAGTGTTGACATGTTCACGTAGTATGAATAGCAAAAAGGTTCAGTGCGAGTCGTCAGCAGTGCGACGTAGTTGTAAACGTCACTTTCTTGACAAGCTGGCGTAAATTGTAACGGAACCGGGAGCGGATCCCTTCGTCTACGAACACGAGACCAACTGTACCGATGGCTGCTGTCGACACGAACCTCGTCGAATGACGTCACAACGGCAGAGGCAAGGAAGAAGAGAGATACAGATACGGTGGTCGAGGTGGAAACAACAGCAGGGACGTCAGAGAGCACTGCTTCATGTGCAACAAGATGGGCTGTCGGTCCACCGACCATCCCCAGGAAAGAAGGAAGGCATACAGAAGCTACCTTGGCGGCCGGAGTCCCACAGCAGAATCGAGGGATACGTTCCCGCCAAAATCTCTTGTGTGAAAGAAGAGGGTGATCCGATGGATGATGACGACGATATCGACATGTTCGCCGGCGATGAGGAAGATTTTTTCCTTTTTATTTTTCTTTTCTTCTTTTCTTTCTTCTCAGCCCGCCGCTTCCCCTCTTGCCATCCGGATTTCCATCCATATCCAAACTTCAGTTTGCTCTTATGCTATATGACTATCTCAATATAGTAAGTAGAGTCGGTCACATTCCTCTCGTCCACTCGCTCAACAACAGGACAGACCACGAGGGGAACCACATTCACAAGACGACCAAGTTTACAGTCATCACTGAACGAACGTATTGGCGTGTATTGCTGTACTTCCTCTCGTAATATTCTACTAGAATTCCTCGTCTTTTGGAGCAAGGGAACTGAAATGTCTATGGCTTCGGACATTACCGTCCATCCGTGTGTGTGTGTGTGTGTGTGTGTGTGTGTGATGAGTACCTGTACGATTATAGTAGTAGGAGTCACACACACGAGTCTCGAATCCATGAGAGATCATGTACCCTTATGCTCAGCTATGCCGTACGAGTACGGTGCCATCGACCATTGGACCCCCTCACCCTGTTTCCGGCCAGGGTGTTGCAAGTTCGTATCCTCCAGCTGTAAGAGTGTAAGGGTAAACCCCTCTCATGGCGTACGTGGGAAAAGAAAAGAAGAAGGAGAGAGAAGAATTACCGATCAAGGGTACGGCAATGGAGTTGTCTGCGTGCCGCTCATCCCCTTCCCCATAGAAGTAGTGTAACCCCAAGGATGGGCACCGGCTGGCGTGGCTTGCAGCTTCATGCAGTCACATATGCAGACATTGGCACTAGCAAATCCCACTGGGGCTATTCCCGTACTGGTGATATATCATTACTACAGGGATGGGATGGGATAAAGGAACAAAGGAACTGCCAATGTCCATAACGGTACTTCCAGTCTTCAAGTACGAGTACATATATATCTACACGCCATTACTTCACAATATCCATCCTATCCACGTCAAAGTCCGCTCTCACTTACTGTCTAGCATGTACCGTGACGTTCTCGATCTCTACCTGTGTGCAGGACAGGAACCCCGTACTTCTCATCTTCTGGTGAGCCGCCATCTCGTCAAACCAGACATGTCTGTTGGATATACATGGTAGAGTCACGCCTGCGCCTTCTATTTCCGACCCTCCAAATCGATGGCCGGATACATACCAAATGTTGCATGCAACCCTTTTTTTCTTCTGTTTTTTGGCAAAATTGACTGCATTATACTCATCCTACCAGCAAAAACTTACCACATGTAATTACCCCGCGCCGGAAAGCCATGGGCGGGAACAATCCAGGTTCCATCTCTCGACGTTATCTCCGAAACTGCCGGTCTTGCGGGGGGGTCGGGACGGGGTAGCCCTGCAGTGAGAAAAGCGGGTATTGAGGGGAATAAAAGGTTTTAATATAATATAAATCTCTCGTTGGCATGAATATCGAAGCTTGGGACTACTACGTATGGGTACTGCCGTCTTAGTCTGTTACTCCGTATTGCCGGCCCTTCATGATACTAGCCAGCAACCTCTAGCTTTCATGGACAGCTTCACGGTGTAGAGGCCTGCTATCACCACCCTTGAATGAGAGACGTGCTGCCAAAGACCCCACGATTTCATCAGTAGGAAAAACGAATAACTCTTCCCTTTATTCCGGCTTGTACAGCTTGGAGCGTCCGTATGCCGT